CCGTATCTACGAGGATCCGAAAATAGCACGAACGGAACTCACCGTACGGATGGAGCATGCTTTCTTAATCGGAACCCGAGCACAGGACGTCGAGATGCGCAATAGATTTCTGAATATATTTGACAAGAGCCTCTCTAAAACAGCAACTGCTCGGTTGTCATATGTCATAAGCTCTCAAAACTGGGACACCCTTGCCGATTCCTTCTGGCTAGCACAAGCCACCCAACTCCTTCTAGGCGCTGTTGAGATGAATTCCAGTGTTCAACTCCACCAAGAAGACTTTCGGACACTTCCGGCGTCTCTTGTTTTTGGCATTTACTCCAAGGATACCAGAGAACCTACTGCGATGATTGATGATAAATATGATACCTTCATGGCGAATCACCGACGCTTTGTTGCCGAGCTAGGTGACGTAAAAGTCCGGGACATTATAGAACCACTTATACAACTTCAACACATCGATAGTAACCTATCCCATAGTCTTTGGGTTACTCTATTTCCTATGTTCTGGTCTGCTACCGCCAAGGAGGAGAAAACAGATCTGGAGAAAGCTCTGGTAGTACTTCTCTCGAAAGACTTCCACTCTCGTCAAATCGACAAAAGACCAAATGTGGTGCAAACTCTACTAGCAGGCGCTGCTAAAGCGTGGCCAGAGTGCAAGATCCCGCCACACATCCTTAAATTTGGAGCCAAGACTTATGATGCTTGGTACACAGCATTAGTACAACTTGAGAATTCCGCTATCAAGCCAGATGTGGACTCGTCTAAAGTGCGGGAAAGCAATCTTGATGCATTGGTTGAACTGTATTCCAGTCTAAAGGAGGATGATCTTTTCTACGGCACTTGGCGTCGGCGATGCCAATTTGTCGAGACCAACGCGGCCTTATCATACGAGCAGAATGGCATGTGGGACAAGGCTCAAAAAATGTACGAGGCGGCTCAGATTAAAGCCCGAACAGGTGTCATTCCGTTCTCCCAAGGAGAGTACATGCTCTGGGAAGACCACTGGGTCCTTTGTGCGCAGAAACTGCAGCAGTGGGATATATTGCAAGATTTCGCCAAGCATGAAAATCTCCAAGATCTTCTACTCGAATGTGCTTGGCGAGGTATTGATATGTGGCAAACCCAAGAACAACGTGACAGCCTAGACATGGTCGTTAAGGGTGTTATGGATGCACCGACTGCCCGGCGAGCATTCTTCCAAAGCTTCATGTCCCTGTTGAAATTCCACAACAAACAGGAGACTGGGCAGGACTTTTCTCGCGTCTGTGATGAAGCAATACAATTATCTATTAGAAAGTGGCACCAGCTTCCGAAACGTCTAACCGCTGCTCATATTCCCTTACTTCACAATTTCCAACAGCTTGTCGAGCTCCACGATGCTAGCGTCATCTGCCAGAGCCTCGCGAACACGAACCAAACGAATTTAGACGTGAAATCTGGCGAGTTGAAGCTTCTCCTCGGATCTTGGAGAGACCGGCTACCGAACATTTGGGACGACATAACCGATTGGCAAGACCTAGTCACCTGGAGACAACACATTTTTGGGCTGATCAACAATACATATCTCCAACTTCTTCCCCAGCAGGGCCAAGGGGCTAATGGTGCTTCATTCGCGTACCGCGGCTATCACGAGACGGCGTGGATCATTAATCGTTTCGCCCACGTTGCCCGCAAGCACAATTTGCCAGATGTGTGCATAGCCCAACTCAGCCGAATATATACCCTTCCCAATATAGAGATTCAGGAAGCCTTCTTGAAACTAAGGGAACAGGCGCGGTGCCACTACGAGAATCCTGCGGAGCTTTCAAGTGGGTTGGATGTTATCAATAATACGAACCTCAATTACTTTAACAACCAGCAGAAGGCCGAATTCTTCACTCTAAAGGGAATGTTCCTGGAGAAGCTCAACCAAAAAGAGGACGCGGATGCAGCATATGGTACGGCATTGTATTACGATATTGGCAAAGCCAAGGCCTGGGCTGAATGGGGCTACTTCAACGACCGCAAGTTTAAAGAGGATCCTAAGGATTTGAATTCTGCTAGACAAGCTCTAACTTCGTACCTACAAGCTATTGGTAGCTATAAGAGCGGTAAGGCACGGAAGCTAATCGCGCGTATCCTCTGGCTCCTAAGCTTGGATGATTCGAATGGAACTATTGCTGCGGGTTTCGATGATTATAAGGGAGAAACTCCCGTCTGGTATTGGATCACATTTATACCACAGCTTCTAACCGGCATGGCCCATAAGGAGGCACCCAAAGTCCATGCTATTCTTCTGAAAATAGCCAAGGCGTATCCCCAGTCCCTGTATTTCCAATTAAGGACAAACCGCGAAGATATGCTTGCCATCAAGAAGAATCAGGAAGCCAAGGAGAAGGCACGGCAACGAGCACAGTCAACAGCATCTAGTGGGAAGCCGAGCAGTTCACCGTCGCTTAGCAAGCAGGAAAATCCCCAGATGAAGGCAGAGTCGTCTTCCAGACCCGCAACCTCAAACGGCGAAAGCAACCTTCAAGCGAAGCCGGAGGCCACCGATGCTAACGGGGTAGCCAACGCCACACAAGCAGGTAACGCGGACCAACAGTCGACTGGGAAGGATGGTACATCCTCGGCTCCGGCACAGAAACGGCCGCCTTGGGAGCTCACAGAAGAGATCATGTCTGTTCTGAAAACAGCGTTCCCTCTTCTTGCTCTTTCCATGGAGACCATGGTGGACCAGATCCAAAAATACTTCAAATGCCCCCCTGACGAGGATGCGTATCGCCTAATCATAGCTCTTTTGAACGATGGCTTAGCGTATGTCAGTAGAATGCCTGCTTCGTACGCCAGGGATGTGAAGCTGCCATCAGGTACCGAGACTAATATCACTCGCTTCGCCGAAACGATCCTTCCTGCGCACATCAAAAAGTCCTTCGAGGCAGACTTCGTTCAAGTGAAGCCAACGATGTACGAGTATATTCACAAACTTCGCAAGTGGCGAGATAAATTTGAAGAGAAGCTGGATCGTAGAAATCCAAGAGCGTACTTGGAGACGTATTCGCGTCACTTGAGCGAGTTCCGCTACTTGAAATTCGATGATGTCGAAGTACCCGGGCAGTACTTACAGCATAAAGATAAAAACCAGGATTTCATTCGTATAGATCGCTTCCTTCCTAACGTGGAACTTGTTCGGGGCATTGGTGGCTCCCATCGGCGCTTGAAGATTCGTGGTCACGATGGTAGCATTCACTCGTTTGCAGTACAACATCCTGCTGCGCGACATTGCCGACGAGAGGAGAGGATTCTCCAACTATTCCGACACTTAAACCAGACACTCGCCAAGAAGAAGGAAAGTCGCCGTCGAGACTTACAGTTTACAGTGCCCTTGGTGGTCCCTCTTGCTCCTCATATCAGGATTGTGCAAGATGACCCATCTTATATCACGCTCCAGGGCATTTATGAAGATCATTGTCGACGCAATAGTATGCCCAAGGATGAGCCCGTCATGTTTACTATGGAAAGACTGAGAGGTTTGATTGAGCCTAAGGGATCTGTAAGTTTTTCTCGTCAGATTCAAGTACCAGGGGTCGCTAACAATTTGATTCAGAAGCCTCCCGAGCAAACTGCCACGGCACGTCTTGAAGTATTCACGGCCATCCAAGAGAAATGGGTACCTCGTACTGCCGTTCTCGAATACTTCCAGAGCATCTTCCCCGAGTTCTCCGAATTCTGGCTTTTCCGACGCCGATTCTCGTACCAACTCTCAGCACTCACATTCATGACATATATCCTCTACAGTACCAATAGGTATCCTCACAAGATGCACATAGCTCGCGGCTCTGGAAAGATCTGGGGCTCCGAGGTAATGTCGTTCATGGCACCCGGAAAGCCCTTCTTCCACAATCCAGAACCCGTACCTTTCCGTCTCACTCCCAACCTGCAGACCCTGATGGGCCCTCTGGCCACCGAGGGTATCTTCAGCTGCTCGATCATGGCTATCGCGCGCTGCCTAACCGAACCTGAATTTGAACTCGAGCACGCGCTTACGCTTTTTGTTCGGGATGAGGTGATATTCTGGTTCACTAGCAGTCACCGAACTGTCCATCTTAACGAAAACCAACTGCGCGAAACAGTCCAGACCAACTGTGATATGATCGTTAAGCGCGCCGTTAGCCTCGCTCAGAGCCCAGTTGGTAATTTACCGGCAAACCAGACGGTCATCGATCTTATCGCTCGGGCCGTCAACCCCATGAATCTCGCCCAGTGCGATGCTCTCTGGATGCCTTACCTTTAATATCCTTCCCGTCTGTTATCATCCCGAAATAGGGACTAGCATTGTTTTTGTTTTTTATTTCCTATTTTTCACTAGGGACTCATGGAATTGCGAGGCTATTTTGCAGCAAGGCGTTAAGGGTCCGGGTCCGAGACAGCATCACGGGCCAGGCTGGGGTTTACGGCGCGGACTAACTGGGCATCAGATTAGACGGTCGATATTAGGGACTAAAGGCAAAATTATTACTCATATTTAGGGTTATACGCTTAGTTCGACTTGAATTATAATGCGTTTGTTTTATGATACTCGTTTATTGTGATTAATATGCTTTACTCTGTGATATATGTTAGATATAGTTATACTTGGAACTACGTAGGTTTATTCTCTCAAAATTCAAATTTTCTATGAGTCGAATACCGTTATTATTGAGTGTCGATTATTATACAGACTTTACAGCTTCTTGCCGCGCATGAATTGGGGGTATCAAGATGATTCAAGAGGGCTATAGGTCTATCTATTTCAATATAGATATCTTATTTAGGTTAAAGGTTCTCTAGAGGGCATCATTTATTCGGGCGATATTATCATTCCTTTTTTTTTAAGGTTGCGGGCTTTATGCAGTAATCGTAATAAAAGCCACTTGCGAAGGCCACCAAAGCCGCTGAAGTTTTTGTAATTAATAAAGCTAATAAAATTAATATTTATTAGATTTTAAAATCCAAATTGGAACATAAAAACACGTGTTTTAATATGTATAGCAAAGCAGCTCGCTTTGAGTGGACATGATATCTCGAACAGGAATATCTTTCGCAATGTTAAGCATAGGCATAATGTCATCTAAGGTGGCTTGAGGAGGTGTTGGTTCTCCGGGGTTACTTTGAGTCTTAATACCGCCGTATGCATTTGTGCGGATTTCCGGGTCCCCCTGTTGCCAGAGATACCAAAGACGGTCAATTTGAGTGTGATGAAGGAAGAAGAGAGGGTCTAAGGGATTTATCAGTATTTAAAACCTCATTATGTTCGGTTGGAATTTACCATTAGGCGAAGTAGCGGGCATCATGTCACCCGCCACTGAGCTATGAATCGCACCGTGGGGCCCGCCCTCCAGTTCGTTGTGAAAGTTATCATAGTCGGAAAAGGCATTGATCTTGGCTATGGCCTCGGGCGTATAAGCTTCGCTAAACATATTTCCAATTTGTTCGGTTCCGTTATTGAAATTGCGTCTTAAGCAATGCGGTACAAGTGTATCAGTAATATAGGCAGGACGGAGGTCCTTAAACGGCCCATCTGATACGCACTTGGAAGTGCTTCCGTCTATCGTAATAGTATTGTTAGGGTCTCCATTACCGCCCACACCGGTGACAGGATCCCATATCGACGACTTGGAAGTGTCATCTGAGTCGAGTGTCCAATCCCAATACCTGAAATATGTAAGTTATTAGAAAATACAAACTGTAGGAAATACGCACGCTACGGCTCCAGTGTAACCGCATTCCTTAAGTGCTTGCTCGTAGACGTGCACAAAATAGCGATGCCACGGGAGGAAGCTTGCGACGAAATGGACTAACATTTTATAATTAGCGACTTGTTATCTAGGACTTACACTCGAACTTACTGTCGTCGTTGAGAGCATTATGCACGAACGGGAAGTCATCGTATTGCGTCGTATCTAGGCCAAGCTTAGAGGGTTGCTTGGCAAGGCAGTGGACAGCGCTAATATATGAGTCTCTTTCATCTGACGATAGAGAACGCCACTCTTTTCTGATAGTTGGATTCTCACAGGTTACGGCTGGCGACCTAGGAGGAGTGATAGAAGCTGCAACAGCAGCTGGGAGTGCTAAGGTTCGAAATAACATGGCTAAATTCGTAATTATTTTATTGATATAGGCAAAAGAGTGATGAAGAATAGAATGCAAGATCAGTGAGTGGAATAGTTGATGGTGGATTATGAAGGTTGACCAGTCTCTTTAATCTATTGATTATTCAAGTCCTTAAGCATGTATCGTATATAATATTACCTAGGTACCTGTAGCTAGGTGATCGAACTTTGTAACACGAGGTTGCCTCGGCATAAACTGCTAGAATGGGATGAATATACCGAAGATAGCCTACTTGGTAGCGCCCTTTATCCGCCTACATATCAATCCGCCGTGTATGATACTTTTGGTAGTTTTCAACTGAAACTGCGCAGGATTATTATTATTTATTATCTTATTGGTACATGTTGAAATAAAACTTATGGTCTCGACTGGCTGAAAGGTGTAATTGAAAGTTATTGTGGGCATTACTCAGTGTTATGCTAGGGGTCTACAGACTTGCCAAGCCCTTTGGCTCACTGTCCTTTTCGGTTTTCTGTCGAAAACAACCACAAAAGTGTAGCGTGAAACAGCACACCCTTTTCTATTTGGTATTAGGGATCAAACGGGTCTTAAATCTATACTAGACCTTGAGTAACTAGTGTATTTCAAACAATTTTAGTCAATACGAGTTGTTTTGCATCGGACCCTTGTCATAAATTAGCTAAAAATCCGGAGGGTTACCGGTTCAGTAATAGGCATGAGAGGGGAGTTTGAAAAAAAAAAAAAAAAAAAAAAAAAAAAAACAGTTCTTCGGGAATACCTATTCTATATATATTAGTTTAATTCACGTATAATGGCATTGTAGGTTATTATTAGAAGCCATATTTGATATGGAAAGGCTGGGTGGCTATCTCTTAGGTGGTTGAGAAGTATAAATTACATATTTTTTTGCACTTGATACTATAGATACCCAAGTACCTATTAAATAATCCTTGATGATGCGCATTTCGTCACTGGAGAAGATGGCCAACTACCTAAGTTAATAATTTCCGTATTTGGAATCGAACTAGACATATGGCGGTGCTAATTGGCTGGAATATACTACGCATAGTATACCTACCTACGCTAATGAACTCAGTTTTACATATGATTATCATCAAGTTTATCGGTTGCGCCTCTTTTATTCCTATTTACATTTTACCCACTTCAATGCCATGCTTCTTTTCATTTTCCTCTATGCCAAACTCAGTTTCGAGGCTACTGCGTAGCTTGACTTGTTTCTCAAGAAACACGAGTAAAAAAGATAACCCTGAAAAGACAATCGAAATCTGCCATACTCGCTGTAAACTGTGGCTGTATACACTGACGATCTCTTCCCGTGTGGGCGAGGAGAAAGACCATATAAGCTCTGCCTGAGCGCGTTCGTAAGCAACACCGCCACCCTCGAACATTGCACGAGCCTGCGGATTTGTAATGGCACTGTTTAGTTGAGAAAAGCGGTTGTTGAATATAGCAGCAGGGATAGCAACGCCCCAAATGCTACCAAAGGCACGCATGAACGACCAAGCAGCAGTGGTCGCTGCTTGGTCTTTTTCTTCGAAATGTGCTTGGACTGAGGGTAGCAGAGTATTTAATACGAAGCCTGAACCGGCTGCAGTAATAGCCTGGAATATGATCCACTCGGCTGTCGTAGTATTCGGGCTAAAGAGGGTAAAGAGCCCCAAGCCAATGGTACAGATAGCGAAGCCGATCATATGAAGCGGCTTGTACTTCCCAAACTTAGCTAGAAGAAGTACTGCCGCGATTGCTCCTGGGATTGCAATAAGAACCGAGGGAAGGATCTGTACTCCGGCTCTCGCTGCGGAGCTACCAAGAACGGTCTGAAAGTATACAGGGAGGAAGAATAGAACCCAATATAATAGTGCTGAGTTGAGGAATGTGATGCCGAAAATTACGCAGGAGGTTCGGTTTGCGAATAGACGCGGTGGTACAACAGGTTCTTTCGCCCATTTGGTGGACTCAAACCACATAAAACCCCCAAGACCAATAAATCCTATAATTAGGGGTGTCACAACATTGACAGAGGACCAACTATACTTAGTACCACCATAGGTAAGTGAATAGAGGATAGAGACCGTTGCGCCAACTAATATTAAGTTTCCGCCGAAGTCGATGCGTTTTATTTTCTGAAGAAATGACATCTCCTTATTATACCGAACTTGGAGGAAAAAGAAAATCATAATCATCGCGGTACCACCAACCTGCCACAATCAAAATTAGATCAGGAGTCTAGAATGTGTCAATATGGAGTTCACGTGGATGAAATGCTTACAGGAAGATTGATCCAGAATACCCATCGCCAGGTAGTATGGGCTACAATTTCACCGCCAACCCACGGGCCTAACGCTGTTCCAACGGTATACACGAGAAGAACTATAGCCATATAGTTTCCTCGCTCTCGAAGAGGTACCAAATCAGACACAATAATATCGATGATGATATTGATACCACCGGCGCCGATTCCCTGAACCGCGCGACCAGCAATTAACATGGCGCCATTGGTAGCACCACCACAGATTCCGCTCCCGAGAGTGAAAAAGAAGACAATGGCCATGGTGACCCATCTACGTCCGAAGATATTGGCCAACTGCCCGAAAAGGGGTTGGACGGCGGCGCTGTTAACTCGATTAGCATTTAGATCATCCTTATAATAGACCTATGCCTATATACCCTGCCAGGAAGAACACGTTCGTCACCCAGACGTAGTTGTCCCCTAGATCCAAGTGTTGAGTAATGAAAGGTAGCGCAGTGGTTACGACCGTATTCTCGAGGGCGCTAAGGATGCCGGTAACCGAAAGAGTAGCCATAATAGCCCAAAACCGCTTGCTCTGGTTGAACTTCTTTTCGATGGTAAAGTTATCGGAATGAGAGCTGTTGTTGTCTGTTATATGCGTAACATGACCTAAGTCGCTGGGCGACTTAGTTTTGATCTGATCCATAGCAAGACTTGTGCGGTAAAGGTTTAAGCCGCGATAAAAATAAATTAGGAAACTATAGTTCTTCGAGTTGATTATAATATGGTCATGTCAATAGTTATTGGTAAAACTGGCCCTAAAAAATCTCGACAATGTAGGACCAAGGGGCCGTAGCAAGTTTTATGATCAACCACATTGAAGTCCAACATGGGGGCCGCGAAGAATAGACGGCGAACGGGGCGACATAGAATATAGTCGGAACATCGTCGGGAGGTTATAACTGAATGTAGGTAGTATATTGGGTTGGTAGAAAATGAATCCAAGTAAGAATAAAGTCTCCGAAATCAATCCGCCCCACAAATAAATATGGTATAGTTGAAGACTCTTTTGGCTGTCTAATGGTGTTTATACCTCCTAAGTGCGGCACAGATTAAAATTACTGCCTGGTTTCATATGAATTATCCTAGTAAGCTATTGGTGATTAGAAGACCTAGCTAGAATATTGCTCTCAAACTAACGACTAATATTATTCTAGAGAATGGCGTAGCGCATAGGGTAGGTATTTCAAATATCGCGTCTAAGGGTTAATGCATTTTGTAATACTTACCTCTTAGGTAGTCAGAACTAAGTCGACTTTACTAGTTTTAATAACTAATGCCCTACCGGCTCTAGTCTAAAACGCCATCGTAGGAGCCTCTGGTGTAATTGTACCAACAGAAAATTGTAAGTGACTTGTCTTCATTTGTAATTTCTCTACGTTGATGATGAACCTTAATTACAATATCTCAGTGAAGAGGAGAATGTCTCAAAACATATCCCCTAGTCTACTAGCTATGAATATAAGGTTATTCTAGTGAGCCTGTATTTTCCTAATGGCATTTCTGATCTTCTCGCTGAAATGAGTAGATGAGGGGATTTTGCTAGGTATAGCGTGAGGTATCTTGGTGAGATCATGTGTATAAATCAGGCTTTGCCCTTCACTCATGGAGTAACCCAGTTAGTCAGTTAAGTCATTCATACTGCTCATATATCTCTATCTCTGGTAATCCTATAACACACTCTAACAGGTATCTTCTACTATACTCGTAGTTCTGAAAAGGGGGTGAAAAGGGATAAAAGTGGACCAACACAAGATTTGTGAAGATAACAAGATATCAGACTCTATATCCGTGGACTGTATATTAAACCAGATAAGATATAATTGAATGGACGTTGGGGAATGCTGACCATTCGTGGCCAGGCCGGGCTAATGTATTATGTGGAGCAGAAGGTCGAACCATCAACTTAGATGTACATCATGCCTTGTTGCTTCATCGTCTCTGAAGTAGATTAAGTTGTACCCCGGGTAGTCCAGGGATGGTGAATATCTCCACACGGGAATTCGATTGAACTATGATGGCTAAAGATCATTGGCGACAAACGTCAACTTCCGCACAGCTAGGGTAGCAATCGCGGGGTAAATGTAACATAAGACTCATCTAATGCAATCACCCTTAACTATCGTAGAATTGGGACCTATAGATACCTTACCTACTAATGTCTATCTCGGCATAGATGCCATAGCCCGTATACGACACCAAGTAGATGATAATCTGTTAGTAAGCTCGTCTAATGAGAAAAATGATGGCTCTTAGGATCTGCCGAATGTCTGTGGTAAGTATCAAGTAGTTTATCGTCACAGATGGGGGACATACAAAACAAGCTCCGCACCCATCAAAGCATGGTTATGAAATATCCGAGGACGTTTTCTGTTTCTTCTTGGATATCATTTTCTCTCTATAACTCTCCCGCGAGGTTACTTATTTTCTCTATATGAATATGGCTCGTAAACTTGTCAGTGGGCCTCAAAGCCGTGGGACGCATCTGGTGCGTAGTCACGCGCACGAAGAAGATATCCCCGGGACCGTCAATGTCCAGACCGTGGGTTAGTAAAACCCGAGGTTATATCCAACCATTAATTATTGACATTTTGGGAAACAGAAGGGGATGATTCTTATAACGGCCAGGCGCTTTTCCCTGTGCCTGCTGAAGATCCTAACGATCCGTTACAGGTGTGTCCTAGACCTGCGAAGTTGACATTGAGGTCGGAAACCTACAATTAACGATTTTAACAATTGTATAGTGGTCGAAGTCTAAGAAGATAATGATACTAGTAGTTATCTGCTTTTACTCTTTCCTCGGCAATGCAGCGCTATTGGGTCCTGGCCCTTATTTGACGTTATGGTCGGAACTATTCGATATCACCCCTGCGGAAGCATCGACACTTATATCATATCCCAATCTCGCATATGGATTCAGTTCTTTCATCCTCGTGCCATTATACTTGAAGTTCGGAAGGCGGCCTGTGATGCTTGGATCATTGTTAGCTGTAGGTCTAGTACATAGATTTGGATGGAGTATACTTCCCAACTAATCTCTTCTAATAAAGTTCATTGCTGGCCTTGCTGGATGTTCTCAGGCCAATGACTTTGGTGGACTGATGGTACGTATCAAGACCTGTGGTTCCAAGATATAAATATTTCTATTCTTCGTCTAATTAGGTACCGTTTAATCGTTATTTCTGGCTAACGGTTTGCAGTAAGTCAGCTTATCCTATCCCCTTATATCATCTTCTCTGGCAACGGATTATGGGGATACCAAGCTCGCTAGAGGTAGTCAATACCACGGCTAACATATTAAATATCCAATAGGGCGGGCCGAATTATACACTGTTTTGGTGCTGGTATATGCGAAGCTTTACCTGTTCAGCTCGTGTCAGATATATTCTTCCTTCATGAGCGGGGGAAACATATCGGCTACTATACATGTATGAAAGTGACCACTGCTTAAACCTGTAGAGCTTCTGCTTACGCTGATTGAAATAGTCGGCATGTGCTTCGCCTCCATGGCAACAATTCCAGCCGCATATATGCTACCAACTAAATACTCCTGGAGACTATTCTTTTACGTCATTGTCGCCTTCGCCAGTGCACTATTTATCCTTGCATTCTTCGTCGTCGAAGAAACATCCTACGATCGGGAGGCGCATATGGTCCAAGATACCTCTACAGAGCGCTCGGATGACACTGCCTCCAATGCCTTCGAAAAGCCTAACGACTCAGTCGTCGAGCAGGCGGCGAGCATGCCGAAACGAAAAACGTTCTTATCAACACTTAACCTATGGGGTCGTGTCGATCCAGATGTCCGTCTTCATAAGTTTATGTGGCGACCTTTTACCTATTTTTTAGTCCCTCAAGTCCTATGGGTTATCACTTCTTTCGGAACTATCATAGGGTTAGGTGCATTGGCCTTCAACTACGTCTTCCCAATTAAGATAACTGCACCTCCATATAACTGGTCAGAGGTATGTGTTAGGCTCTGCTTTATCCCCATAAATAAGTCTAATTAATGATGATCTATAGGCCAGTTCCGGCGTGCAGTCGCTTGGATCTCTCATCGGGTTCATTCTTGCGCTCCCTTTTACTTCCTCGTCGGATCTCTTGGCGGGGTACTTGACCAGACGTAATAATGGCATTCGCGAAGCCGAGATGAGATTAGGAGTCATGTTACCTGCTATGATAATAGGCCCAGCGGGTTTAGTTGTTTACGGGCTCACCGCAGAGCTCAACTTACACTGGATAGGCTATTTTATCGGATCCGGCCTGGCTTCTTTCGGCGGTTATTTCTATTACTGCTTTACATTGGCATATGCTGTTGATTCTTATAATAGCGATACCTCCGAAATGCTCATTGCGATAAATGTTGGAAAACAGGCCGTTAGCTTCGGCTTAGGTTATGGCGTTCTCGATTGTATGAAACCTTTCGCCTTTCCCAAAGGACCTCCATATCCCGGGAATCCATATTATTCTTATTTAATTCACATAATAAATGAATTGCTAACATTTCTTCAGGGGTAACCGAAAGCGGCTATGCAGCAATAATTGCAGGGGCATTTGGTGGAGTGTTCTTAACAAACAACTTGATGCTCATCGTGTTCTTATTGCGTGGCAAACAGATTCGGCGATTCATGTCAAAGATTAGAACTAAATATGGGTTCTAAAGTTATACGATATATAGTAAGCTTCGGAAAAACGAATAGTCAGATTTAATAATTAGGTACCTTTTTTTTTATAAATCATTGTCTACTAACTGAAAGTCTTGCACATCCCAAAATCCCTAGTATCGCATTTAAACGTAGGTACTTTTTGATTTACTAACACTGTATTAACTACACGCTAATTCAAAGTTCGGATAGTGGCTTGTCCACTAAACCTAGGTGATTTACCACTGTATTTATAGCGAGACCAACCACTATGGCTTAAATAATACCGTGCAACTAGGTTTAATCACACATAGTCTTGCCAGGATTAGATGTGTAAGACTTTTAGCCCGGATCTTCATAGTGTTGACCCCTTTCAAAAATTACATACATAGAAGAATTTTCAAAGAGTATACTGTAATCCATACTAGTGATTTCCTCTCACATATCTGACAGGTAGGTAGGTACCTATATTTGCTAAAAGGCTAATACTTAACCTTTGGCTGAAGTTATTGTTTAAATGCATGGAGGTACAGTTACATAAAGATTAGATTCACAGGCGCTGGTGTAGAAGATGGCTTTATTAAGTACCTAATCCTTTTAATCCTTTCTCTATTGGTATAGTTCATCTTGAATACTTACCTTCTGGTCGCTCAAGATTTATTGTAATAGAAGTAAATTTATTCGCCGTAGATTTTTAAACACTGGTTACCTCACTCTGGCCGAACTAATGCTTACCTCCTGTAAGCTAAGCAACGATCCAGAGGCGTGATATCAAACTACTTCTCTATATTGAATAGCTAAAACATTGTGGTTACTGAGCCATAATGGCTATAAAAAAGCGTGTTCCTCTTCCCGATCACCCGCCATGTAGAAACAGGTCTATGAATTCTACAGGCCCCCAACCAACAATAAAAGAACAAGTTAAGCAACTCCCCCAGAAGCGCAAAAGAGGCAGATCAAAGGCTATTACGAGTTGCGAGAGATGTCGGCAAGCACATGTCAAGTGTGTCTCACAAGGTCCAGGTGAGCCCTGTGTCAACTGCGCAAAACGATCGACGCGAGCTTGTAGCTTCACGCAGCGTCTTGGCGAAACTGATCTTAATCCGCCGATCCATCAAAAGGAATTTCCCTTGCAACTATCCCCAGATCTTAAACTACAAGTACTTGCAACTTCTGCCCTCAATTATATGGAAAGACAACTATTGCACTTGAGTGTTGATGCTACAACATCGTTGTCATCGGGATAGGCCTTGGATGTACACTAGTCACCCTGTAGCATGGGACTAGAAGCAAAGCATAAACGTATGAGGTACTTGTAATACCGAAAGCGAATAAGAGACTCAACATGCTGTAATCGAAAATATTGTGAGTTGTGATTTGTTATTACAGCATCAGTTGGTATTGACACGTGCCCCACTATTGGAATAGGGGCTATGGTTGATGAAAAGTGTCAAATATGATATGAAAATACACCAATTTCAAAGTAAACTACCCGATTTACTATAGATTCATTTAACGAGGGTATCATTTGAAACTAAAAGTGGTTTGCGTAATATCTAGTTGGTTTTTTTTCTCGCTCTTCATTTATAAAGTAAACGGAGTTAAAGATCTTATGCAATTATGTGCCTTAGCTCAGCTATTAATACCTCTAACGATCAATACAAAATTTTTAAATGTAAGCTAAATATATATAAAGATGTAAAAAAAAATTAGAATAAATATCTGAAGCTCTTCGTAAAAAGTGAATACAGCACCAGTCTATAATAGTCTATAATGCTAGAAATGATGATGCGATAAGTCTTTTAATGATACCCCTTCAGAATTTATGCTGTCAGAACTTTATAATACACCAAATGCTTCACAACTTCAAGATGTTATTCTCGCTGCGACAGGGACTCGCATATATGAGTGAACGAAAATATCCAACCGCCGTATCTGATCAGTGCTTGCAGATGTACTGGCCCTTGTTTGAGTTGCTGAGAGTAGGGGGGTTAGTGTCCGCCTTTCCCCAAACCCAGTCCGCTATGATGAGGTTAGCGTAGCCCTAGACGAGATAAAAACATTCATTCCCAAACTTACAGTGAATGAGTGAGCCGGACTGAACAAGGCTGTCCCAGGGCCAGATGAACCAGTCGTTCGAACGGAACTCGGCTTGTTTATCGGCAGGATCAGCGGTATCGATAGATGTTTTGCGGGTGTCGAAGATGGCGTGGTAGAAGGCACCGACGTAGACTTTAGCGTGATCACGGTTCTTGGCCCCATTCGTGCTTTTATCACCCGAGCTAACTACATGTTAGAACATAGAACTGGTTGCAGTATCGACAGCCCACTTACTCGTTGAAGGTATTCTGAATGTCGCCCCAGTTCCTTGTTACGTAGCCGCCGTGCTGGCCCAACATGAGTTGGCTTCTAGTCCACATGTTGTTGCTATCTCCCTGCCAAACAACCGATACTACCTCCCAGTCGCTCTTGTGTCCGGAATCATGCTTGAAGTAAATACTGTAGGTCACACGGAACTCATGATCCTTGCATTGGTTGATAGTGTAATACACTGGGAAAGGGTTTCCTTGCCCCGGACCACCACTCTTAGGATTAATCCACGGGCCGGGGTCAGCGCACCCCCTGCCAAGATTTGACCAGTTTCCCGAGTCTGGATCATTACCGTCGACTTGGTTGCCATTGATCTGTGCCGACTCAGGGTAGCATGGATTTGCGCCATGAGGACGGCCAAAATGGAACATAGGCACAGCAGCCATGGCAGCCTTGTGACCCTTGCCAAATCCATCATCTGCCAGATAATTAATTAGCATGCGTAATTAAACAAGACTATAAAGTACGGACCATCGTGGAACCAAGATCCAGGAATTTTAGTTGTCCCAAGCGCAGACCCTATAAGGGCGGCGGAGACACCAAAAATTGATGCGAATTTCATGATGGTTCTTGAAATATGATGAAATTTATATTATAAAGACTTGGCTTGGGAGTGATGACACTGATGAGTAAAAGATTTTAAAAGTTCAACCGCGTCGACGCTGGGGCTTCTTATACGTGAGAGTCCTCCTGAGGGAGCCAGCGACAACGTGATTAAAAGCGGATTTCTTAGATCTACATTACCTAATTTGGTTCACGATGTTCTTTTCTATAGACTAGTTCAATTTATTTAGACTATAGCTGGCTAGCTGGCTAACCTGGCTATGCTACCTTCCCAAGAGGGTTTATTGGTATAGCCAAGACTGTAGTTGACGCCAGCATCAGAGCGTCTAGATCAAGTCTCTTTAGGACCCATAGTCAGCAAGCAAATTATAGCTTAGTTTTAGTTACAGCTGCGGGCGAACTAGTCACTGGAAAACGTCAGCAACAATATAAAGCATTGTTAAAAGAGGCGCAAGTGTTAACACAGCCGATACGTTAGGTACCAAGACGGTAAAAGAAAAAAGATAAAGTTCTATAATAACCATTCGTAAGTCCAAAGTGCAATCTTACAATAATAAAATATTTTCCTATGCCTACTTTTAATCCGACAAGATATAAGATTCTTTGGGGCTTGCATAGGAGATACCTAACCCACTAAACCGGATGCTAATAAAGGCACCTAACTTTTACTATTTTTCAAATGTCTACTACGGTTTAACTTGGTATTATATAGCATACGTATTAATTATCTCCCCAAGAATTAAAGTCTCTCCAGCCCCTCTTGTTTCAACGCCGTTTTTGTATCAGGTAGTTAATCTCACTGGGGCGCGTCCGACTTGATGCCTCCAATATCTTCCGCCGAAATCTCCATGTCTGTGTTGCAGCCAGAATATGATACGTTCCACTTCCTGCTATCCCGAGGGCGGATTTCAACATCTATGTCCCAATCCGGAACAGGAACCGCTGCTACTAGGGGCGACTTGTCCGTCGTGGGTTTCAGCCATTTCCCGCCTACTGGACGAATGTCAAACCGCAGAGCCATTAGGGCAGAGAACATCAAGACCTCAGTGGACACAAAGTGTCGCCCTGGACACAAAGTAGTACCTCCACCGAATCCCCGGAAAGCAATAGGGTTAGGTGCCTTAATTCCAGGCTGTCGTATAAACCTCTTATGGTGAAATTCGTTTGCCGTTTCGCCCCATACCGATGGTATGGAATGTTGAACTCTGGATGGAATCATCACTGTACTCCCCTTCTTGATGAGGTACTTATTATCGAGCATATAGTCCTCCATTGCGATGCGAGCAGAAACACCTATCGCGTTACAGCGAAACATCTCCTTAAATGTAGAGAATAGGATAGGACAGGAACTTTTGACGTCCGCAAGATTGATAGTGCATACTCCATCTACTTCCTTCACATGCTCATATAGCTCAGTTCTGATGTCCTCCAGCACTACGGGGTTAGAGAAGATATGATATATCATCCAGAAAGTGGCCGGCAGCGTGTTAGAAAGGATGGCAAACGAACCGCCCACTTCGATTTTGGCTGTCTCTTTAATAGGAATTTGGAAATCTTCGTTGATTTTGACCCGGCATTGGATAAGTTCGGAACCTTTCTTATACGCGCCAGATTCAAAATAGCGCTCCCAGACCTTACCCATGTATTCACGGGCCTCGAAGCTCTGCTTTGCGAGGAACTGCGGCCAGAGTTTTAACACGAACATCATGATGCCCGGTTCAAATTTGCTATCTTGTTAAGTATCACTGTAACTATAACGTAGGTTTTGGGAGACTTACTACCAAGCATCCTCCATAGCTGGATCGCGATAAGGGTTTTTGGGACCATAAACGCCTTCTGTAGTCGCTATTAATAGCTCATGGCGCGTCCATTCGAACATTTTAGTCGTCGTGGGCCCCTTATCCGACAATCTATCCAAAGACTCGGCTAGCACTTCAACCGACCTCCTATTCATAGCATCCAGGCCTGGTCCAGCACTGACGGCAGAATGGATAGATTTAGGAAATGTCATAAGGTACCCTTCGTCGCGCACAAGATTGTGGGATATGATGTCATGCGTGCTTTTACTGACGCCTATTAAATCTCGAGCCAATCTTGACTCTAGAGCAGTAAAGGCCAATGTGCGAAATTGGCGCTGCACTATGGGAATAAGAGAAGTAGAGTTGATGACGTATATCCTCGACCCGGGCATTCGCAAGGTGTACAACGGGAGGTTGTACTTATCTCTGTTAGGGAATGCTGTTAGTAGAGTCTATATTGATGAATTCTGTGATACCCACCTCATCACACTGTAGAAGTTTGCTTTTTTAGCAGCCATTTCTAAGATCGGAGAAATAAATGGGATGGTATGCGCAACTGATTGCGGCTCTTTTGCATCTTGCGTAAAGTATAGGAGTGCCAGTAGAAACATGTAGGCTCCTACAACACCACCTAAGAATGCGACCCCAAAGAAAGACATCATCATCATATTTGTCAAGACTGATAAAGTAGGTCTAAAGAGAGACTTGTTGCCGATGAAGAAGTGTAGAGTTGGGAAAGAGTCAATTTGCTTTTGGTGGCCCCTGTTGGTCCTTTTATTTGTTAGCACCATAGCGGTAACCAATAGGAGATCTACGTCAACAATGAGTGTGAAAGGGAGTACATCTAATCGATTATATTACTTATCACATGTATTGAAGCAAACCTACATAAGAATGAGGCAGGATGGATATCAAATGTCTTGGCACACTACCTGGTGTAAGTTTCTGCCATCTATATCACCTCCTTTTAGTCACGTACCTAATAGTATGTGACACTTAATCTTGGTGTAGAGTTATAGTGTCGAAGGGTAAGCAGGGTTCGAGATATGAACCAGGATCCTGGCTTGAATGCATGTTACACAAGGACTTGAAGAGCAACTTCTTAGCCATGAGGCTCTGAGGTTATGTGGTAAGTAGTGGAATAGGAGAAGGTAGGTAGAAGGCGCTCTGATGCTTTTCCTCCCATTTGATCGTTCACCTATCGAATTATCTTTCTCATCTCTTGTACGTAGAGTAAAATTTAAAAGCAGTAGCGGAGCTGTTTCGTAGTAGCCGTATAGTAGTATAAATTTATTGACGTTTAATTTTCTTTTCTTCTTTGGACATCGTATGGCGCCCCTTAAATATCTATCTCGAATGGATATATCCCTAATTTATATCAGTACTATTTATACTCTGACAGTGGTGTCAGTACAATGGCACATGGTCATGGTCTCATTTTTCAGCTAGCTGTTTCACTTTCATTAATTATATGAGAGGGGTCTTTGAATATTTTGCTATCTTCTACCATTAGCGTTGCTGTAGGGTTCTTCGTATGAACAATAGGAATGACGGAATATTTACTAACATTGTTGTTACTATTATTGATTGCGTTCTATTTTTTTGATATTACAATATAATTTGAGTCTCCTAGGACGCAGTTTGGTCAGCATCGCCTTGGTCATTGAAAGATACCTGGGAGGCAGGTAGGTATTTTTGTTTATAACATATAGTAACTAACTACAAATGTCCTTGCGAGGTCTCGTTACTTCAAAGACAGCTCTAATCATAGCCTCATACACAATCTCATAATTGAGTAGTAAGCCTGTTACAGAAACTGAAAGATTCTTGAAGCTTGTTATCACCTTCGTGCTCACAATATCTCCCTCAATAAATATCTCAAGGGGCCCTGTGCCTTAGCTTCATCTCTTGGGAAGAACTTTTCTCTAGACTTAGTGTACTGCTGAAGGGCTTCGAGGCTCGGAAATATACGAATGCGCTTGCCAGTCCGTTGACAATCCACCAGATCAACGAGATTAACATGTACCGAAGAAACTTTCTAAAAGACGCTGTTAGTTCATCACATGGCAATGCCATTAATCAGGTACCGATAAGGGTGAGATAAATGATTTGGAAAGAGGCGAACCTTGCGGCAAGCATCGATGTCATCAGGTACAGGGCGAATTCTGAGAACGCGACAAAGCTTCTGCCACGACGACAATGATGTGTTGTCGTTACCATATATTCTTCCGAACTCTGATATCATGGCATCCTTGAATTTACGTCGGGCTTGACGCATCTCGTAACTTTTTTTATCCCATTTTTGATGCTTGCACAACAGTCTGAACTCATCCCAAACCGGTACAGTTTTATCATAGTGAAATCGAGGGTATTGGGCAAAAAATTCTTCCATTGCGCTGGAAGGAGGCGTTCTGAGACAAGTAGATAGATTTCGATTTGTAACAATTAACGAAGATAGGCGAAGTCCCATATCGGAATCTATATATTAACAATAGCTTTGAATCCCGCACTCCTTAACTAGTAGTAAGAGGACATTTTTTGCCCAATATGCGGGATTGCGAGTCGTACCTGTACTACAGAAGAACTTCATTTTGCATATGGAACGAAATCTGATATATCATATTATTAAGTGGTCCGACACGCGCGTATCCAATCCAAAAGCAAGTATAGCCCGAGGCGAAGATTAAATGTAAACGCCATGGGACAGTTAACCACATACATATTAATATGAGCACCAAATTGACCAGTTATTATTCAGCAAACAAATCGGGCCCATTTCCCCCAAGTATGTTGTTACATCGACGGCCAATGAGCGGAATGGGGCAGCAGGAGCCCATCCGAATACGAAGTTGTAATATACGTGTCCGATCTAACTGCGTACCTATCGTGGTGAGCTTAGTCTAGTAGGAACAGAAAGTAGCAAGAGAAAAAGATCAAAGTGATGAATACACATTATACAATGATGTTAAGATGTAAATACATTAAACTAAAGGTAACCCCGGGCTGTTAGCGCAATAGTATATAATTTCATCTATTTTATTATTATCTTTATCACGGTCGCTTTTATGTAGACAATAGGAATAAGGAAGTCCTCGCAAACTTAAGTGCCTAAGGTAACTATTATTAACTACCTAGGTAGGTAGGTATTATCAGTAGGCTATAATTCCAAGACCTCTAGGGAGCAAGAGGATTAACGTTGCCTTGATTCATTGACGAGTGTGAAATGTGTAGATCGCGAGCATCTGAAAAGATCTGCCTACTACCTATATTAGATGTAAAATAAAAGTAATTAATCCAAAAGCCAGGACTTTTCTTTGCATAGGTAGTAAACACGGAACTTTAGCAATGGTATATTATTTCAAAGATAGCTCCGAATCGAGACTAGTTAGGCAATTAATACAAGTTCTCGCAATCCATAAGTAAACCGACTATCGAAACAGTTATCAAGATTCTTGAAATCCGCTTTCATTCCTTCCACACGCAGACATTTATGTACTCTTAGACGGGAATATTATCCTCAATAGATACCTTAATGGTCCCTGTGCCTTAGCTTTTTTCTTAGGGTAGATCTTTTTCGATTCCCTAGTATATTTCTGGAGATCTTTCAGATTTGAGAAGAAATGAATACGTTCACCAGTTTGTCGACAACGTACAAAGTCAACGAGGTTAACGTGTATCGAAAGAACTCCCTAACCATATATTGTCAGTCCATATTTAATAATATTCAAAGCAACAGGACTTGTTGGATGCAAACCTTTTTACAGGGAATGATTGTATGAGGGACGGGAGATATTTCGAGACTACGACAAAGCTCTTGCCATGATGATAGTGATATGTTGTCGTTACCATATATTCTTCCGAATTCTGCTTTCATGGCATCCTCAAATTGACATCGGGCTTGACGCTTAGAATCGCCTTTTTTAGTCCATTTATAACATTTGCACAGTGACTTAAACTCGTCCCATAGCGGTACAGTGCCGTTATATTTGTATTTGGGGTACTGGGCGAAAAAGGACTCCATTGGTCCTTTGCGCTGCTCAGTACAATCCGATGTGCACTGTTGTTTGCTGGTATCATTCCTGGCCGAAGTCGATGAGATGCAACGGAATAAGTTGTAACCTGGGGAAACAGCACGAACTACTAGCCGGCTAAACTTGAAAGAATGGACGTATTTCATCTCTACTGAGTATAATAGGAGAGGAGAGGAGGGGATAGGATGAGATGTTATAAAATAATCTATAAAGACCTCGTGAGTGGAAACGACATAAACTATATAGTGGTAGAAAACTGCTGTTCACTAGTACCTAATATGACTTAGAAAGGTACGATTTGCTCCTATGATGCTTCTAACCGAAGACCTTGTGGATGTCAGTCGATTATATTTTAGACTTGTCATATTTCAAACCCGTTGAAAATGGCTGGAATAGTAATTGGTATTGCCCTCCAAATAGTAAGTGACCTGGTATGTATGTAGCCGATGTAGGGGGAAGATTACCCAAATCAAGCTTCAAATGCAAACGCCATGAGGCACTGATGGCAGATTTCTGCATATTGTCTCCGTTCATTTGCCGATTGAAGTCTAAGTAGTATCTCATGAATGACATATCACTGTTTCACGAATAGGTAGGATACAGGTACTAAGATTGTCTGTTATGAAGTCTTGAGCGCAATGGACTGAACTTGTGCTCCGAGGAAATAACTGCCTACCTACCTAGGTAGATATTCGAGAGTGACGAGTTTCATCCCGGAGCGATAGGTACCTAGGTAGGTAGGGAGGAAGAAAGTATAAGGTCATAGATTTAAATTGTACGACGATGTTAGCCTCTATCACATAATTACATGTAAGCCTAGTAACGAAAATACACTCATGTTATAGTAAAACTGCATTCAAGTGACAACCCAATCCCCCCTAAAATGGGCCTTGCGTGCCTGTGAAACAACGTCAGGCAATATCAGATCAACGTCATTAACCACAATCATATGAGAGGTTAGAAAGCTAGAAGTTAGAACTAAAGGGCCTTGAAATGTTCCTCGCGTTGATGACGGAGGATTTCCTCAACAGCCGACAAGTAGGTATTGTTGTTCTCAACTCGACCACCGGTAGACTTCGAAATATCTCGCATCGCCACAGATGTATTCACAGATCCGCCATTGTAGATTATAACTGAGTGTGCTTGAATGTTCGCGGACTTTAGTTGGTCGCAAGCTGTGAAAAGAGAGGTAGAGCTTGAGCAGTTGGCATTTCCATCTCCTATGAGTATTATAAGCTTTTTACTGCCAACATATGCATGAAGGATACTTCTGGCTTCTTCCATGCAGTAAGTGTAGTCCTCGCTGTCCATGCCGTTGATGGAGTCTAGGATCTGAAATGTCGCATTGGAAATGGTTTGGGCAGGCAAGGGATTCATCTTCGTACGGCTTCCATGAACAACAACCGCAACTTTAGCATCGTTGTTGCTCAACTTAATCATTAGTAAGGTTTCCCTGTAAACCTGTTTGACTTCATGCATGATTGAAACAAGACTTCCGCTAACGTCGACGCAAATGACTATTGTCTGGGTAAAGGGTGCAGTAGTCTTTTGCAGGTCGTCGAAACTCTGGGACTTTGCCTTGAAGGCATCGATTTGAGCGTCGAGTTCTTTCTGCACAGCTTCTTTCTTCTCAATGGCATTCGCAGAAGTACTCCGAAGTGTGTTGAGTTCTCGCTCAAGGTCCCTAACCTCTCTGCCTTTTGAAGTGAGCCGCTGCTGAAGCTCGCGCTCGCGCGATTGATGAGCTTTTTTCATATCGGAAATTGTGAGATCTGCTTTGTCATTCTTTTCTTGAAGTTTCTTGTATGAATTATTGAGGTCGTGGATTTTAACCCGGTCTGCCTCAAGGTCTAGTTCAAGCTGTTGGACTTGGCTGACTTGCTGGTCACGAGCCTTGACAACCTGAGTGTAGGCTAACTGAGTAATGCCTAGTTCGTATTTCGCATCATCGAGTTTCTTGAGTATTTTTTCAAGTCTGGATTGTATATCTGTAATTTTATTCGATAAGGTTTCTTCTCGCTTTCCAGCTTCGGTAGTTTGAGATTTGAACTTCTCATCTGCCTCATGTATCTGTCCGTGAAGTCTTTCGCATTCAGCTTCGAGTGTTTCCTTGCTAATGTTGAGGCTAGTTATCTTGTCTTGTTGACTGGTGACCTCAGCTTCCAATTTTGTGCACAGCTTTTGTTGGTCGCTGAGCCGTCCCGCAAGATCAATGCGTTGCATGTTTAAGGCTCTTTCTCTGCCACCGGTTCGATTAGGCCGTGTACTAGTCATAGACGGCGCATTTGTTGTTGAAGTGTTTGAAGTCGTTGCTGTATGACTGGGATGCATGGATTGATCCGATTGAAGTTGCACGCCAGTTGCCCTCCCGGCAACCGGCCCCCGTACTGGTAACCCCCGTGATGCCGCTGTAGTGGTTGACATACACATGGCCATTTTCCCGGATGCCTCTAGTGGCATCGGAGGTACACCGTTATCTGTCATGGCTGCTCTAACTTGATTTGAAGTGATAAAGCGCCTATCAACCACAGTGTTAAATGTCGAGAGGGATAATTATTGTCTAAGATGGACGCGATAGTAACATAGAAGCTTGAGAGGTACTTGACCTAAGGTAGGTAAATATCTTTCTATTATATATTTTAATATAACTTAGGTAGGTACCTAAAGTAGTTCTACTTGGATGAGAGGATACGGAATTTCTCTAAGTTCGTCTGTTGAGAGACCTTCCGCTATTGTCTGGACGGAGCTGGTTCAAACGGATCTGACCTCTCGGAAGCTATGCGACGATTCTATTCAATCATTACACGGTTCTAACTAATCATTTGCAAACCGAATACGAAAATAAAAACAGGTACATAAGTAAAATTGGAAATAAGCACCTTTCCGTGTGCGCCTAATCTTAGGTAGATTCCTCGACGAATATTCGGGAACTATTACTGTACCTATCCGTGATGGAAATATGAGGCAAAATATAGAAGCACGAATCATATGAGTTTATTATATTAAATTGAGGATTTGGTCTTAGATTAAACGGCCTAACGGAAATGTCGTAGACTAGAATCTAATAGGTACCTAATTTATAAATCATTTCTCATGCTTTCGACATCTATTATCTACCTTGGCAATAGGCAGCCACCTTGAATACTATCAACAGTCATCGACTAGACTAGGCTCAACAACTACAAACAATACCCTAGTTCAGCCGCTTGATGATTATGTAGGTGAATGGAGAAAGAGTTGTTTTCGTTGTGATACAGTTAGAAAGTATACTATACCAAACGATCAAAGAGTAAAAACACAATTGCGATTCGTAACTTTGATCTGTCTAAGAGTAGGTAGTTTCGTGGTCGAATTCTCCAGCACCTGCCTACCTACCTGGTATCCAACGCCCACGTGCATGTGAGCGCCTATTTAATATATTTATATATCTCTGACATTTTCATACGCTGTAACAATATCTTGTATTATCATTTTACTCTACCTGTCTTGATCTTGCTTTTAGAACATCATGTCTACTACCCCAAAGGAAGAAGATATAAGTCGATTTCTGGCACAGTATCCAACCTGCTCCAGAGACACCGCGTCGGATTTTCTAACAGTGAGCATTCCTAGGTCAGCCCCCACAATATGAAATCGCTAATATCCTAGGTTTATGGAAATGATCTCGAAGAGGCTATAGAAAAGTATAAAGCATCTGAGGTTTGGATTTACTCTTTTATTCGTAGGCCTTTCGTTTAACAAGTGTTTAGAAATACCTTATACCCGTCCCTCCGTTTGAAGATGATATCTCGCCAAGTAATTCAAGTAATGAACATGACACTCGAGTTAGAACAAACTCACTTGAATCATCACAAGCTGAAGACGAAGGTATCGATGAATACAGCTCGTGGATGCCCAAGTTACCAACCCTTCCGGTTCCTGATAGATCTATCGCCAGTGATCCCCCCGACCCTTATGTCTTTGAACTGCGCGAACTCTTAGGCGCAATTCGAGCTGGCTATTTCGACGCCGACCGTATCCGTAGATACTTAGGGTATTACGATAAAAATGATTTATATACGCAGCTGAATGAAACCATCGACGGGTATCCGGCAATCTTTTATGTTATCTCGACCAATGATATCGGTATACTTCGCGAGTGGCTCAAGCACGGAGGTGATCCTAACGCGACATGGGGAACTAGCGCCATTCCTGCAATTGGCTTCTCTATTCTTCATGGAGGCCAAACTATGCTTCAGGCCTCGAAGACACTTGCTACACTTCTTAGATTTGGCGCAGACCCTCGGGTCATCCCAAAAGCGTTCTATGATCCCTATTGTCGAGATTTGCCGGAGGGAGGGCCAATTCTGGAAGAGCTTTACGATATCAATGATACTAACAAGGAATGGTGCACAGAGGAGGTACGGGAACATCTTACTGAGGTTCTAACCTTGTCACAGCGATATGATCTCTACAGGTCCAGTAAGGTCATGCCGCACTCCGGTCGAGAGAAAGAAGTACTTAATCGACAAGGCGCCGGAGAAGTCCTAGGCCTTCACCAAATGATTGTCGCTCAGTCCATTGCAACGCGCTGGCTCCAAAGAAAGCTTCTTGTGTAAGTTCAAGGCTTCTACACATGTACGTTCTACAGCTAATAGACATAAGTTACCTTGCGCTCCAAAAGAAAAAGCCGTTTATTTTGGTCTTCGCAGGGCCGAGCGGTCACGGCAAAACGGAACTTGCTAAAAGATTCGGAGATCTTATGTCGCTAGAATTGCATGTGGTAGACTGTACCATATTTAAACAAGACAACGAGCTGTTCGGACCACGTCCCCCCTATACTGGACATGAGGACGGCTCACAATTGAATAATTTCTTGGTTCGCCAGGCTGGGCAGCGATGTATTGTGTTTATGGACGAGTTCGAGAAAACTAGCAAGGACATCCACAACACATTATTATTACCTTTCCAAGATGGTTAGTAAACCTAGACAGCTGGACTATTTACCCTTCGTGCACTAACAAGTAAGAAAAGGCCGCTATGAAGATCGTCGGAATGGGAAAATAATTGACTGCTCCAAGACGATTTGGATTCTCGCCACCAACAAACTGGATGATAGTATTCATGGGTTCTGCAACGCTAATGAAAAGACCATTTTCCACTCCGAAGACCAAGATGCTCAGGATAAGTTGGTAGAGAAGTTGTGTCGTCAGCTCCGCAAGGAGTTTACCGGGCATTTTGGTGCCCCTTTGAGTGGTCGTATTACCGAAATCATTCCTTTCCTCATCTTTTCGCCACAGGAGGCAGCTGTCATTGCTCATAGAACATTGATGGATTTGGAGAGCGAAGTTATTCAACATGTGCGCCTGGCTCTGAACAAGGAAGAAGACGTCTATGTCGGGAATATCAACATCCGTATCAAGAATGATGCAACAGTATGCTCCGCCATCACCCGTGACGAGTACGACAAGAAGACCGGCGCCCGTAGCATTAATCAAGCTGTGGAGCGTATGGTCCAGGATCCGCTCGTTAGCCAGTACCTGAAAGATGGTGATGAGTTTGATGAAAATCAACCTATTACCTCGTTTGTCGTTGATGTTGATGTTGATGGGGAGGTTGAAGTGAGACTGGTTACATGACGAGGAGTAGAGAAGAAGGATACTAAAAGGGAGTTGCCGAATGGATTATATCTGTCAGGTATAGAGCAACATTTAAAATATTGGTAGGGGGATTTAAAGCGCTACTCTGAGTACCTTTTCTATAGAAACCTACATATCTAATGGAAATACTTAGTCCTCATGTTACTGCATACATTTAGCGTGATCATCAAATAATACCACTCAAGAGAACTAATCGGAGAGTTATCGACCTAATTAATCATATTCGTTCCAATTACAATAAGCTACTCTCAATGTAGACTCAATAGAAACGCCCAAAGGGGTAGTAGAAATTCAGCCAATCAACGTCTAAGGGATTCGTATTAACTACCTAAGGTATCTAACCTACCTATGCATCAAGCACGGAATCCCGACTTTATGCAATCCCATAATAGTGACTAGAAAAGAATGAATAGCTACCGGACTCCGTAAAGTTAAATTCCGCCCCGGGTGATCCGGTATCCACCCCCAATGTCTCGGTAATGTAGGTCCTGGCTTGGAGATAAGAGTGAGATTCATGTCATCAAGCTCATAAGAGAAGTAGAACAGGCCAACAAACCACGAAAACGTATAGATAATGGTAGAAGACAGATAAACTATACACTTTAACTTATAACTAAGAGACCGTTTATTTATATAACCAAATCCTAAACTTACATTAACCTTAAAGAACTTCAAATCAATTATCTTATCATGTAAGCTGAAGCTCGAGCCCAAAAGATAAGCTAGCTGCCCAGCTGAGAGATCTCAGTGGTTATTCAGCAAGGGTGGTGCAAACGTCAGGGGGGATGACGTGCGAGAACATCAACAGGGCTGAGTGGCACACAGTGAAACAACAGGATGGCGCAACCTCTGGATTTAGTGATCAAGAGACACTTTTGTCAGCAGCTCGGGCAATCAGATGGCGTCCAAGGTGCGATTTCCAGCCCGTCGGAAAACCTAATAATAATGGACTTGCGTCCTTTAATATTTGGGAATCTTAATACATGAACCTAATAAACAGGTACGAAATTTCGAATCTCTCTGACCGGACAATAAACTACTTATACACGATCGCGAATGAAATAAATGATACTAGAAACTATGAGCTAGAATTACGCGTCTGTGCGAACTATTTCCCCAAGCCTTACTAGAAAATGTCTACGTCCTACGGCGAAGATAGCCCCTTGTTGGGTGCGGATACGGCATCGATACGTTCGTCTTCGATCCTCAAGCCCCCGACGGACGACGAAGATGGGCCTTCTTCACCACCCGAGTTCGGGAATCTCGAAGACGATGTCTTACCCGAGGAGTCCGTCCTAGGCCGGAACATCGACTGGAAAAGCGCTTATATCATCGCCATTTCAAGAGTTATCGGAAGCGGCATCTTTGCGGTTCCGGGAGTTATTCTGTCCTCCGTCGGAAGTGTGGGTCTTTCGCTTTCGATTTGGATCCTTGGCGCCGTCGTCGTAGCATGCGGCCTTACGGTATCTCTTGAATATGGCTGCATGCTGCCGCGGTCTGGCGGAGACAAGGTATACCTCGAGTTCACATATCCGTGGCCACGCTTCTTTGCCTCGACCATGATCGCGGTTCAAGCTGTGCTTCTAGGTTTCACGGCAAGCAATTGCGTGATCTTCAGCCAATATGTGCATTTCGTATTCGACGTCGAGGCTCGAGATTTTTCTAGGAAGGCTCTGGCAGTCGGGCTCCTTACTGTCATCACTATTATTCACGGCGTCTGGTATAGAGCTGGCATACGCATCCAAAACTTCCTAGGCTGGATCAAGGTGGGGCTTGTTGTATTCATGGTGTTATCGGCTCTTTACGTCGTGGTATTAAGGCCCGAACAGGAAGATGCAAACTTAAGACCGAAGAAGATACAATCTTGGGAAGGACTATGGGAGGGCAGTGACTGGAATCTTGGGACCCTTGCGACTTCATTATTCAAAGTTTTCTATTCTTATGCTGGTCTATCCAACCTGAATAACGTTATGAACGAAGTGAAAGATCCGTAAGTACTTTCATCTCCTTCCTCCCGCCTGGCTTGCGGTTCGGATTTCCTAATCGAGTCGACCGGGTTTTACTATTTCTAAGCCATGCCCATGAGTCTTGATTCTCGGACTGTTTACTAATCGAGAAAATGGCTGATTATCATTTATACAGTGTTAGAACCTTGAAGTCGGTTTCTCTGACGGCTCTGGTTACAGCGTTGCTCTTGTACTTGCTTGCTAACCTCGCTTACTTTGCCGTGGTACCCATTGAGGATATCAAAGAGAGCGGTCAGCTGGTTGCCGCATTGTTCTTTGAACGTACATTTGGCCCCAATATCGGCAAGAGGTTTCTACCTCTGGCCGTTGCGCTCTCGGCGGCAGGGAATGTGATGGTAGTGACATTTTCGACCGTAGGTTTATGCCCCCAGAGTTTCTGTGAGATCACCAGTGTAAGACCTGAATCCTAACCAACTGTAGGCGCGTCTGAATCAGGAGGTTGCTCGTGCGGGCTTTTTACCATTTTCCAGATATTTATCATCTTCGAAGCCTTTCAACGCTCCATTAGGAGGATTGATTGTACACTGGATTCCTTCTGTTCTGGTTATCATACTCCCACCATCGAGCGAAGTGTACTCCTTCATATTAGAAGTTGAGGGTTATCCAGGACAAGTATTCGCGCTTGCTACGTCAATAGGACTTATCTGGCTGCGATATAAGCGACCGGACTTGAAACGGCCGTTCAAAGCCTGGATCCCGGCGGTCATATTTAGAATCGTTCTGTGCTTTTCTTTATTAGCTGCTCCCTTTTTCCCTCCGTCGCATCCGAAACCCGGTGGCCTATTTTACGCGACATACGCCATTGTTGGTGTCGGCATGTAAGTTACAGCGTTCCCAACACGAAGAACCAATAATAGTGTCTTTTAAGATTTTAACCGCATATGCTTACAAATTCGTAGACTTGTGTTTGGAGTCCTATACTGGCTTATATGGACAGTCATATTACCCCGACTGGGCGGCTATAGGTTAGAAGAGAAGCAAGACGTGCTAGATGACGGGACTGCTATCACTGTGCTAACAAGGGTACCGAATGATGTTGACTAATTGTTTAAATATTTGGTACATTTCATCACTCTGCTTACAAGGTGTCCACTGATGTTGAGTAATGAATCGGGAATATTTTTTTCAAATTCGGTTGTAGTATTTGACCGTGGTTGTGTAATTTATCATCATATCATATTGAGCCGCAGTTAGACGAAAACCGTAGATGTCAATGAAAACAAAGGCTATAACTGGTAATACAGAATAAGTAAACGTACTTAGTGAGAAAACGAGATATGACAAATACAACTTGAAACTAGTATTTCTAATCAGTGCCACGCCACTGGAGTCTAGATGCAGGATGTAGGCAATCATCTTATACTCTGGGCGCATGACGTCCTGTCACAGAGCTCCCCCTACTGTCGCAATCTTGCGTGATTGCGGGGAGCTACTATTCCTTTACCGCAAGTGGACATGCACTACTGTACCGACATCCATGGATGAGGTAGCAGCCGATATCACAGTATTTCCGGACTAAGGAATTCATCTTTCGATAAAGAAGTATATAAGGAATAAGACTTGCCTCTCTATCCATTGCTACATCAGACACGAGTATACAAACACTACTACGCCTTTAACAAGTATACAAAACACACAATGGCCTCCCCAGACGTCCAACTCCCCAGATCTGTCCCAGCTTTCTCAGCCGCTGGTATATCAGCTACTCCCACGGCCCCAGCACCGCGTGACGTCGACACCGTGCTAAACTACCACAAGGACGCAGAAGACGGCTCACCACCGGCCCCTACCTACGTAGATCGGCCCGAGACCCAGAACCGACCGTTCGAGTCTTACCCAGTCCACATTACGGACGTGTCAGGTCGGGAAGCCGAGTTTACCCTCGACAAGAACGGTTTCCAGTTCTATCGTCATGTTGCGCAGGAGAAGGACTTCCTTGATGATGACCATATCAAGGCGGTTTACTACCCCGAGACCGAGCAGCTGCTGAAGGATGCGTAAGTTGATGAATTACAAGTCATATATTTATACACTTATAAAAGGGGGCATTGTCTCAAACATAACAACCATTGACTAATGCCCCATCCAGAACCGGCGCATCCAAGATCTTCATCTTCGACCACACCATCCGGCGTAACCCAGCCGACCAGCGCGGCGCCGACGGCGGCCCTTCCCGCCGCGGCCCCGTCAACCGCGTGCACATCGACCAGACGTACTCTGCGGCGCTATCCCGCGTACCGCACCACCTGCCCGCGGAAGAAGCCTCCGAGCTCCTCAAAGGCCGCGTGCAAATCATCAACGTCTGGCGACCCATCAAAACCGTTCTGCGGGACCCGCTAGCCATCGCGGAGGCCAACTCGGTCGGAGAGGCGGAGCTCGTGCCCATTCCGCTTATTTACCCGAACCGCAAGGGCGAGACGTTCGCGGTCAAGTACGCCGAGGGCCACAGGTGGTACTACAAGTACGGGCTCACGCCAGAGGAGGTCCTGTTCATCAAGTGCTTCGATTCCAAGACGGACGGACGCGCCCGCCGCGTTCCGCACACGGCTTTCGTGGACCCGACGATTGGACCTGATGTGCCTAAGCGCGAGAGCATCGAGGTTCGCGCGCTGGTGTTCCATCCCGACGATAGGGATTAAATACTTAGGTATATAAAGGGGAATGGTTTAGATACCTAGCTACTATCGATGAGATGAAATAGACGTCTCGAGGTGTGAAGAGATGAAGATGCAGCGTGTATAGGATACGGGTAGATTGTTATATTAAATAAAACAACTTTACAGGAATACATTGTTAGAAATACAATAAGAATAACTCTATCTTTAACAGTGTTAGATTCATAAGAAAATATACGCTATTTCTAATATTGCCTACTTTGGTATAAGTATATCAATATGATTGCTTAGGAAAACTCATCCAAGACGATAAATGGTGCATAGAGATCACTACTAAGAGAACCTCACAACGAGCAATACAAGTATCATATACACATATCAAATAAAATTCAAACCATATCTCATCTAAGATATCTCAAACGCCACCCGTATGCAAATCGCCTATGCGCCCTCTCTGCTAAGCCCCTAACCCCTATTCGCCATCCATCATCTCATCACGCACCTAAATCCAGCCCCTCCAGCCCAAAATCCAACCCTCTAAACCCCTCTTCAACGCTCCACGCGCGGCCCTTCTCAAGCTTATTTAAGAATTCGCACGCGCGCCCGACGACAAGTAGTCCGGGGGGCCTACTACCCTCCTGCTCGACAGCCTCGACGACGCGGTCAAGCGTAGTCCGGATGACGCGTTGGTCCGGGCAACTAGCGCGTTCGACTACGGCACAGGGTGTATTTCGCGGCCATAGCGCGCGCCGAGGAGCTTCATTAGTGGTTATGTTTTTTTCTGTCTCTAGGTGCCCCGTTAATTCCTCAACAAGCCCCGCGATGCGATGCAGCGCCATAAGGAACACAACTGTCCTACTCGGTACATATTCCGGCGGTGTCGGTGCCTTGCCCTTCTTGCCCGTCCCCGTGCACACCAGTACCTGGTCCGCAACGTCGCGCTGCGTAGGTGGAATTCCCGCGAACAAGGGTGCGGATAGCGCCGATGTAACCCCTGGTAAGACTACAACCTTGTCTCCTAGCCCCTGACTTCGGAAGTGCTCGACTTCCTCGCCGCCACGCCCGTAGATATACGGATCGCCCTGTTTGAGGCGTAGGACCGTCTTACCCTCGCGCGCGCCCGCCATGGCCATTTCCTCTAGCTCGGCCTGCGCCGCGTCCGCGTTACCCGGGAACTTGCGCGCGATGTGCACGGGAGTGCGGCGCGGAATCAAGTCCAGCACGCCAGCTGGTACTAGCTTGTCCGCTAACACTAGATCCGCGTTTTGTATGGCTTTGTACGTTGCTCGCGTGAGCAGGTCCGGGTGGCCGGGGCCGGACCCGGCGAGAATGATGCGCCCCCGGTTGCTAGCGTTGTTGGCGGGGGAAGATTTGCTACTTGGATTGGAAGAGCCAAGGTCGTCGTAGGATTTCAAGATGTTAGCCATATCCTCATCCGTAATAGCAGCAAGCCTTTTCAGTGGCCAATACTCGCAGATTTGGCTAAGCCAACGCATGCGCCTATTCTTCACTGCGTCTAAGTCTGCCTCCGTAACAAGCTTGTTGAAACTAGCTGATTGGTCGATCGAATCGTCAACATCGTCTCCATCCGCCAGGGCCATATGTAGCAAGTGATCTTCCTCTTGTATCTTCCTACGCACGTCTCCCAGTCGCGAACAGGCAGATCCTAAATTCAGAGGTAGCGAAGCTACAACCTCACGGCGTATTCTAGACGCCAATTTGCATCCGCGACCATTCGTTGTTATGCCGATTTGTAACGGACCGTCGACATGCGTAGAGAGGAGGGAGAAGGAGCATAATTGCGGCGCATCGACAACGTTCACGGGGATGCGATTATGTTTGCAAAGTGATGATATATGTGCACCTGTTTTAAATTAGCAAGCATTTCTACTATGGTAGGTTTGGCAACCAGTCATACTTAGAGGGTCTCGAGATCCCGAAGTCACGAAAACAGCGTCCACAACACGATTGATTTCCTCTCTTCCCAATGTGAATAGATGCTCATCCTGGAATTTATTCTTTACCCATTTCACTTCACCATCGTCCACGCGCTTCTGCAGCGCATAGTACAGCTCTGCTGTCTCCGGCGCAATGAGGATTGGCGATGCGCCAGCACTTAACGACTGTCCACATCGCGCCGCCGCAAGAGGGTTCGAACCAATGATTAGATGGACATGTGATCGGGCATCCGTCGCCGTTAGAAGGGAGATATAACAATTCATCGTCGGTTTAAGTCTCTTCTTATAGGCGCTTGTAGACGAAGTCTTGATAGCTCAAGTCCCCCACTACCTCAGACTAATAAATGAGTACCTATAACAGTGATACTCTAGTAAATCAACCATACAAGTATATAAAGGAAAAGAAAGAAGAAATCATGGAGGAAATAAAATATAATTAGTCATTGTAAGTATATCCTTACAACAGCCCCAAGAAAAATATATATAGTTCTTAGCTAAGAAGTTATCCGCGACTAGAGGCGATGTCGCCATGAGCGCCGCGGCCGAATTCTTTGAAGAGTCTGGACCGATTCCCGAAAATTTCAGCGGGACCCACGGGGGTTTGGAGGGGCATTTCTCTGACGCAATCGCACTTGATAATGTTATCGGGCCAATCATTGATAAAACAATTGACATTAGTTTAGTTGCTGCACACCGAGTTCCGCGGACCCTGAGCGGAAATCTGTAAGTCGATGAAATATTCTAATTAATACCTTGTGAGTGAACCATTTTATTCGGAAATGTGACTTTCAACTACTAATTCTTATCGTATTCTTAATTCTCATTCTTACATAACAGTCATAGTTTGAATGAATATAACTAGGCCTATGCAATTCTTAAGTGGAGGTAGTTCGTTCATAGTTCATAGGTACATATCTGTTATAGCATTTAACTATACATAGTAATACATCCTCCGAGGAGATGTTGTACAAATTTAACGGTAAGCACTTGTCCATATTATTTATTGGAAGCCATCCTCTTCGAGCTCCTTCAGCAAATTCTCCAGCTTTGCCTTCTTTCCTCCCTTGGTCCTCCTAGTGGAAGGGCCATGTACTTTAACTTTCTCGTAGGCGCTGTAGATGCCTCTCGAGTCAGCATTGAGATGGACAATCTTCGCCTTGTGACCTTGTATGTTCTCGCGAGACCGTACACCACCATCATTACCCACCGCACCCGCTCGTCCAAGTCGAACATTACGAACTACTCTCGTCTTAGCACCTAAAGCCCATAGATCTCCCCACTTCGTCTTGCGTGCGTCGTGATACGCCTGCTTGCTGAAGCTCTTGGGAACCGTCCATCTCTCGATCTTTCCGGTAGGTGTGCACAGGTCAAGCGTCACGTGCCCACGTCGCTTCAGAGGAGGGAGAATGTTTCTGGGTAATAACAATGTGTTCGGCACTTCTGTAGCGTTCTCGTAGCCCTTAAATGCGCGATCAGTCATGTTGCCGCTCTGTTTAGGCACGGTGACCGGCTTCATGTCGGGCAAAGTGCCGCGTTGAATAGCGATAAAACTAAAGTTTATGTCTGTATGGTTACGGTGCGTGGCACCAAGCACTTTTTGTAGGAATGGTGGGCGAATAAACCTCTGATTAAAATGACAAAAATCTTTCCGCCCACTGCTGAGTCCAGGCGTCAGATACATGGGACACTCCTTGTGGTTAGTACATGGGGCAATAATCATGCCTGGCTCACGGATCCTTCGCTGCTCAATCTCAATTTCATTAGGTCGAGGATCCGAAGTAGGTGAAACGATGAATTCATTCAATAACCGAGAACGAACATCTGCGACAGCTTCAAATCCCCGCGGGTGGCCTTTTTCCATGAAGATGAGAATCCCACCATCGGATGACAACATTTCCCACAGGTTGTCTAACAGAGCTTTGCGTTGGAATCCTTCCTTTAATGGCAATAATAAATGGGAGGCGATAATAATGTCAAATGACTTCTTCTGCTGCGGCTTATCACCAGCGTCTAGCATATCTGGGTTGTCGGCAGAGTGTATATAATCTGGCAAGCGTGGGAGGAACGTAGTGTCATCAAGAAATCGCGATACCCGTTGACGCAGCTGATTAGATCCAACCACAACCGTTTTTTTCCCTGGCGGTCCATGGTTAGGCTTCTTACCCCCTTCGATCATGAGATCCCATTCTGCTTGAAGGACTTGCTGCCAGGCTGCTAATCCCGCACCGCCCGTACCGACATCAAGCACACGAGGGCCCTCCCCATTGCCCCTAGAGATGAGTTTGGAGATCCACTCCGAGCCTAGGCGTTTCCTAATTTCAACTAGGATCCCCATCGTAGACGCAAACATTCCTGGAAGGTTGATAGCCATATAAGCGTCTGCTTCGATCTCGCTCATCTTGTGCTGACCTGCTGCCATGGCCACAGGTTTCTGCTCGGGACTTTTCCTCACTGCGGGAGTTGCAACAGAGTTTGGAAATCCGACGCCACCAAAAGCTTTCTCTCCTGCCTCTTTAATATGCTTAGCATCTGTTCGGTCGAGTAATTTATTGATTGGGTTGACAAATTCCTCTTTCGGTAACTGGATAGTCGAGGGTTGGGTTCTCCATTGGCTCATTCTCGTATACTGGTGAACGCGACTATCTTGGATTCGGAACCTTGCATCTGACTCGCCTTCGTCTTCATCTTCTTCGTCTTCATATTCCTCATCTTCCTCCTCAGGCTCTTCATCGATTTCCTCTTCATCAACTGCTCGCAGCTGGGTGCTTTCGAAGTCTTTTTGTAGTCTCAACAGAGCGTCGTATTCTCTTTGGCTTTTAGCCACGGCGCCAACATGACTTAACCCGGCTTCAGAAGGGAATTCTCCTGAATTTTGCATGTTCGCTGAAAAGGGAATTTGAGTACCATCAAAGCCTTCGGGATTAGATATAGCAATATTAGTTTCGTAGACAAGTTCCTCTAGCTTCCCGTCTTCTCCTTCCCGCAGTAGTATTTTCTTCGATAGATCGTAGGACGCATCTTCAGAGACGAAGTCAGATGTCGGCACACCTACATCTTCTGGCCGAGTCTCTCGTAAAGGCGCGCCGTACAGTCGCTCGTATAACTTATATTCTTCTTCATTTAAATAACCCCTTGGTAAAGTGTCACCAAATGCGTGTTTCGCTTGTCGTACCGCAACTTCGATGTCGTTAGAATTTGACTGGCTTTCCGTTGGCTGCGAATTTTGAAGCTTGCGCTTCGTTGTCGAGAAGAGGCGCACATTCGACTTTCGACTTGACGGGAAACTTCTAATATTAGGATATGTCGACCGAGGCAGATTTCGCGGGGCTTCAAATCGTAGGCTAGCAAAACCGTTCTCAAATAGATTGAGAAGTCGGAGCCTGCACTGAGGACATGAGCCCTGAGCTTTCGCTGCGGAAAGCATTGCGCTTGTTTCTCTTAAACCTTGAACTGAAAAGAGAAGTAATAAAACCTATGTGTGAATGATGGCAAAGATTCGCAAACAACTTTTTCATATGTTCAGGAAATTTTAGACTAGCTCATGTACCTTGAAAAGTCCCATCCACTTAAAAGGCGGGTATTAGAATACCACCCCGCAGTAGACCCGTAGCCCGCATGGTTTAGCAAGGTCTAACGTAGCTCATTGCAGCTATGGCAAGGGCATTCAACAATCCGATAAGAGAACAATGCACTATCTGGAACCGATAAACTAATAAAGTTTATTTAGGATAACTAAGGGAAAGCTATTATTCTTTTTCTTGATAGAAAGGTGCAATTCGTCTAAAAGCTCAATTATGTAGGCTGTTAAGTTACATCCCCCAGACGACCTCTATAGGTACTCGACATAGTTATACGAGATCAAGCAATCTTCCCATCTACCACATCTACCACCTTTACTTAGTAAGATCAGCCAGTGTCCTAACCCCCCCACTAGGTCGAGCAGAGCTGCCTTGTCCACCAACTTTCTGGCCCTTAATACCGATCGGCGCCGGCGGTGCCCCCGGATTATTAAGATTGAATTGTGACCTTTCAGCCGCTTTATAGGGATCAAACTAGTTGACATTGTTAACACTATATGCAAAACATGGGTAGTTAAAAAGGCGACTTACTGAGAAGAGCGATACGAAGTAAAGTCCGAAGAACGTGAGAATAGCATTGATGATATTGAAAGGACTAAACTTCCACGGCTGACCGCCTAGCGACTGACCACCTCGCCTCGTCGGTGTGACAGAAGAAGACGAGTTGCCTCCTAGTGTTCTTCCGGGTGTAGTGAAAGATGCGCCTGGTGCGCTCACGGTAGCCAACTTGACAGCCTTGTCGACAGCGGAAGTTAGGGCTGGAGGGTTCGCGCCCTGGATCGTTTCGATCACGGATCCGTTCTTGAAGATGAGGAAGGTCGGCATCGCGCGCACGCCATGGCTTTGAGCGATGGATTGTTGATTATCGACGTTAACTTTGCAGAAGGTGATCTTGCCAGGCTTGGAATATTTCGTTGCTAGCGACTCAAAGGTAGGCGCAATCATTTTGCAGGGGCCGCACCAGTCGGCGTAGACTACATGATCATTTGTAAGCGGCCGGGCGGGATCGCGAACGATGCGACAGGTAAGAACTTACAGTCTGTGACCACGATGGTCGAAGACCCTAATATGCGCTGCCACTCACTCGAAGAGCTAATATTTACGGTCATTTTAGCTATCTCGTTTGGTGATGTATATTTGTGTTGTTAATAAGACTGAACGAAGTTGCTGGAATCGTTGATGGGTGGATGAATGGACGGATGGATTGTAAGTGGATCTTTTGGCTAATGACGGGAAGCCGAGATAAAGCTGTCCAGATCTACAATCTATGAGGTACCTATGTACCATCGAACGCCACATTAGTAAGGCGTCTATAGATGTTACACAACATATGTTATTGTTGGTAGTTATGTCCATCCATCCTTAGTTTTTTTTTTAGGTAGGTTGGATATTTCGTGATATGAATTTGTACCTAACTTACTAATTTTCAAATTATTCAAATATATCGCGATTTAAAGTGTCAGACGTTTTATTTTCCATAAATTCGATCGACTCAATGGCACTTGACCTTCATATTCCAGCCTGCATCAGGAATCCAATTCATCCTTTACATCTCCCATCCCTAGAACAGCCTTTAAGAATCCAAATTGAAGGTCCGTTGGTATCAATCCAAAAATTATTTCCAGATATACCATGGCATACCAATGTCATGTCTCTAGAATTTCCACAGCCGGCTGGTCCAGCACTCGCGAGATTAACATATTAGAAAATTTACGGACAAGATGTCCGTCGTGATATTGCTGGCGATATGATTGTGCGAGACGAATATTTAGGTTGGGTAATGCCACAACCATTAAGGTAAGGGAATATTCATATCTCTAATCTAATCACATCTCGACATCAAATAATCTGTACTACATACCGTAGGTACTTGTCACTATGTTCCATCACGCTCATCACCTTGGGTATTTAGGCACATTGACTACTATGGCGTCACATTCGATCATCTAGTCCCTGGCGATAATCCAGACCCAGAGGTACTCCAAATCAACATTATCGAGATAGAGGAGGATGGTGGTTTATACGCGAGTAAATGTTTGCCTTTTTCAATAGACCTAGCAGAATACGCCGGGAAGAAAATATTAGCTGTGCCAAGATGTTGTCAGAAGAGGAACGGCACTCAAGATAGGAATCGAGTAAATGATTCGGTCACCGAGAGAGATCAAGAGATATTGCAGCAGAATAAGTTGGAAATGATGCCACCAAATTAATCATCAGTTCTATCAAGCTTGGGGACATTATGTAGAGGGATGAACAAGTTTGCTTTCCATCAACCCTGATACGTTTTACGTGATTGTGGCTTGCAGTCTTCTATACCAGTGGTCTACGTACATATCATAGTTTCATTATCACTACGCGGCCTTCCATTGTAAGACCAATATATGCTAGATAACAATGTCTCATCCCTATCCCCCAGTCGTATATATACTTGACGACATCAAATAGCTCTTCTGACGATGATCTAGATAGCAACAGTCCAAGTAGATATAGGTTTATAACCTACGCCAACTTAATCGACTCACGAGCCAATTGAATAGGGATATTTTGATTCCAAGATATAATGTCGGTCATCGTTCTGATCCTCTCATCGGATAGGAGTAAGATTTAAGACCATCTGGAATTGAGATACAAATAGCTACTAGATCTATGCCAAGTAGCATACAAGGCTCAATTATGAGGTTAATAAGGAGTGTGTAGGTACTTCATCCAACCAGTAACAGCCAGAAACCAACTTTAGAGAGAGATGAGCGATCAATCCCCGGCACACTTGTAAAAACCCTTCAATGCGAATCGTATCCTAGGGGGATTACAGCCCGTAGTCTTGCTTGATTAAGTCAGCAGCTTTCTCAGCAAATGCATAAACAGTAGACTGAAGATAAGCAGTACTATTGAGTGGGATCACACTCGCATCCACAATACGAAGGTTATCGACGCCATATACCTTCAGTTTCGGGTTCACGACGCCTCCTTTTTCCTCTAGCAACATTACGCAAATCCCTCCCATATGCCACATAGATATCACGCTAGCGCGCAAGAATTTCTTAGCTGACTCAATATCAGTGAGGTAGGAAGCGAGTTGCGACGGATTAGAGGTTGTTTTAGCAGCTTGCTGAAAGGCGACGACTTAGCGATTGTGTCAAGGTAGAGCATATATCATACATAAACTTCGATGTCAATCTCGCTAGAGAAATAATTAGGATCGATGGTGGGCGCGGCCAATGGATCGTTAGATGTGATGTGAGCACTGCCTCGTGAAAGGGGTTGAGAAAGCGCAGTGATGAGTGTCATAAAACTTCCCAGTATGGGCCCAGATGGCAAGTCTAGGTTGGGGTCGATCGGATGAGGGATCTGTCTTAGAGCTGAGATATAAGCTGCTGGAGGCTAGTTTGAGTCTAGTAATATCTTTTCGGCGAACTGATAGTATGATCAAGCTCGTTTTTCATTAGGGTTATTGCCAGGAGGATGATGCTGCATAACTTATTTCTTTCCTCGTTGGATCGACACTGGAGAGGGAGGTAAGGGTCCCGACGGATATTCCTAGAATTGGGTCATTTGATATTTGATAGCCTTTGCTTTTGAATGTTGTCATCCAAGCTTCGCGTACGGGATGCTCTGGATTTCTGGCGTATGATAGTTGGAGTGGACCGTTGGGAGTATTATATGGGGAATACCGGTCTACTCCCAGCACCTTTCTTGATGATCGATTAATTTTGGGAAGTATAAATGCCTTGGAATAATACATCTTAAATGTGTCTAAGTTCCATCCGTCGTTACCAAGTGTACCCCAGGCATCAAGCGATGCATCGGTTGGGGGAACAAAAACTTGCGCGTTAATAGCGCTTGACCCTCCGAGGGCCTTTCCTTAGTTCAAATTGATAGATTTTCCATTTAGATTCAACTTATAGAGTATTAACCCGGAGTGTTTAACACCAAAGGGTGTGCGTTTACTTACCTGAGGCTCGCTTTGGAAATTCCAATCCGCTTGTGATCCAAGCAAAGCCGGTTGGAATGCTGCTGTCTTGACTCGTGGGTCATCACTCAAGTAGACCCCAGCTTCCAGGATAAGAACGCTCTGTCTTGGATCTTCAGATAGACGAGTAGCTACGACAAGACCTGCCGTGCCCCCCCCTATAACCACGAAGTTGTCATGGTCAAGAGGAGCACCTAGAAAGACCAATGATTCATTGAAATTTTCAGAGGACAATGAAAATTGTTAGGTGCCTATTCTTTATGTTTGAAGTACATATGATGGGAAAATAATAAACAAAGACCTCATATATATGCCTATGTGTTACGAGAATCATCTTCTCGCATATCTCCCACTTTTCTCAATTACGTCTTTCAAGCCGAGAATGTAACACGGATAGATTCACTCTTCAATTCTAATTCGCTTCTTATCTACCTCTAATAGCTTTCAAGCTTTCACCGGTCCAGCCACTGCCACATAGCGTTGACAATGCCCCTTAGACCGGGCGCAATGCAAGTGACAGTGGTGAGTATTGTCTTAGCCATTTTCTCGCTTGTTTTCCTTGGTTTGAGATTATGGTCCAGACATATTTTACAAACCACACTCGCTTTTAATGATTATATGGCAATTGTAGCAATGATTCTCACCGGTGCTATGCTCTCCACCCTTGTTTTAGGTATTTCTTTCGAGTCCCTCAAATGGTAAAATCGCTGTCATTACTAAATAGTCGCAACAGCTAGCTTCATTGGTGGCCTCGGATACCACGTGGAGGAACTTTTGATGACAGCCCCTTTACTCTATGATCGCTTCTTAAAGGTTCGTTAATTCCTCAAACTCATCTACTATATCTCTAGTTAACAGCGTTTGTATAGTTATTTTTAGCTGCAGAGATACTCTGGGCAGCAGCAAATTCAAGTGTCAAGTTTTCAATTCTCTCCCTTTATACATCTATATTCCCTAATCCGAAGTTTGCTTACATCTGTTATGCCACTATGGTCATCAATATGGCTTACCTAGTCGGCGTAACCTTACAAACTTTTCTTGTCTGCAAACCATTCCCGTACACCTGGGACAAAAGTATTCAAGATGGAAAATGTACAGGGCAACTTATGGCATTCATCGTTACTGGTATCATCAACCTCGCTCTTGATATTTTTGTAGTGTTGTTGCCAATGCCAATGCTGTTCCAATTAAATATGTCATTGGCGAGGAAATCCGTAATCGTCATAATGTTTAGTGTTGGCGCCGTGTAAGTATTCCAATTTCGAAGATACCGCTCACAATATCAGCTACTAACTAGTTTAAATAGTATCTGGGTTGTCTCTTTATTGCGCATTGTTACGCTCTTCAAACTTGACATAGAGGATCCAACATATTCCGCTACTACAAACAATATTTACTCTGCCTTGGAGCCAGCTCTTGGAGTTATCAATGCATGCGTCCCAACTATTAAGCCCGCTATAAATAGGCTCACTAGTCTCCGTCCGGATCGGTGCACTAGGAAAGGAGTCAGTGTTGTGATTACATCCGGCCTAACAGCAACTGGAGAGCGCAACACTTACCTTTCAACACACGATGGCTTGAGTGTTCATTACCCAACCATCGAAGACGCGATTCCCACACATAGTGCTCATGAGCTACATCGTTTGGGTGGAAGCTTAGGGAGTACAGATGGGATTACCATTACCCGACAATGGGAAGTGACAATGGGAAGTCGATCATACCCATAAGGGCGAAGTTTGAATAAAAGTTGAATCAGTTAAAGCAGTTTAAATATCCACAATATATGGCGTCATTGAAATGATGCTTTTGTAATAATTTATTAGTTGGTTTATTATTTTTTCTTATTTTACCTTTCTTATCTTGAGTAATGCTTTAATGTACTGACTGCAAATTTAAACAGTAAGAGAACCGACATATATTAATGTGCTATCCAGGAATATCATGTGTATACCTATATATATTTAGTATCTACCGATTAGTGATGTTTAGTGTATTAAGGTTTCTAGTACCTACCTCTAACCATACAACGTTCCATGATTGTGATTAGTACCTAGGTAGTTAACCTAAGACTTAACAGTATGAAAACACACATTATATAACTTTGATGTAGTTAACTAAAATGTTCATTACATACTTAAGGCAATATTCTCGCCATGGTTGTTGAAGTACGTTGGTTACAAAGTAGTATGAAGCCTTAAATGCTTGTAAACTAAACCGTACCCTTTTAATAACATTGAAAATAATAATAGTATATACTTCTATTGTCACCAGGTAGTTTTCGCCCTCACTACTTATTATAATAACGCCTACCTATTCAGCATGTGATTCAAATATTACTGATAAGCCTTATTACCCTGTAGTACATTATTAACTGAATCGTATAAGTAAGTGGCATAACTTAATTTTACTGCAGATATCGCGTCTACAGAAAATATTTCCTTGTTTCACGTGGTTTAATCAAGATAATTTATTTTGTATAAGCTTAGGCAGATCAAAATAAATAGTTCGCGGGGTTTCAGCTATACCCCTTTTAGGCTCAAGTTCCCACCGGAATATACTTTATGCCAATGGAGATATGCTGTCCATAAACATGTTCTCAAGGTTGCAATTGGTGTACCTTTTATCATATTTAGGCTAATTCCTAATTCTAAAATGTAAATATGTACCCAGCCTAGATATGTAGAGTATGGGACCTAACAAAGTTCACTGAATAATACATTATTATGTGGTATGTATGTATATATGTATATATGCATGTTATTTAGGTTTTAATATTTAATTTTCAGCCTATCTGTCATTTTAATAGGAGAGTATCTATTGCTGGTGACACAATGCCTACCATTTACTCGATGAGTAGGAGCTGAATCATGCATCACATCCAACACGCGTCGAGCTGACGGCAACATCGTCATACCAGAAGGTGTTAGTATCACCGCCGTAGGACTCCCATCCAAAGTAGACACCGGTGATTTTAGGCTTGGCGGTGCCTCTCTGCCACTGGCCTGCGTTGGCATTGTTGCTACCAGATTTGACAGTAAGACCATCAATAGCTTTGCCGTTCAGCCAAGTCTCAATGGTGCCATCGGTTCCCACGTGGTACTCGAAGCATTGCCAGTCGCCGGTAGGAAGGGCAGTGGAAGCGGCAATGCCTTGCGGGGAGAGGTCGGGAAGAGTAGCATCATCAGATTCGCGGTTGTACATTAGAATCTTGCTCTGACCACCAATCCTGAGGTGCTTTTTGTCGCCTTGGGAAGAGTCAGGCATAGTGATGAAAGAGACGTGAGAATCGGTCAAGGCTTTAGAGGCTTTGCTATAAGAGGATTGATATTAGCATTGCCTTTAATTAGAATCGCTTCATTCCTCAAGCTCCGTAGTACTACTACAGCAGAACTTACAGATAAGTCCTCACGTAAACATCTCCGCTGGGGACTTTCGTCGTGCCAAAGAAGATGTGTCCACAGTAACCACCGGCACCATCAACCCTCACGGAATTCTTCCCACTGTGAGCGGTAGAGCTATCAAGTGTGACTTTACCGCCCTGGTTACAGTCGTTCGCGTATGTAGGCCACGAAGCTGCGTCCAATCCACCTTCGAAGTCATCAGAGACTTGGGCGAAGGAGAAGGGTAGGAAAGCAAGGGCAAGGAGACCGAATTGGCGGAACATTGTCACGGAAGGATTATCGTAGGTGATAGGTGAAGGTGCGGCGGATAAGACAGAATTCCAAGAACTCCAAGAACTGGGAGATTTGAAGGTATTTACGTAGATACCCTAATATACCTATACTCAAATTCGCATTCCGGGCACCCTCCCTCCGTTGCCGCATGGTTGTATTGTTGTTTCCTTCCGTCCATCCTCTCTTCTCCACAATTCGGAATTTGGAACCAGGTTTTCCGAATATACGGCCCGCTCTCCGAATAGCAGGTGGGCGCAAATTGGGTCTCGCGTTGTCAATTCGATGAAAATGAAATTGATCGCTTAATACTGAGGATAGTACAGAGTGGCTTCATATGTGAACATGATCGAGAAATGTATACCTAGCTTCTTTCATAAATGTGTTTACCTGTTATGTATCTATCGTAACTTTAAGCTTCATAACTGTATAAATTCGAAGGTTGCCATGTACGTTCAACCTCCATCTTAGCATCAGAATAGGTTCTCGTAAAACATGAAAAACATGAAATGTTGATTCTAGCCAGAGAGTGAGATACATTTTGAATATGAGTATGAGCTTATCAAATTCCCTTGTCGGACTGACGTGCCTCGCATCTTTTAGATCTTAATTATACAGTCGGCCTGGTATTACGTACTTTATAATGAAAAAAAAAGAGATTTGTAAGGGTAGGTTTTAGTGTTAATACATAGTGAAGACGATCTACTGTACGTAAGTATTCAATTATACTCATATTTAATATAAATATAAATATAAATAGTTAAACACGGTTTAGTTCGCGATTTGTATGTATCTTGAAGAGGTAAATTTGGTCTTATGCAGGAGAGGCGGGGATAATATACTAACCTAGACCTATGTAGTAAGTGGATGTGATTGGACTGCTGAATGATGCATATCTTATCCACCACGCTATACCCAACAAGGGAAGCGGTGAGGAAGGTGGTGAGGTTTTGCCGGCGCAACTTTTCAAAAGTCAATTCGAAGCTAGAAATTTTACTATGCGCCATGTGAAATGTCATGTCTTCGAAAGTGAGCTTACAATTCTTACCGACACACCCCTAACTTCCGTCGCTTCTCACAAAATGGCAAGCTATGAACAAGACAGACAAAAGGTAAGCTAATCTACCATAAAGTAATTCAAGCTAGAAATCTAACTGGTCTATAGAAACGTCGCCTTACAAAAGACGGCGACTACGTAGATACATCGAAGCCGACTGCCTTCTTTAAGCCTATCCAGGGTCGGGACTGGACCATATCCGTAGCCGTTCCGGGAAGCGTTCTCTCAACGTTAGTCGTATTCACTAGCACACCTACCAGTCAGCTTTTGCGACAAACTCACTAAACTTAGATTCTAGCTGTCGCCGAGATGACCAACGTACAGGAGTTGTTTCACACATCGCGCGTGCTCTTGCCGTGTTTAGCATAGACGAAATCGTCATATTTGATGACTCGCATCCGGACACGCGACCTAGGAACATCGACCCTGCTGGATACACAGGCGATCTCGACCCCTGTGGGTACCTCGATCATCTATTGCAATATCTGGAGATGCCGCCGTTTATGCGACGAACACTACTACCCATTCACCCTAATCTAAGAGGTGCGGGGCTTATGTCAAGCTTGGATATCCCTTCACACCCGCACTCTACCGACTGGTTGCCGTATTGCGAGGGTGTGACGGTGACTGGAGCACCGAAAGGTGGTAAAGGGACGCTCGTGGACGTGGGTAGAAAGGAGCTAGTGACTATCAGTGACGAAATCCCCCCAAAGACCCGAATTACTCTTCAGATTGACGAAAACGATTTATCAAGGGCGGAGCCAGTAGATCCTAGCACACCACGAGTTGAAGGGGGTTACTACTGGGGCTTCTCAGTGCGACGTTGCGATTCGCTCGCAAACGTGTTTGAAGAGTGCACCTACGAGGGTGGCTACGACTTAAACATCGGAACATCGGAACGTGGTATCTCTATATCAGAAGCGTTTCCGGAGCGAAAGAAGAAGGATGCGGTGGCCTTCAATCACCTTCTAATTGTCTTTGGTGGACCTCGAGGCCTTGAGAATGCCGCAGAAAACGACCCGCAATTGAACGGGATGGGAATTGTCAAGGGGAGAACGAAGGAACTGTTTGATCATTGGGTCAATATTCTGCCAGGACAAGGAAGCAGAACTATCAGGACGGACGAAGCACTATTTATCGGTTTGTCAGGCTTACGGAAAATATGGGAAGGAAGGTGAATGAGCAAGATATCTACTGTCCTCTAGGGACTATGAAAATTAAATTTTGCAGGCAAGTAATCGATACCCTATTCGAAATTTGTTACTAGAGTTGATATTGCTATTTTTCGGGACGTGGTCCAATGGATAACAGATCAATATCATCAATCTTCAGTTCCCATCCTTTTCCTCTGAATCTCTTGGGCCAAATCCCGTTTCGACCCGGGGCTAGAATCCCATTCGGGTCTAATACATCCTTGATTGTCTCATTGAAGCGCATAAACGCCGAATTGTTCCAATTATATGTCCCGGCTACTTGATCGGCGAAAAGGAGATGTGTGCGATACTCACCAAACCCCTTTTCTGCGCATTCCTTTATCATTTCTCTCATGAGTTTAATAGCGGATGCCTTCATATCCTCATCGGCTCTGTCATATATTATGTTGGTAATGTAATGTATCTCACGACCTGCCACGCAAAGCGTAGGAAATAGATCGAAGCCATGACGTTCATGCGCCTTGACAATTATGTCGTGAATAGTACGCGCATCTTTGCCACGCGTTGGAGCTATCGGGCTAAAGAATAGATGGCCGCTATTCGGTAGCCAGTTTAGCCAATGGAGCTCACGGAGGACAGGAACACCACTGCAGACTAATGAGCGGTCGTGCAAATAATGATCAGACGGCAGATCAGATGGTAAGAAGAACTTGGAGCCAGGGATCTTGAAAAATGCAGCCTTGATAACTTCCAGTTGTGCTGCGATGGATGCGGATGGACCATATTGCGTTCCATAGAAGACCCAGGAACAGTCGCCTAAGGGCAATTCAGCAGCCGCAGATCGAATCTCTTCACGCGTCATGGGGCCAGAGCCATCGTGGAAATCTGACCTCCGCCGACTGGTGACATTGAGCTCCTGGATTACATGACGCAGCTGCGGAATATTCCCTACTACACCCTTCTGCGCCAACGGCCGAATGAGATCAACGATCTGATCAAAATCATCATCGCGCGGGAATGTGAAGCAGTAGGACTGGTGTTCTGTCTCTGGCATCAATTGCATTCCCATCTTAGTCACGATGCCGAAGTTGCTCTGAGAGAATATACCATCGATCGATGGGCCGAAGGCATGTTGAAATGACTGCCAAGTAGGATTGTCTGCCCCGTTTGGACCCGGCAGAGCTCCCATACCCGTCCGCAGTAACTCGCCATTAGGCAGGACAACTTCCATGCCGCAGCGGTTTGCGAAATGATCGCCATACGGTGTGTACCCAACACCGCGGTCAATCGCATTACCCAATACGCTACCACCGCCTAGATCAGGTGTATCGATCCATAAAGGAAGTTTTCTATTCTGAATTTCCTCGTAAAGTCGAAAATATGTTACTCCAGGCTCGAGGAGACAACTCGCGTTCTCAGCATCGATATTCAGAATCTCATGCATCCGCCTGCCGAGATCAACGACTACACCTCCTGGGACTCGGGGCGCCGCCCCGCCATAGCCTAAGTTCCTGCCAATGGAGATGGGATAAATCGGGATGCCGAATTTATTTGCCCAACGTACCGTAGTCTGGACTTGCTCGGTTGATCCGGGATACACGGCTGCACTGCTGACAAGTTCTTCCTGGTCCGTGATATGAAAAGCATCGTGGGTATTTGGATGCTGCATATACCATCCATCCACCAATGGTTTATCATTGACTTCGACATTTTCGTCTCCTATTGCGCCTTTCAGCTCCTTGATAGCTGCTTCAAAATCCTCTAGGGACACATCTGGTGGAAGGCGTATTGGGTTCTTCCTCGGACGGCTAACCGGTAGCGTACGGTTTGACAGTAGGCTATCTCGTACAACTTGGGCCTCCCGCTCCAGTCGCACAGGCACGCCACTATACTTCTCCTTTGTCGAAGGGATTATCCCCGGGGCAGCTTCTGTTGCCATGATGTTAATAATATGATCTTTTCAAACCACGAAAGGACCCTCCAATTTCTTTCTAGGAAGCTTGGTGAACTTGACATGTCGACTACCTTCGAACCCCATCTTCTTATTTGAAGTTTCTCCAAACTCACTAATAATGCCATGTTCCAAGTTCTCCAACAGAGAGCGGCACCATGTAAGGATATAGGCGGGGTTGGATTTGGGGGATCCTCGGCAGATGCGTCCTTGCATATATCATCGATCATGCCCCCTATTTGTGCGATGTCTCGTTGGCATTCTCGACGTGATCGATCGGGCATTGTCCGAGACACAATTCCTATGTTACTCAACATATCAGGTCCATGTGTAAGATTAGCTACCTAATTATCTTTAGCATACACTACAGATTAGATCTCAAGATATCTCATATAAACTTTATCTAACGGTACAATTCGATGGCAATTCTCTTAATACGTACAAGTTTGGACCATACCCTCACAAACAGAGAGTTCATATATCAATAATCATATAGAGCTCAACCCTGGTAGTTGGTAGAATTAATATTGAGGCTAACCATTGGGTGATCGATTCGGTAATTCATATAGCACATTCGGTTACTATGACGGCATCTAAAGAGCCTGAAGAGGGGGGGATTCGCCCCTAATACGCCGAGGGTGGGGATACTACTAAATCATATCCTGCATGGGATTGGAGAATCCTTAACAGCTGGAAGAGGATATAATATAAAAATCCGAAGATGCGGGTCGAGAACAACGTACCGTCGCATTAATAGAATCTACCGTGGTAAAATGGGCGTAGCACGATGGATCTGTCTTGTTATTAGTGACTTCTTGGCAGGGAATCTGCTGATGTTCCCTTCGGCATGAAAAGAAAGTCATTTACATGCAGGCCATCCTGGAAATCCTGGCCCTAAATATGGAGACCCCCGGATTCTCACGAAGGCTCGTCCCGCCGAATCGTACCCATCACCTAAATTTCACGGAATTTAATCGCAGCGGTACATGTTATAATAGAGTCTATCCATCATGACCATCAACGGTATAAAAAAAGAGCCCATTAAGGGTGAGTTGACTGAATTAACCACAATTGTGCTACGATTTTATACTTTCGATCTTCAGAAAATTACTAAATCTATCAATTATAAGTCATCGTTATCGGTGCCGGTCTTGGCGGATGCGCCTGCGCACTCGCTCTTAAACATCATGGACACGATGTAGTTGTTTATGAGAGGCTGAAAGCATTCCGACGGCTGGGTGACTCGTTAGGGCTAGGGGAGAATGCGCTCAAGCTACTCGAACGCTGGGGAGGCAAGTCTCTTTACCATAAATTAACTAGCATCGGTAATCAAGCCCCTGACATGCAAATCCGCCGCTGGCACGACGGCAAGATTCTAGCGCAGCAGCCGTTGATGGATATGGCGGGCTACATCGGCCATCGCGGGGATTACCACGAAGCTTTCATTCAAGCCGTGAAAGACGCTGGCATTGAAATACAGATGGGCCGCGAAGTTGTCGCATACGATGAGTTTAAGCCAAGCGTGATATTTGCCGACGGAACAGAGGATACGGCAGATCTCATCGTGGGTGCCGACGGTATCAAGTCGCGTGCACGGGAGCTCGTATTGGGATTCGAAGACGCACCGAAGAGCAGTGGATACTCATGCTACCGAGCTTATTTTCCCGGAAAGCATTTGCGGGAAGACCCCTTATGTCGCGAGTTTGTAGACCACGACTGTGTTAATATTTGGTATGCTAAATAAGTACCGTCCTTGAATGAAGTCAAGTTAGTTCGAAGCGTGTACTAAAGATAGCAATCTAGGATCGGCGAAGATACACATCTAGTTCAGAACACTCTCCGGAATGGCGACGAGTTCAACTGGATTGTAACGCGCAAGCTATCTCACGAAGCTGACATGGTGATCAAGGAGTCCTGGTTTCAAGAGGGAAACATGGACGAGGTCAAGAAGTCGCTCCAAGATTTAGACCCGCGGATACGCGCCGCTGTAGAGAAAACTGAATCATGTTTGGATTGGAGTAAATGCTACCTCGCCTCATCTATACTGTGAAATATAACTAACATTTTTAAAATCAAGAAATCTGCTACAGAGACCCTCTCCCTACATGGATATCCAAAAGCCACAAAATTGCGCTTCTAGGCGATAGCTGCCACCCGCATCTACCGACAAGCGCACAGGGCGCAAGTCAAGCGACAGAAAGCGCCGGCGTACTTGCAATTTGCTTGAAACTAGCCGAAAAGGACAATATTCCATTAGCAGTAAGAGACCTCCTATTTTCCCCCTAAACTGGTGTATCATTAGATCGATATGGTCATTAATCTAAACAACGACCCACAGACAAGATGTTACGAGAAGCTGCGATTCGGGAGGACTAGAGCCAGTCAGACGAACGGAGAGGACTTGAGAGATCGCTGGCACAACGCGCTCAAGAACGTGGACGAGGGCGTCGAGATCGATCCCGAAACCGTCAAGATGCGGAACAGGTGGTTGTACGCGTTTGATGCCGAGGCAGATACGATGGAGCGCTGGGACGAAGTTTCGGCGCTGGTTTCGGATGAGTTGAAGGCTGGGAAGATTACGCCGTTATGCTAATGATACGTCGTAGGGATCGTAAGCAAATGTATGCTGTATAATTCTATCATTCGGTTAGATCTAAGCTATATAATTATTTTATGTGCAGTTATTTTACTCAAGTTTCTCCTATACTAATAGGAGATAATTATAGGTGTAGGTAAAGCCATAGGACTATGTTTTTATTATTCATTATTTGTAGCTCTAATAAGTACACTTGTTAAGGTCTTGTAAAAAATTCTAGTTAACTAGACTCTTTTCAGAGTAAGTAGTTTCTACATGGTACATCTTCATGCATCCAGAACCTCAGACCTCTAATGACATTTAATATCCTATTAACACAGCCATGACAAACGTAGCAATCCAACTAAACATTATAAGATCCAACACATTCAGCAGCTTCTGTGTTCGTATTTCTGCCTCTTCGTAATCCCCCATTTTAGGCAGACTGCCCTTGATCCCAGGGGTCTTCCCAGCCCAGAAGCCCTGGATATGTTCTCTCGCAAAGTAGACAGCGACGACCGTCACAACCGGGGCTAGGTAACGCGGTAAAACCCCATATATTGAACCACGACGGGCAAGCAGTACCGACATGAAGAATGAGAATAACAGCGTGACGACACCGGTAGCTTGCGTGGCGTATGTCTTTTGACGCTGGCGTTCAGCTTCGGTAGATACCTTGGCTAGCTTTTTGGTTGCGTTTTCGTATTTTTGAAGGTTGGTGATAGCGATGTAAGATTGCTTGCCGCCGTAGATTGCCAAGGCGGCTTGGGCAAGGTGAAGGATTTGTAAGAACATCTCTACAATTATTACTTAAAGGATTGATGCGGTATTAATGATAAGTAATAGTGATAAAGTAAAACTTAAATAGAGAGATTGATGTATCCCCTTGGCTGGCATAAGACAGCAACTCCATAACTTTCAGTATTAGTACATAAGGCTTAACGTCATTCATTAACATAATAGGAAAAGGCCTTATGATTAGTCTCTAAAACCGCAACCCACAAATATTATTGGTCGATTCAATACCGCACGAGCGTTTCTTTCTTTTCTAGCCAATCCGTATGTATTGATACTGAAAATTATGGAGTTGCTGTCTTATGCCAGCCAAGGGGATAAGATAGGTATTTTAAAGACTACTTGATTAAAGCCGTCGAATTGATTTTGATAATGGAGTACAGGTATGTACCTAGGTACCTAATGTAGTGAAGTAAGTAATGACGGCTTGACTATTTGATTGTATGACGTAATGAACCCGACATAAGATCAACTAAAACCAAGTCATTTTTACCCCCTATTCCCCTATTCCCCTATTCTATAAAGTTTCAAGAACATAGCTACATACACTTAATATGGATTTATCCTATGTTTTCCAGAGTTGATACCTTAATGAAAGTATTATATTGTTACATAGATGAATGATTTATTTTACATTCACTTAGTCTCTATCTTAGGAGGTACCTAAGTATTATAATTAACGCTACATTTATGACCTGCAAAATGCTAGGTTAGAAATTTTGGAGTCTTAACTAACCCCCAAGAATGAGTGAAACGCCAGAGTCTACCACCACTGACTGGCCGTTGACAAAGCTTGCCCCCGGGCCAGCCAGGAAATGAACTACACCTGCAATTTCTCGGGACAAAGAAAAGACACATTGCCCTTAGTTTCACCGTATTGTCACCGGTTTATATGGAAAGATAAAGACAAGTAAAGGAGATAACTATTAGCTGATGCAGCATTTAGATGGTTGGTAAGCTTCGATTTTTGTAACACCCCTGAGTACTCTGTACCTAGGGGCAAGCAAAATATAAGGATCTAGGAAAAATTCTCTTTCGTAATAGAGGTACATAGAGTTAAATTAAATGGAGAAATTTCCCATTGCAGGTGCTGTAGCGCTTACTATACCGTCGGAACGCATTGATTGCCTCATTATCGAGGAACCCGATAGTTGCGTTAATATACCTGCGCTTGGCAACAGTAGAACCGGACTTCGTGCAAAATGAAGACACATAAACGGCCTGAGGCTCCGTAGTGTCGGGATTGAACTCGCTGGGGCTTGCTGCACCGAATAGAAAGGTTATATAGGCGTAAATCCGTGCAGATGTATCGACACATACAATTATACTGTACAACAGATGCCGACTTCGCAATAGCTATGTCGGGGGCTCATAAGCCTATCGGGTACGGCTTACCACTACGATAATTGGGAAAGGTTGATACTGGGAGGCTGTTAGACTTGGTATCAGCCACGGGCAGAAGAGAGAAATATACAACATGTGCATAGCCTATTCTGACTAGAAACGTACCTCTTTGGAGTGTTTTGAACAGATTCGGAAAGACAATTTTCGTGTTAACCAACTGCATATATTAATATAAGATTTTGACTGGCTTGTATCTTTTGTCATTATTAAGTGCATCATTCCGACAGTTCTAAGAGGGCAAAATATATCCCTGGGTTGATATGATAATTAATACATGAGTCTATGTTGCATGTATTAACTGCGGTGCTACTTTACGTACCTGTAATTCCTTGGCCCTTATGAAATAGGATCTGTCGAGCCAGTTCATGACATTCAACAACCCGAAAAATTGGTTATTTTAAAGACGCATAAGCTTGCCTTATACTCCTAAGAGGTATTCTTCTACCAACTAACATACCAGCATAATCCGCATCTAACTGTCTTATTAAGCTCCACTAGTCTAATTCATACCTAAAATCTTCTAATATTATATTGATGATATTCTTACCTATCTCATAGTCATCTTGCAACGTTTTATTATATTTCGACCCTCTTGTCGTCACTATGCCAACCTTGAGAACTAGTTTCAATCCTTCGGCACTTAAACCAGACGAACAAAAAGCGATCATTCCCCTTCTCGAGAATGCTTGGAAACATGATGCCCTGAAATCATCAACCGAGGCCATCGTTTACGCGTACGTCTTGTTTAATTCCAACAGCTATTCCTCAGCTGTTACTCTAAGGAACCTTGACTAACCTGGTTTTGGGGTTCCAATTGTAGTTCAGGTAGAAATTGGTGGCATGTTACCGATAACGATCCCCGTGAACACATTACAGTTCGGTATAACCGCAGAAAAAACCGGGTCCATATCTATAGGGATGGTTCCGTTAACGTGAGCCCTCAAAAGGGTCCCCGTGTGCGACTGGAAGGTACCGTTGGAGGGGATGAAGGAGAAGACGGAGGCTATGACTCTGTGTCGGATATTTCTGAGGAGGAATTCGATGTACAGCAGCCAGAAAGTACACAGTAAGGCGACCATGTTAGGATTCTAGACGGGACGTCTAGAACAAAGAACATGTTCGATACGCATAGGTTAGAGTTCCTTGCGGAACAACGAAGTTGTTTATATGCTATCTGGCTCCGCCTCGTAATAGGTGTGTCCAAATTATAGAGAGTGTGTATCTGCGTGCGTGTCATTTCCAGCCTCAACGAATAGAGCATTTTTGGGCTCAGCCGTACAGACCAGCGTTGTTGGTGGCCTGGAAGATAGCCTAGCTAGGTCCCTAGCTAGATTTCTGAAGGTGTACCCAGTAGCCGTAAATTGCACAAGTGCCATCGGGATCCTATGTGAGGGCTTCTGAAGCGTCGTTAATGAAAGTGAAATGCACAACGCAGTCACTTCCCCTGACTCAACTTACGGGCAAACTGCGACTAGCCTGTTCTCGGAACTCCTGAGGGAGTACATCAGGCTCGTGATATTAATATCTGCAGTTTATGCCAATATTCCGGTACTTACAAAGCTTCTTTGACGACCAGAAAGTGGTGCAGAAGTGTAATACACTATAAAAGGCTCGAATCCGATAATTGGTGAAGGTTGATACCGGTAGGCTGTCAGACTTAGTATCAGTCAGCCCCGGGCAGAGTAAAAAGGGAACTATACAAAATGTGCATAGCCTATTCAAGCCGAAAACGTATTTTGAGGTCCTCTTCTACAGATTCAGAAAGTCCGTTTTTATATTAGCAAACCGCATGCACAAATATTTTTTTAGACTAACTACCTCTTGTATGTTTTCTTGTTATTGGATATATCACTACCATACTTGCCAAATAACAAAACATGGCGTTCTTTCGAGATGGTAATGAATATAATATATCAGCTTATGTTGCATATGTATTAACTGTTGTGATACTTCATATAGTAATTTCTAGCCCTCGTGAAATAAGTTTGACTGGCTGCGAAAACTTGCGTTACTTCGGCTTTTGTTACCTATCCAATATCAAGGCGCCACCCCGACTCACCTCAGCCATGCGATTGGTATAGAACTTTTGTAAACGATGTATTTGGAAGAGCCAAGTAACATCACGCCCTTCCAACTACTCCTCGATATGTTGGACGGTATAGCCAATGCTCATACACTCAATCTACCACTAATAATCAAACCACACGGCGGGGTCTCAGGCAATATGTGCATATTGCAGCATTTCCTTTTCGTCCGGGGCATTTCTCGGATCACGACTGACTCCTACGTATTGAGCATATGTCCACCCGGTCATCATGAATGACTAGGGGATATTTGCAGATCTTGTAACTTCAAATTCTTTTCTTGTGATGGGCGGTCGCTTTATGACAGTATCCGCCCGCGAGAAAGCCACGCAAACAGTATGTTGCAGTAAGTGCCATGTATTAGTATAAATATAGCCTGTGATTCCATCTCAAATTTCTCTGAATCTATCTTACACCACACTCTTCAGCATCTTAAATTTGATCTTATAAACTCTACCACTGAACAAAATGTCTGTCTATTTCAATAATAACTATATAATTGCTCAGGCAAATGCCGCTATTGTTTCCATCGATCTTGGATTCGCTAGTGCAGATAACCTTACCAACAACCAAACAACCACAACTACAGTCACGGGGACGTCTACATGGGTTATTACCACATTCAAGGACAACAACTCACCACCTTTGCGCTTCACTGTTACTCAAGAAGTCACATTTTCAGACGGAGCTGATATAACCATTACTGGTAAGTTTAGACCTTTCGAATTATGATTACCTACCTAGGTAGGTATGTAGATACTGATAATGATTACTAGGTGGTGGGCCGAACGATGATGTTATCGAAGCAACCGACACATCTGGAAACAGAGCTGTTTGGCAAGTTGTTGGGAGATAAATAGGAAAAGGCTTTTTGGGGGAAATTACCAACTAGGTGCAATGCTTTTCAACAAGCATTAAGAAATGTTGAAACTAAGAAAGAATGCTTAGTTTATGATCTTAGAGGGTTTCTTATGTACTTAGTCGCTCTTTATTTATTGAAGTTTAGTATGCTTCAAACAGCCACATAGCATAAATAACACCAGAAGGATACAATAACTCGTTGGTAATCTTACCACAATTATCATTATCATCACCATCGCCGAATCAATCATGCGATAGAAGTAACAGTTTATGCAACAACAGAGGAGATAGTCACATATAGGAAACAAAACTTTACCATTCTCCGTCTCCTTCAAGTGATAATTATATAGATATTGAGACTCTGAACCTTATCTTATTCCTCATACCTAGCCTCTGTAGACTGTATTCTGATGGTCTTCTTATAAGCCCGAAGGATCCTGATATGGCCCAAGACCTAGTATGGAACAAGTGGTGTTTCAACCAATGACAGATAAACCATAGTAGATGAAGAGATCCAAATAATTTATTAGATGATTAGATTATTTAGATCATACAACTATAGGAATGTAGAAATAAGTAGTTATATAAATTTAGAGGTCTCTGTAAGGGTAACGTAGGTCAACCTGCAATATTCGGTAGATTCAGGTAGTATACACCGGTAGTTATATTACTGAACTTATAAACTTTATTTGTTTTGATAAATTATGCCTTTGCGATGTAACGCTGGCTTCGCGGGCATAAAGATGAAATCAGATCAGGGGATATTATATGAGTACCTACATAAATTGAGAATAGGGGTTATAAAGGGGGAGTGGCGTGTTAGCTTTGTCAGTAGGAATAACTGAAGACAACGGGAAATCCTCATAGTCCAACTTTGAACAGATATTCATTACACTACATAGGTTAGAAATAGGGGTGCTGGTACGAAGTTACACATCTATTTCGCGAAGTAAGTTTGGATGGTACTAATATACATACAGCTTACCCCCCTCCGATGAGGGGTTCTTGGGGTATCAGGAGAGGTTGAATTATAGATCTTACAGTCCTTAATGTATATTTTTTATTATTATTACATATTATCATGATATCCAGTCTCCCTTTTTCTTCTTTTTTCTTTTTACATCTTCGCTCCCTTTTATATCCCGAATTTTTCATATCTCCCTCCTAAATATTATATTATGTCTACCATCGACACCGCTTCCACCGCCAACCTAAGTATGGATTATGACTACATTATCGTTGGAGGCGGGACAGCCGGGCTTGTAGTTGCGTCAAGGTTAACCGAAGAGAAAGATGTTCGCGTCTTGGTTCTTGAAGCCGGTGCGAACCGCCTAAGAGATCCGAAAATCTCTATTCAAGGCCTTGCCGCTGCGACGTACTTTGACCCGGATTATGATTGGTGTATCACTACAAAACCTCAAGTAGGACTTAACAACCGTAGGCTAGCACAGCCTCTGGGTAAAACTCTGGGCGGTTCGTCGGCGTAAGTACCCAAAGCCCTAATATAGGAATACGACACCTCTGAAATGATAGCTAACTTAGCTTGAGTTGAAGTATCAACTTGGGTATGGCTGTATACCCGTCTAAATCTGGCTTTGACACATGGGAAAGACTGGGAAATCCAGGCTGGGGATGGAAAACTATGGAAAGTTATTTCCGCAGGTTCCATACATTCACCGATCCTCAAGCGAAGCTCAAAGACGAGTTCATGCTTGATTACTTGAATGGCGTTCACGGCACAGATGGACCCATCCAGATCTCTTACGGTAGTGAGGAAGGCTTCCCCCCCTTTTCCCAAGCCTGGCCCCGGGCATGGTCCGCTCTGTGTAAGCCTATTGACGGCGATCCTATCGCTGGTATGTCTATCGGGGCTTTCAACAATGCCGCTACGCTTCATCCAACAACTAAAGAGAGGAGTCATGCCGGAAATGCGTACTTTTCGGACAAAGTCGCTCAACGACCAAACCTACGCGTCATCACAGAAGCACTCGTCGAGAAGATTCTCTTTGTTAAACGAACTGACGGTCCTGACAAGCTTCGGGCCACCGGAGCCGCATTTATTGGGAAAGATGGCCGGAGACGGCAGGTTTCTGCCACACGCGAGGTGATTCTAGCGGCCGGCGCAGTCAAGTCTCCTCAGCTGCTTGAGCTCTCAGGAATTGGTGGGAAGGATATACTTGAAAAGTACGGGATTGGTTGCCTTCTAGACAATCCTAATGTTGGCGAAAACTTCCAGGATCATGGTTTCGTACCGTTTTCCTGGGAGGTAACCGACCCGATAACGTCAGGCGATCAGATGCGAGACCCAAGAGTCATTGAAGCAACTATGGCGGCTTACCAGGAGGCTAGAGCAGGTCCCTTGTCTGTGAACGCACTTGCATCGGCCTTTTTCCCGCTTCAGGATGAAAGTCTTGCACCCGTATCCGTAAGCCAGCTCCTTTCGGACCTCAACCAAGCGGAGGCAGAACCTAGAGTTCTTCGTGAGCAGATCTGTGCCCCTGGTGACTGCTCAGCACAATTTACTCTCGCACCATTTCAGCTGAACCCTTTCCCAGGGGATAATCCTTCCCAGATCTTTGGCCTTGGTACTGAAGGTTTCTATGTGTCTATTGTAGCTGTTCTGAGTCACCCATTCAGTCGCGGATCAGTGCATATACAATCAGCTGATGCATACTCATCACCCATTGTTGATCCGCGTGCTATGTCTCACCCGCTAGACTTGGAGTTACACGCACGGCACGTACTACTCCTCGAGAAGATCCGTGATACTCCACCACTACGACAGCTATTTAAAGAGGGTGGGCGGCGTCTGCATCACAGCGGGCAGAAGATTGAGACGTTGGACCAAGCAAAGGAAGCGGTTAAGAACGGATACACACCGCATTATCATGTATGCGGAACGACAGCCATGATGCCTCGAGAATCTGGTGGTGTGGTGGACTCGAGCCTAAGGGTCTATGGAGTGGACGGCTTAAGAATTGTTGATGCAAGTGTGTTTCCACTAATTCCGAGAGGGAATATTCAAAGTTCAGTCTATGCAGTTGCTGAAAAAGCTGCTGATGTCATTAGGTCATTAGGATAAGTTAGTGGAAGAGGGACACGACGATAAATTCAATAAAGTTTATAGGTCAGTATAAATCAACGCGCGCGTCCCTATGACAAGACAACGGGTGCATCTGCACTGCATGTTTAGTTACCTTTTGTACTCGGGTTTTACGGGGCATGTACATAAAAGGTAGGTACCGTAGAATAAAGAATTTATTGCGCCAATCTGACCACAGAACTATTTCGACTAAATCAATTCACGGTCATACGTGCACGCATTTGGGTCGCGTTTACTACTTGCATATGAAAAGCTGAATTTATCTCGACCACCAATATAAATAAGTGTATTCTCCTTAGAATTTTTTTAATTTATGCGATAGAAGATAATATATGTAATATTTACTTCTTGATCTCTCCCCCTCTTTCCTCTTCCCTTCTCCCTCTCCCCCCCCCCCCCCCCCCCCCCCCGGTAAAGGTGGATCCCTCCCTCATCAAGCCTCATTTAACATAACAGCCACGTTTGTGGCTATACGATACTCTCAATCCTAGAGATAAATCTCCATCTATCTTTAATTATTAAGAGTAGCTGAGCTGAGACTTATATCGATTCACAATGTCAAAGAAGGTTGCTAAAGTCATATCAACCGAACTACTCGTATGTGCCCAGGTAACCCAATAGCATCAAATTTGCTAAGGGCGTTTTTTAGGAAAATAAAGATGCGAAGTGGATCAACCTCGTAAAGTCAGTCGTGATATACCTAGATATACAGCGTTGAACTATACACTACCTACCTATATACTACGTCCTAAGTTTCTATAAACTCTTCATCGATCTAACCATAATATGATTTAGAATTACGTACGAGGATGAAAATGGCCAAGTACGCACTTGGGAGGCGATGAAGCGCCCTGGACGTCCGAGCACCAGTGCCGTTGATGCTGTGCAGATGATCGCCGTCATTCATCATAAAGAAGGTCCCAAGGTTCTCCTTGAGAAACAGTTTCGCGCGCCAGCAGGTAAAATCGTTGTTGAGTTTCCAGCTGGATTAGTAGACGAAGGCGAGACTGTAGAGCAGGCGGCGCTACGTGAGTTGAAGGAGGAAACAGGTTACGTTGGGGAAGTAGTGCCAGACCGTGGAGGTTCAAGACCGATCCTTTTCAGCTGTGAGCTCTATTAACTCTTCCCGTTTTATGAGAATATAAATTAACCATATCCTCAGCTCCTGCATCCTCGAGGTAGAATTTATGCTTCCTAATTCTTATACTAGTTAAGCCATTTGACTAACTCTTGATATAGCTCAAGGACATTTCTCATCCATATAAGAATTGACCCGGAAAAAGAAGAGAATAAAAACCCAAAACCTCAACTAGAAGATGGTGAGTTTATCGAGGCCTTTTGGGTGTCATTAGACAACATATATGCCGAATGTAGGAATTTAGAGGCCCGAGGATTTGCGATTGACGGCAAGGTCGGTGTCTTTGCTGAGGGTCTCGAGATGTCTAAAATTTGGCCAGTTTCATGAATACGCCACGGATCATATAAAAGGCATTATGTACCTATAATCCATAAATATTGCTACATATATAGGTATTTATAGCGAATAAGAATGCATTACAAAGTCGAATATTCATTAATAGAAGAAATTATTTAGTTACCTACCTCTTAAGTACTTTCTTATGTGATAGCACCTTACGAGTCGACGATTAAAGACTATTAAAGAAACTAAATCTGCCACGACGGTCGCAACTTTAAAAGCATAGGTACCTAGGTAGGTACCTAGGTATACTAGCAAAATAATATAAATACCTACATGTATGTCTATTATTAATTGTCTATCCGATAAACCCTTCCCTATCCTATACTCTCAGCAAACACTAGCAAAACCAAGGTATTAGAGTCCCATTTTCTACTTTTTTCCAACATGAAAGAGGATTGCACAGTCCATCTTCCATCCAAATAGCAGAAAGTTGAGAATATATCTTAGCTATGACCCCCATACTTTTACCCGTCTACATTAATTAATACAATTATCATCTCCCCAATACTATATACAAGCAGCGAAAATTATAGGATACTATCGCCATCATGTATTCCCCGATAGGTCTCACTAAACAACAATACACCTGGAAGTGTAAAAAATGTGGGCGCTGGTGTCCTTTCACCACTGATATTTGTATCTGCGGTATCTATAGGCCACAGACCAATCATAGATTCCTGGGGATTCAGAATCCAACTCAACTACCCGCGTTTCAATATGCACTCGGTATGCCAGGTAACGTCTTTGGGCGTAATTCTGGACCTATAGGAAGCACTATATCGAATCAGACCATTTTTGGTGGATATGACGCGCCCTCTGAACGGGATAATCTCCCTTCGAGAGGCTCCCCTAGACAAAATGCTCTCTCTGTCACTCCACTAAATCCCTTACGAATATCATCACTTCTGAATGAAGAAAATACAACTGCCGGATACTATCACCACACCATACAGGATAGGCATTTTTACCAGTATCCAGTCGTCGATGCATCTGCCAGTCCATCTGTCAGTCCATCTGCCAGTTCTTCACCACCTAGTGGAGCTTCTACGATCGGCGAACCTAGACGTCCAACTGACACGCCTTTCCAAAGCAATTATATCCAACATGATACCACTCCCAAGACAAATGACGCTTCCTCGGCACAGTTCTCTGCTACTTATCAAGGAAATTCCTCTCAGGGCAACTTGGAAGAAACCACTTGGTACAATCCGACCAAGAGATACGAGTATTAAAATGAACGCTACGTTGTGTCAAAATCGTTCGAAAAATTAAAGGTTCGACCTCCTGCCAGATAAGATCTCTCCCTAAAATAGTGTAACTAACTTTGACGAAGTTTTATTGCTTCTACATGTAGCCACGGCAGTTCCCCTGGATACGGCTCTTCTAATACCACCAATCGAAGATATGCATTATATCTTTACTAAGGACGCAAAAGCTTAGTGTACTTATGTGCATTATTCTGGGCTTGCCTGTGAGTTTATGGGGATGTTTGTTCTGGAAGGCTCTACTTTAGGTTCTTAAGGTATTAGTAGATTGGATTATATAGGGGCTTGTATTGAGGGCTGGCTAGCGATCTATACAATTGGTACACGGAGCGAGTCATTTTTAAAAGACAAAGAAAAAAAATCAACTTTTGTTAGTCATTCATTAAAACTTCAATGTTAATGAGGATTCTATGATAATCCCGTTATTCCATCATTGCTTAGAATCCTTAGCGTCTTGGGGGGGGTAGCAGTAGCTGCATATATACCGCTTATTAAATATAACCGTATTTATCCCACTCAATTCAAGAAGCCGCTCCCAATTCTTACGTTTAAAAGATTAAGTGACTCAAATATTTGAGTGGTAATATTACCGCTTACGGTTTAAACGCACCAATTTTTTTAAACGTTAGGCCAAAATGAGCCATATGCATGCGGTTCCAGCCAATGAGCGGCTCCTGCGCCCCTCATACTTTTTGCGCCTCTCCCATCTCTGCGCCGCTCCCCGTTTTGAGCCGCTCCTCCGTTTTGAGTGGTACGTATAGGGTATTATTACATACACCTTGGCCGCACAGACCCCCTTATACCCCATAATTACAAATCCACACGCGTGCCCGTAATATGTAACATGACATGCCCGTAGTCTATTTGAAAAACGCGTAACCTTCCAATAAAATCAATCATATACCATAACCTGTATTTGTAATCGTGACCATATAAAAAAATAAAAATAAAGTAAAAATAAAAATAAAAATAAAATAAAGTATATTCCCATACAAAAAAGTATGGGAATATACCTTTTAATATTTTATATATATATATGCACTTACCCGGAGCGGCTCCCATTTGGGAGCGGCGCAAAAAGTGTGAGAGGCGCACGAGCCGCTCATTGGCTGGAGCCGCTCACAGTGGGGGAGCCGCGCAGCACTTGTACCGCTCAAAAAAAATTGATTGGCTCAAAACACCGATACGTATGAATTTGGTGAGCTCCACGTTTTTCACTAACATTTGGGAGCGGCTCATACCTGGGAGCCGTATATATACTGTATATATACGGCTACCACTACCCCCCATCTGACGCTAAGGATGTGACTTAACATGTAGCGGCTTAAGGCAAGCCACAGCAGGGGAGAAGTCTGCATTAAGGGTTACCTCTGGATTGGCCAAGCTCAACTACAGCAAATGTTAGTAAGCTCTGTCCATCATCAATATGGCTGGGATTACCTTCTTCATATGTAACATGGCAATATTCTGCCCTAAGCAACTCCGACGTCCCCTACTAAATCCCATATGGGCAGCCTCCATGCGCCTCAGTTGTTGTCGATTAGAAATAAGCCAGCGTTCGGGACGAAATATACAAGCATCATCTCCAAAGATCTCAACATTGTGGTGGACCGCTATGGGTAAATACCCTACACTAGTGCCTCCTGGAAAGAACATGCCCGCAATAGTGACACCTCCCGTAGGAACTAGCCGCTCCATCGGCCACGTAATAACGGTGAACAGCCGCGTACCCTCTTTAATAACAGCATCTAGGTACGACAGCTTAATGACCTGTGAGGCACTAGGTATTTGCAGTATATCTGAGGGTACCAATTCTTCCTCGAGCTTCTAGAGTGATTCTAGGTTCTTAATTAAGTTATAGAGTATTGCCGTTACGGTAGTCGCCGTCGTATCGCCTACTCCGGATATTGTAGACATTAGCATACCTACAATACCCGCCGCGTCTAGCTGCAGGTGAACTTTGCCAGCTTCAAGAAATCTTTGAAGAAGATCTATATCACCAGCCTCGTCTTTCAATTGACCGCTCCTTGCCTTGATCTTGGATAAAGCCACCCCCACCATACGAGACGGCGCTCGTTTCTGACGCATGGCGAGAGGGTTACGATATACCAATCTCTCAAGCTTTGGGATCGAAGACCACCATCCCCAATGGTTGAAGCGGTCGCGCACGAGCTGTATTGAACCATCCACGTAGCCCTCAGCCCGAAGACATCCGAGCGGCTCACTAAAAGAAAATCGCCCCGCCGCGTCCATAGTGTACCAAAAGATCATCGATGAGAGGTCAAAAGTCTCCTTCTTACTTATAACATTTATTAATTCTTCTATCGTAGTATCAATCCACCTCTCATAGTCCAACACCCCAGTGGGCGTGAAGGCATTGGCTACCGATCGCCGCAATGCTCCATGACGAGTCTCGTCGGATGTGCTGATTAGGCCCGGTACCTCCTTACTATTCTGTATCCCTATTATCACCTTGTATGAGTCTGCCTAGGTGCCTATGCAATATTGGTAAGAATACGGCAGCACAGATACCTAGCCTTTGAGGTTACTATACCGTGATGAACCCCGCCCGACTTCCGTAGACAACGTTGATAACTTCCGGGTCGCTGATACTGATACTACGCACGCCATATCTAACTATGGGCCCGTATTGAGAGTGTAGGTCTAATAGTTTCTCCCTTAGTCTCCCATTATATTAATAGTAAGCCCTCCACAGATCTGTGCACCCCGCGAGGATCGGCCCTGATGCTTTACTGAGCTTTGTCCAATTGTGGAGAAGGCGGGCAAAGATTAGAGATACAATAATGATTGAAAAGGATAGAAATGAGAGAGTCATGTTGATTTTAAACGGATCTTTTGATATTTCAAGCCAATATGGATATGAGTAGAGAAACTGAGAGGTGAGGGTGAATTGTTTGTTTAGATATGGACCAGGAAATGATATGCATGCTTACCTCTCTGACATCACCTCCTTTCTATTGTTCTTCCGCAACACATGAGTGATAAAATGGAAAAAGTTCGGAGTTACCAGAGATTGTGATAACTTCGTATATCAGCAATGAGCACCTAGGTTAGGTGCTGAATAAAATAAAAGGAGTTCAAATGTATAACTACAAGTCTGACTAGGAATTAAGCATAATGATTTATATATTCATTTGATACATCCTATTCGTATGTATCAATAACCATATTCCATGTTCATAACCAACGAAAAAAGTTCCACCATCTCTTGATTGCAAATTACCATGTTGTAAGAATAACATAGAACGCCCATAATATGTTTTTTCTATTAGAGATCCATATTAGGATTGCGCGTGTCAACCCTTGCTCCGAGCTTCTTTGTAATCTCTTCCAATCAATACTCCTTTCACTCCTCAGTTCTCCGCCATCCCATTCAAAATAGCTAGTGCAATGGGTAAACAACATTCAAACTTGCGAGCTAGCGACAGAATTAGAATCCCAGTGTTTTCGGAGCAACACGATAGCTTCAATCTGAATAACTACCTTCTATCGTGTTGATAAAAAATAGAGGAATACTCGGTATATATGCCTTCTTATAGAATTTCGGGCGTGATGCTATTTGCCTGGGTGCCCTAGTAAGTATTAGAAGTCGTTGTGTTCTATCTCAATTCCTATAAGTGGCCAGGGAATTTCTGCTTTTTAAAGGGTTTTAAATAGCCTTTATTACCAAATAGTAAAAGCACTTGAAGTAATTATCCAAGAAGTAAAGAATATCTACGTTAAAATGGAAGGTTTTATTCGCCTATACTCTTGTTCAAATAAGCTAGATATATGGAAGAAAAGGGAGGAGATTTAGGAGTTTAGCTTATTGAGAGATAATTATATGAGCAACAGATCTTTTATTAGTATAGTCACTTGTTTATGTCACATCACTTGAAAGAGAACTCAGTTTATTGTGTAGAATTTATGAAAAATTATCTTTTTGATTAATCGTTATAGTCTCAGTTCCAATCTACTGTACATATCCCAGTAGGTATCTCTATTTCAATCTTTCTGCTCTCCAAAGTTATAGATCTAACCATGCCTATTTCTGCGTGAAGATTGCATAAATATTAATGACCCCTAGGTGAAATCTACAGATTTAGTAAACAAGTAAATGTTATTCGTCACAATATCAAAGTTTAAATGTCTTTATCAACTTGCCTTATATATCGAAGTAAGCCTTGTTTAATATACACTAATGAGCATTCTTGTTCCTTGTTCGCCATACTTGGGTCACCCACCCCTAACCTCCCTCTGGATAAATCAACCCCCTATAGACCCTTTCAATATAGCCATTTTCAGTCTAAAAGGTTTAATAGTTATAGTATAACCTGAATATATTGAATGGGAACATCATTATGCTACAGTCGATTGGCTATGTTAAATGTGCTTGGTCCAATATATACCCCCAAAACAGCTTTGACCAATCCTGTTTGATAAGGTAGAGATATGAATTCATCTATCAATTAGCCTCTTTATTAACATGCTAGCTGTCATCCATGTTACACATGTCTGCCTGAAGTCCACATAGCTCTTGACAGATGTATGGATTTTATGATAGGTCTACCCGTTACGTAGGGTACATGCAGCTATATGTTTGGTCTAAGTGCACGCAGCCAATCATATAAACCTCTCTATTAGGCGGACACGTTCCTCCTAGCAATTCATGTATCACAGCTGACAACACTTCGCGACCGCGACCGTGGGGAAATTCAGCCTTTGTACCTTCAATGTTCTTTTATCCTCCATAAATGCCTACCTAAAGTATACGTACCTTAAGTAAATACCTAAGGCAACAATCCACAATAGAAACCAGGATGCTCTTTCCCAGGAGTTGCTGTTGCCCCGGTACAAAATGCCATCATGACAACCGCGACTTCTTCGATTTATGAAATGACTGAGGCTGTTTCCTTAGTGATAAGGCTCTAGGCAAATTTTTACCTTAGACATCCAATCATGATTCATTTGGTTGAGCCTGCATGCTCACGGGCAACTTTGGGAAGTTGCATTGCTGCATTCTGCATGTAATATTTTTCTATATATTTACAGCCTTCCCTTTATACTTCAGTCATCTTGACTTTACACTTCGTGGAAGCAAAACGTTTAACTAGCAACGCGTCTTTGACTTTAGACGCGTATCACTCCTTTTAAGACGTTTTGTTTTTTTTTCTATTTGATTCTCCCATTATCCCCCACAGTTCACTCTCACTCTCAGCAACACCGTGATCATCGAGCCCTTTAGCCGTCAAGCAATAGGTCGCTCTAGTTCTCTGCATAGCTTTGGACAACCGGCTTGCACACACTTACTTGGCGTAAAGTTTTTCGACTACTATGATGCCCTGATCTTCACTTATATTTTGATCAAGCCAACGTCAGCCGTATTATAAATTGTAGCACCTCAGCCGAAAGCCCAAGTTACAATTACTTTACGCTAGCAGTTGCGTTACCCCCAACAACTACATCTCTTCCGCATAAATTCAAGTCACCAATAGCCCTATTCTTTGCCGATTAGTCCAACATGGCATCAGAGTACATTGAGCCTCAGAAAGGTAAAACATGTCTTAGTTCCTTAGTCTTCACCCTTCTCTTTTATCTTCACCTTGTACACACATTTCAGGTCTTATACACCTTGTTTGAAACTACCTTGCTAATTTTCCGCGTCTCTCAGCTGTCTATCAGGACACTGGTGATCCTATGTCCATTGCCTATACAAGCCAAGCTGGCGAGTTCCCTGAGCTATCTCAAGACATCGACTATTCCGCTACTAGGAAGCGCTCATTCAGCGAGTATCTTGAATCATCTGAGGATCTCGAGACTCCAATTAGCAAACTCCGTTGCGTTACTATAAGCCCGCCCATACCTGAGCCGACAGCTTCATTAACCACAGCAGAATCACGAGATCAACTAGAGATCAAAAATGCAAACCTTAGGATGCTAAACAATTGGTACTGCTCTTTTACAGAAGCAACAGCGCCTGGTAATAATCTTAAATCTTTCCTCGATGAAGCTTCCCTCTCCAAGAACGGAGATAGCTTTGAAGGGCTATTTTCGAACTTCCAAGCCGACGACGCTCATCCGAACCTAGCAGGTTCTCTAAATGCTTTGCGATATCCCCTTTATAAGCATCAGCTAATAGGGCTGGAATGGATGAAGAAAATGGAGCTAGATAAGGAGAAGAGGGGTGGCATACTTGCTGATGACATGGGTCTTGGAAAGACACTTTCGGCTATTGCTCTGATGGTTAGTCGCGACACTGAGCCGTTTCGATGGTCCAATGTAAAAGTAAGTATCTCTTCAATGTTAATATGATCTATGCTAACTATTACAGACCAACCTCATCATTGCTCCAGTATCCCTGCTCAAGCAATGGGAGCGGGAGATTAAGCAAAAAATCCTGCCTGGCTACCAGCTAAAAGTTTTTATACAGCATTCTAGAAAGAAGAATTACAATCAGCTCCGCCATTATGATGTTGTACTGACTAGCTACGGATTGATCGTGTCTGAAGTCAAGAAGAGGGATCAATACATCAGACAAGCGAAAAAGGAGGGACGGGAGGTCGATGAGGATTACTTGTCTGAGATCTGCCCATTTCTGAGCCAAAAAAGCCTCTTCTATCGCGTTATTCTTGATGAGGCACAGTACATCAAAAACCACAAAGCCAAAGTTTCAAAGGCCGTTTGTGAGTTACAGGCCAAGTACCGTTGGTGCCTAACAGGGACACCAATGCAGAATGGGCCAAACGAACTCGCCGCCCTTGTCCGATTCTTAGGGATCGAACCATACTGCGTGGTTGAAAAATTCCATGCAGTAAGTTTACTATTAATGAGAATCAAAGTGTCTAGGTGGCTAACAGTATTGCGCAGGAATTCAAATCCCTGCAGCCCGGATCTAAAGGCAGCCCAGACGAGAAGAGGAGGGCAATGAAAACGTTGCAGAGTCTCCTTAAAGATATTCTACTTCGACGAACAAAGAAGTCTAAGATTGACGGAAAGCCTATCGTCCCGTTGAAAGAGAAAATAGAGGTCATTGATCATGTTGTTTTTGATCCTGATCAACAGGAGTATTATGATACTCTTGAGAAGGATGCCCGTGTCCAGTTTAGCAAGTATCTCAGGGCTGGCACAATTGGGAAGCATTATACCAAAGTCTTGATACTCCTTCTTCGGTTACGCCAAGCTTGTTGTCATCCGTATCTGCATCTCACTGATCTAGAACTAATCGTACCCGACATCCCAGAGGAGCAGGCAGAGGAGTCTGCAAAGACCATACCCCCAGAGGTAGTCGAGCATATTAAGGAAACCGAGCTCTTCCATTGTTCCGTATGTTCTGATGTCGTATCAAACCCTTCTATCATGTGCCCTTGCGGAGATCTGCTCTGTTCGCACTGTGTTGAGGCATTTATGAACATGCTTAGGGAGAGGGAGATACGCACGGCAGGGGATGAGCGCAGCTTAGAGTGTATGGCCTGTCACAAGCAAGGCAATTTCACACCAATCAAGTTCGATTCATTCTTGAAGACATACCAGCCTGAGCGGCTTCAAGATGAAAAGGAGTCAGAAGCGGGTGACACAGATGACGACGATGATGATTCCGACGATGATTACGAGGTTGATCTTAAACCAAACGAGCTTGCGAAGTTGTGTCAGCGGGCAAAACACAATCAGCGAGCCCACAAAAGGTACATGCGAAACCTTCGTGAAATCTGGCAGCCATCGGCTAAGGTAGCCAAGTGCTGTGAGCTCATTTCGACTATCCAGAATACTACGGGAGAGAAGATTATAATTTTCTCGCAATGGACCATTTTCCTTGACCTAATTCAAATCTCAATCGAAGATGAACTTGGGCTTCGGGTTGGCCGCTACGATGGTAGTATGACAGCAACCAAACGTGATAAGGCAATTAGTGAATTCACCGAGGATCCCGAGGTGAAGGTTATTTTGGTGTCTCTCAAAGCCGGAAATGCTGGCCTCAACCTGACAGTAGCCTCACAAGTTATTATTATGGATCCGTTCTGGAATCCCTACGTCGAGAATCAGGCCATCGATCGCACATACCGTATTGGTCAACAGCAAGATGTTACAGTCCACCGAATCCTTGTCGAGAAAACCGTGGAAGATCGGATTATGGCCACGCAGGAGAAGAAGCGTCGAGTCGTCGAATTTGCTCTACAGAGCGAAAATGCGATGAAAGATATGAGCAAACTTGGTACTGAGGATCTCGCATTCCTCTTCGGCATGGATTCCTAGCCACGAAATCTAGGACCTCAAAGGATATAATCCATACAATACCTCATTGTACTAATCACGACTGGTTTCTATTTTTATAACCAATCATTACCTTATGCTTTTTTTTTCTTTTCTCTTCTTTTCTTCCTATCAGTTAGATGCCAACGATTCCTGATGATATTCAGACAGAAAGAGGACCATTTTGTTGCTTTGCGACGCATGGCTCTGGCACAACTTACCATCTGCTTGATTCACAGGCAATGGATCATTGAGCGGATGAGCATTATAATGGCGGTTTGACAAGAGGTATACTGTCTGCCTAGGCTTACAGTTTAGTCGGTTACCTAAAGGAAGGATGAAGGATATTATTTCGTACACGATCCTGCCTCGCGGCGAACCACAGGAGACAGACGATTTGTTTGTACTAAGGGAGCATGGTGTGTAAGGATGGCTTTTGTAGTAACGAACTTGCTATATACGGTTCTTTGATTGATATGATTGTACTCTCCATAGTCATACTCACGACTTAATAAGAATGAGTGTATTTCTTTTCCCATTCGATTTTCGGTAATCCTCCGTACTCCTATCCCTTTTTATGACCAAGTGCTAGCTAGCACAATGCGCTCATCCATAGCTTGCCTACATTGGATATCAAAATCACAGTATGGGCCTTGCTCAAGTCAACTAGTAATAATTAACCAGGTCTCCATATGTGTCTCGTTGCGAAGAGGTAAAACATTGCATACAATATGAAACCCGTTTAGGTAAGGTACCTAGGTAAGTTAGGCGCCTAAGGAAATATCAGATATCACAAGTATACATAGGTATCTCATATAAATAAGGTTCTTTGTTCGCTACGTTAGAATAAATCTCCCTAGGTTAGTCTATTATATTCAAACATTATGTAACTACGTACCTACCTAGGTAGGTAAAGGCGAAGAGTACCTGTCTTAAGTAAAGTACTTGTGCTATTGATATACGCAACGCCTTTGTTGTGGATGTCTCGATGGTTCAGGGGTATATTTAATAGGGGTTAGTGGGTCCCAGAACTTAGGTACCTACCAAGGTATGTTCATGAATAGTAGATACCTAACCTATGGAGGTATTTTAACAGTCAAAATTAGATAGAAGCAGCTCTCATACTGGGTTTAGTGTTAGTTGGAGCAGTTACACGAGATATTCAGCGATCAAAGCTCATGATCCCTTATTTGTAGTTATTAACTTTGAATTATCGAGCCTTATAACTAGTATAGCTTGTAGAGCTAATTCTATACCTGGGATTTATATATAGGTAGGTATATACCAGATGCAAAACCTTCTGCCTCACTCAGTTTTCGGAGAACCCTCTTCGGTAATAGAAGCCTCCTCAAAAAGGAAATTCTTTTTGATAGCGAAGCCAAGTTTAGTTAGTCCATATGACACCATTCCACATTGGGGTAGTCGACTAGGGTATAGGAGGAATGGATAGAACACTCGTCAACAATGATGTCGTCGAATGTCTAATTAACTACGCCGTCGCCCTGATGTTGCGAATAACTCTGCATAACTTGGACCACGGCATCAATAATACTGTCCCCTCTCTCATCTCCGCGGTCTGCCCTCCATGTCCACACGCGCCTAGCCGTGTGATTGCCTTCCTTCCATCGCCCGTCGAGGCTTAGGATAAGACGTCCATCGCTATCCTCCGTGATATTAACCCTTGCCTCGCTGTCATCTCTGTCAACCACGCCGGGACCATGCACTGTCTCGGTCCAATGTATATCGTCTCTTCCCAGCTTCTCTCCAGCAGTTCCTGCAAGAATTTGTGTTAGGGCGCGCAAGATAGCTTGTTGAACATAATAGATAGCATCTTTTGCGTTGGGATACGCTTCGCGATTGAGATCGGCGGGTGGGTATAGATCTTCCAGGGGATTTTTCGCTCCCTGATTCGTAGATGTGGCGCCTTTATTACTCTCCGCGGTGCCATTTTGAGGAGGAAATGGCGTTAGTGAAATATTGAAGTGCATCTGGATGTAAGGGACGACCATGATCCGGGCCCGCCCAAATATTCTGACTTCTGGTGTAATAGCTAGCTCAAAAGCAGACTCGAGACGGCCGGCGAGATAGTTAATAAAGTTAAGCTCGGTCTTGGGGTTGCGACGGGTTAGGTTGCCTTGCAGGAGTATAGGGGTGAGCGGTTGGGTAGCCGACTTGCAGGCAGCGGTAGAAATACCGGCCCGCTTTAATGTGAATACCAGATCGTCCAAAAAATCTATCATAGCTTTGCAGTCTCTGAAGTACTCTGTATTTGCGATTACTGCACGCAGAATAGCATAGGGTGATTGCATGCGATTGGGTGGGAGTTGCGCCATAGTAGTGCGCCGGTGATAGTTCTGCCGGTGCCCTTGGAATAAGAGGAACTGTATGTAGATGTAGTATGCCGTACATGAGCACTGCATATTTGTTATCCTTTCATTTGCGTTATCCGGTTCGCCAAGATCTTCGAGTGTGAGGATAAGATCTGTTTCTGGATCCTGCTTCCAAGTAATACTTGAAGAATCCGAGTAAACATCCGAGGAGAGTAAGGTTCGAGCTTCTCGATTAATCTCGTACCAAAGCTCCTGGTGAAAGGCCGTATTTCTGGCTTCACGTACTCGATCTTGTAAAGGCGCGTCGTCGGATACCCGTCCAGGCAAAGGTGATTGATCCACGATTATACCATTCTTCTTGAGGGTGATACGAACTCTTTGAGAACCCCCACCAACGCGACCCAATCCTAGACGGACGGTACCATCATCATTGCGCCTGAAGGGGGCAATGCTGCTGTTTCTAAACTCAGGCGCGGATTCAGCGAAACCAAACCGGACACCCAACGTATGTGCTTCGTGAGGCGCGGCACAAACAGCCCAGCCGCCTTCGCTAACAGTCAAGACATCGGCCCAGTACTTGGTCTCTAGCTGCATTTCTTTCTCCAGTTTCTCCGCAGCTGCTACAACCGAGTCCACCATATTGTTGACCCCCATGAGCCTCCACCCCGTTGCGACAGCTAGATCATCTTGCCTTCGCGTTTCGGTGATATTGGATTCGTTCAACTTGGAAGCTCCTAGAGTACCAATGCCGACTAGTTCACGCAGCTCTGGCGACAACGTGCTCAAAGCCCGTGGGTCTTGTTTCGTAAGAAGGAGGGATACGAAGTCGAGACTTAACATGGCGGATTGGTGCGCGACTCTAGACAACTGCCATTAGTATAAATTTTCACTAATTACAGTTTCCTTCCACCGCGAAGGCGCTTACTCGATATTCTTTAGGAATTCTTCTCGCGCTGCTGTAACACTTTTCAGCTCTCCATCTTCATCTTCCTCCTCATCTGAAGACCCCTCGGCTTCAACGCGACCATCTTCCTGGGCTGCAATCTCCTCACGCAACTTAGCTTCCGTTACGTTGCGAAAGCCACCGCTTTGGGCACTAATGCGTGAGATGAACTCGCCGAGGTTCTTTGGTTTCTTGTCGCCTATAGGCCAAGGGCGCAACGAGAAAGGTGAGCTGGAGGCCATTTCAATTATTCGCCGACCTATATATTACGTTCGAACTAATGTTGGAATTGCGGGCGGGAGACTCAAGGAGCTTAGATGTGTGCCGTTGGAGCTTACATTTGATTGCGATTTCGAATATTGAAGATGAAGATGTAAAGAAACGGTATGTACAAAGTACATGAAGCTTAGCTGGAAAGCCGAGATCATGATTGTAACCAATGATTGGAAGCTTAACCTTGATGAGTCAGCAAGAAGCTAGTGCAAGGAGACTGGAGCTTGGTGATATGTATTTCCCCACTAGCTACGTACTCCTCTCTCTGCTCCCCTGCAGTAGATCATCCCAAGGTTTATGTTTGCATTTACAACACATGCTAATGTTCGTCAGGATGTATTTTTATAATATTTATCACAGAAGTCTTCTATCTCTTCAACAAACGAAATATCCTTCATGGTCATCTCATCTTTTCATAACAGTTTTAATATATTCTACGGTGTATTTTCGGGTATCGCCATCAAACTTGAGTCAATACTTGCCGACTATTTAATCTCAACAACTTGCTTCATCGCATGATCTAGGTTACTCAAGTGTACCCTTAATATGATGCAACTGTAACAACAACTAACAAAGTAGTTGGGATGGCTTCTTTAAATACATGTATTTTGCCGAATCATTCGAGAATATACAACATGCCGATCCTATGTATCATGTTATCTCACGCTAGAGCTACATTTCCATGTGGTTTTCTTCTGGAGTTCTGCCCAGTAGGCTGAAGATCGTCTCGAGGAGTTATTTCACGCAACCGAACCTATCGGACGCCAATCCATATATGTATAGGCCTATCGAGCGATTACCATACTCTACAGTTTTCATACATACATTTTTATCACTGCGGGAATTTCTAGCATATGCATCAAGGTATCTCTTGTCTGGGTATTGACAGGGAGTTCTTCAAACAGTCAAATAGAATGCAGCGGATCCTTCTCAACAAGACCTCGACACTACGTCAGGTGGGGATTGCCAATCGGACGCTAATTTGACTACCGTTCCATGGCGAGCTCCGTTACGTAGACATACATATTCTTCGATTATTCCCACCTGGTACGCACTGTAATGCTAGGTACCTAAAATGTTTCGATGACTCCTACTTAGGACAGAGCTAATAAAGGACCGACCTAAGTGCCTATTTTATCTTACGAGAATAGGAATATGTCTCATGTTGAATCGTAAATATATTATAGCAATACAAGCAACTATTCGTATTCTAGGTAATATAGGTATGTAAGTATGTAAATGTTTGGAAACAACAAAAAGAGCTCAACAAGGTAAAAATAACTCAGCCTCACCATCCAGCTACAATAAATATAATTAGGATTAAGGGTGCAGGTAGGTATTACGTTAGAGACTTTCCAATAAATTAGCCCAGACACACTGCATGTACGGAGCATGGAGAGGTAGTGAGGGGTTTATTTGTACCTCCACTACCTACGTAAGAGGGTTGATACTTGCATGGTGCGACTTCCTATAGCTCCCCCGCACTGATAGTTGATAAGAGCTTCTTTTGTTCACCATATTATCGTTTTTTTTTCTACTCGATCTAAAGAAATGACATACATGTATGTGAAATAGGTAAGTACATGAAGAAGGTAAGCCACTCTTTTTTTATTTCCCTCGTCACATTAATAACACTACTATCTCCTGATATATATTTTTTTTTCAGTCGCTCTCGCTTGCATGGGCTAATTAGAGCATGTAAAAGAACGCATTATAGGTCCTTGCAGTTCTAATTCCTCTTATTCGCCTACTTAACCTCTACTTTAACCTTTGGATGTGCCATCTCTTAGTTTAGTAGACCTCATATTTCCCTTTTATTCATTCATTCCTAAAACCTCGAATTTCGAACCCCCCCCCCCCTAAATCTCTTTACCTACGATATTATACCTAGAATACCTATCAGCATGGCTACAACAAAGAAGAAGATCGCCGTTATGACCTCAGGCGGTGATTCGCCAGGCATGAACGCCGTTGTCCGGGCCGTCGTACGAATGGCTATTCACATGGAGTGCGACCCCTATTGCATCTACGAAGGCTACGAAGGCCTAGTTCAAGGTGGGAATTTCATTAGAAAAATGGAATGGAATGATGTTCGAGGATATCTTTCCGAGGGTGGCACACTCATCGGTACCGCGAGATGTATGGCTTTCTACGAGCGTCCCGGACGTTTGACTGCCGCCAAGAATTTAATCCTCAATGGCATTGATGCCCTCATTATCTGTGGCGGTGATGGCTCCCTTACCGGTGCTGATAGATTCCGAGCCGAATGGCCTTCTCTACTTGAAGAACTGGTATCTACAGGCCAGCTACAAGCCAAACAGATCGAACCCTATAAACACCTTAACATCGTAGGGCTCGTGGGTTCAATTGACAACGACCTTTCCGGAACCGACGCCACCATTGGCGCCTATTCCGCTCTAGCCCGTGTATGCGAAATGGTAGATTATATCGAAGCCACCGCCTCCTCACACTCTCGCGCTTTCGTAATAGAGGTGATGGGGAGACATTGCGGTTGGTTAGCTCTGATGGCAGGCGTAGCTACCGGTGCCGACTTCATCTTTATCCCAGAGAAACCTAGGGAGGATAACTGGAAAGAGGAGATGTGTCAAGTTATTAGGAAGGTATGTGGCCAGACTTAATGGTGTACTCCAAAAAGGGGCTTATACTAACTTCACAAGCACCGAGACTGGGGCAAACGTAAAACCATTGTCATTATCGCAGAAGGTGCCCTCGACAGGCATGGCACAAAGATTACGCCTGAGATGGTGAAAGATCTCCTTGCCGACAAATCGGGCCTAGCCCTGGACACTCGCATCACAACTCTCGGCCATGTACAAAGAGGAGGAACCGCAGTGGCCTACGACAGGATGCTCGCCACGCTACAAGGAGTAGAAGCTGTCAAGGCTGTACTTGAGGCTACACCAGAAACCGAGACTTGTGTTATCGCTATTACCGAGAACAAGATCATTCGGAAACCTCTAATGGCAGCGGTACAAGAGACGAAAAAGGTAGCGACGGCTATCGAAGCTCAGGACTTTGACAAGGCAATGTCACTCCGTGACACTGAATTCTCCGACCAATACAAGTCATATATGATGACTACTACTATGGGACTTGACCAAGATATACACCTGGAGAATTCCAAGGTACGTTTATAAAACTACTAGCATTACTAGCGATGGACACTAACATCTCTATAGAGGATGAAAATCGGTTTTATCAACGTTGGAGCACCTGCTGGTGGTATGAACGCTGCTATCCGTGCAGGTGTAGCTTATTGCCGATCTCGTAAGACGCCCCCTTCGATTCATAGCCACCCCCTTGACAACGTCAATGGGTGAGCCTTCCAATACCTACCATAGCATATCCCCCTATGATATCAATTGGAAATTCTAACTTTAAGTTTATAGGCGGGCATGAGCCTCTCGCAATTCACAATGGCTTTGCTGGATTTGCCCGGCATCACGGTGACTCGCCATTAGGCGCTGTCCGGCACTTCGATTGGCTCGAAGTAGACGGATGGGCCAGCAAAGGAGGCTCTGAAATAGGAACGAACCGGGAGCTCCCGGAAGAGTCTGGTATGGAGCTAATTGCCAAGTTAATCGAGAAGTACGAATTCGATGCTTTATTCCTAATCGGCGGTTTCGAGGCCTTCCATTCAATCTCGCAACTTCGAAAAGCCAGAGCCAAGTATCCTTCGCTCTGCATTCCCATGACTCTACTTCCAGCAACCATTTCAAACAATGTCCCAGGCACAGAATATTCCCTAGGCTCTGATACTTGTCTAAACGAACTCGTCGCCTACTGTGACAAGATTAAACAGTCTGCATCAGCCACCCGAAGGCGAGTGTTTGTTATTGAAACCCAAGGTGGTCGTTGTGGATACGTAGCAATTCTAGGAGGATTAGGCGTCGGTGCGAGTGCCGTCTACATTCCAGAAGAAGGGATCAGTCTAGACATGCTGAATGCAGACGTCAAACATCTAAAGGAGGTTTTCACGAAAGATAAAGGCCAATCACGAGCAGGCCGGCTGATCCTTGTCAACGAGAAGGCAAGCAAAGTTTACTCAGCCAAGCTTATCGCAGATATCATCCGGGAGGAAGCTCATGACCGGTTTGAATCTCGAGATAGCATCCCCGGCCACGTTCAGCAGGGTGGTGTCCCCTCAGCCATGGACAGATGCCGTGCCGTCAGACTAGCTATCAAGTGCATACAGCACCTTGAGGAGTACGGCCCCAAGCCGCAGAAAACCCCGGAAAAGATAATTCAGGATCCTCTAAGCGCATCCGTCATTGGTATCAAAGGCGCACACGTGACCTTCTCGCCCATGGAGCAGATAGAAGATAATGAGACGGACTGGAAGAACCGACGTCCGACGGCAGCCCACTGGTTGGACAACAAGGAAGTTGTCGACATTCTCGGCGGGCGTCCTCCATACCCATTGCCCGAGAAGAGCCTGGTCGGATTGATAGCCAAAGATGCGAAGCGCGGACTTATTGAATAGTAAAACGGACTGGGGACTAGAGAATAGGACGGCCGGCTGGGTTGGGAGTTACAACATTGGGACAATACCTAGGTAGATAGATTGGTACGGTTATGCGAGCATGATTATGGTTTATTTTTACGGTTTCTTGAAATATCGTTGGGGCGTGTCATGAAGTTGACGTCCCCATTTCATGACAATCAGTCTATTTTTAGGACATCTGCTTATCAAAACAACGTCGTTATCATTGTCTTCAGACGAAATCTCATGTCATTATAAGTAAATCGTTTCTTGTGAAAATCTAGCAGGAATTCATATGGTTCAATATAGGACCTTATTGATAGTACCACGCATATGATAGATATGAAGGTTTACTATACGGTAGTGAGAGTAAATAGGGGTAAGTTATTGGTAGAGAAGTTCGACGCAATACCGCAGCCAATATTAGACCGTTGATATATAGCTAGAAATAATTTGCCGCAAGTATCTTAATGGATAATTCGCTCAGAGCGTTTTGGGTAAAACTCTTAGTTATTCGTATATCTCTCATGGCACATTCAAACTCTTACCTTTGCAATACCCTACTATCGTAAAGGACTTTTTACCCTTTATTAGCTCGAGATCCTATTGTTGTTCTTATTCATCTTATGTCCTCTCCGGTGTGTGCTAAGCGTTCGTCAAGAGTCCCAACAATGCAAGAAATATCCGGGATGTTTTTAAAGGTGTATTTTACGAGGTCGGTGCATGCAGGTCAGATATGACGAGGGGTTTAGTTGGTGCGTGATATTGTTAGCATCCGCACAGAGCTTCATAGAATTCCTCCTAAGGGGTTCTTGTCGACCGGTTATGATTCTAGCATAACCTTGTGTGCTAGCAGAGTAACGCGGATGATGAACTCTTGCCACGTGAAGTGTATGAAGACTGGATGAGGGGGGACAGAGCGTTTATATAACTTCAGCCTCTCGGGACCGTATGTGACTTGGCCAAGAAAGAAGCGACCCATCAAGTATTTATAGCATATATAATCTGGGGTAGAGGGCCTATCCGATTGGGTAAACGGGAGAATTATGCGTAGCTGTTTCAACACATAGGTACTCAGACTTTGTCTAAAATCCTAGTAAGCAAAGCCGCCGTTGTGCTGAAGCAACCGAGCTTAATCCAGCACTTCGGGACTGAATCATGAATATAGTTTCGAACGAAACGGCAATTCATGCAGGGATATCAGCCACGCCTGAGTTTACTTGGACGGTAAGCAGCGGGTAGGCACCGTCGCTATTGTGTTGAAGTACTCCTGATCCTTGGTGAAGCTTGAGATAACAGTCACAGCCAAATCAGGTGCTATGTTTCTACATAAGTTCAGACTAACCAGCTCCGCCCTCTAAAATTGAACCTCGGTCCTTGGCAAATTGTAATTGGATACAGATAATCGAGAGAGAAAAAAGCCAGAATTAAAGATATGTTATCTATGAGATAAATGAGAAGCTGAGAGTAGAAAAGCTAACTATATTTTAACCAAGATAGAGAACTGACACAGATCAAAATCATTAGGAGACTGGAAGAGATAAAAGGCAAAAGAGTCAACCTTGAACAGAATGAAAGTTGGTTTCGCCACAATATGCAGTGATTACGCCCCCAGCAAGCCACACCGTCTCAGAATTAGGAAGGAGAACCCGGCGTGTCTCGGAATGCCCGGCCGAGGGCACGTGCCTTTTCTCGATTTTCAAACGCCAGCAGCTGCTATTCCTGGAAATTCACTGTATCTTGTACTTACCTTTTCCAGAACTAACGGGACTTATGTCTTATGAGTTTTGTAAGAAAAGAAATTAACATTTCGAAATGACGGAAGTAAGGATATATATCTAATTCCAACTATGCGTTGCGAATGTATGAAAATGAATAACTATGGTAATTGAATTTTTGTATTCGATTGCTGGACTCCGACTCGGAATTTCACATGCTTTAAGTTGCAATCGGATGAAAAGTCCCCCTGCTACCAAGTTCGTCTCAACCCGAAAATACTACCTACGACGTCAGATCTATAAACGAAGACGCGTCGAAAAAAGAAGAATGCGACTTTAAACCTGCCAGTTTAGCCTCCAACCACTTCCAACATACGAGTGTTTTTTATAACTTATTGCCTCCTAGTTTAAGACAGGTCTAACAGCTCGTGCAGCTTCAGTCCTTTTATTATAAAGTACTCAATTGGCCACAGGCTGTGCCACCCGCTAATTTATATAAAATACTACCTGCGGTAAACTTCGCTGTTACTATGTACCCATGGTTCGAAGCATCTTGTAGCCCCCAAGAGACAACTTTACCTTGACAACGCTATATAATTACCTAGGTAACTAATATATCGTTGCATCAACAATTTAACTACCTAATGCTAAGCACATAGTTATATTCAGTCAAATCATATATTCCCTTCCAAGTTACTACCTCCTACCTAGGTATTAGAGCTTACAATTAGTTCTTAGAAGAAGCCAAGCTACCTATGTAATGGTCTAGACATACGATGTAACTACGTATTATCTCACCTACCCGATTCATTAAGCCGGTCTAGGCTAGTATTGCCAATTGTCGATCGAAAAGTAGGTATGCTACTAACCCTGAATCCTTCCCGTTGCAACGCCCTCTCCAGACCCCAGGTCCGAAGGAGTAGTGAATGAAAGCGTTGGTAGATCAGGATTACTTGTTCCAGGCTTCACCCTAATCGATCAATTGGGGTGTATTTTATCCCTGCATATATATCATCTACACACTTAGGTTAGTGGCTTACCAGATACGACTTGATACCTAGGTTAGATCTCATCAGTCCTATTTCTCATAATTTTCTCTCTTTTCTCATCTCATTTTTATCTTTTCCTCTCTTTAGCTACTTCTATTTGTTTTATGTGGTTTGTGATTGCTTAAGTTTTATCCTACTTCTATCGTCTGTACTTGGGTATTAGCACGATAATGGCTATGATTATCACATGCTAGCTTTCTCTCGACATATCATAACCTAAGCGGATCCCGACGAGCCTACGCGCTCCTTTACGACAATGGCTGCAAAATTCACATCCCTCATTTATCTATCAATATGGCTGCTTGCGGGACAAGTGTCATGTGGCTCCATTGCAGCGTGGTGGAATACAAGAGCTCCCAGCTTTATTATGCAGGACGATGATACTGGCGGTATACGATATAGTCTCTGTAACGGCAACTATACACCAATATTTCCAGAAGACAAGGCGCTCATAGCTCCCTTCAAAGACCACCAGCCGAAAAACAAAACGGGGCTGTCCGCAACTGGGTGGATGGATGGCGAAACCGCTCGAGTAAGTAAAAGCTGAGATATTCTCACCATTGCGAAATGGGCGAAGTGGAGCCGGTCAGACCAAAGTGAGAGTTTCGCTGACGCCAGCCAACAGGCATCGATTTTCTACATGGATAATAACGATCAGATTGTCAATGCGCTTCTGAAATGCGATTGGAACACGGGACATTGGGAAAATGCGGGCGAGTATGTTGTCTCCGGAGGAGCTCCTAAAGTAGCGCCAAACTCGGGGTTATCAGCGGTGCTGCTTGGATCAACGGAAGGATACCGAGTATATTACAATGACCTCGAAGGGACTCTTCACGCAATCGGATACACACCTAGTACGACATGGTCTTATTATGGTGTAATCTCCCATGATGCAGCCTCTTCCCAGGCTATTGGGTCTACTTTCTCCGGCAGCAATATCTCAGTTGTGAGGCCTAGAGATGCCGAAAATATGGGAGTGTCAAAATTCGATGGTGGTGACATGTGGCATATATGTGAGACTACCCTCAAGATTTATTCAACCATAGCGCTAATTATGAATTTTCAGCAACCTTTCCACAGTCATTAACACAAACGGGGAACCATTCAACCAACGCAACAAAGGCGTCCGACCTCAAGCTCAGTTCCAATAGCCCGAGCTTTAGCCTCCCAGCTTGGGATGGTAACGCATCTGCCCTCGCCGTAACCATCAACAACAAGAATACGCGTAGCATTTTCTACATCGGCACTGATAAGAAATTATACCAAGTTAGTAACAGCGATGGTAACAGCACCTGGAGTATAGCCCCGCGCCCAGATGACGAGGATAAATCTTGGCCCGTAGCCGATGCGGCCGGTGCCCCGATCGGCATCGCAAGCGACACCGGGAGCCGTACCACCCGTTTGTACTACATGAGCGGCGGCCGTATGGTCGAGGTCAACGGCGACCACGGGAAGTGGCAGCCATCCACCGTGCTACCTAACACCAACACAAGCCAAACTACTACAGCACAAGCACCAGCGGCGACAACTACATCGCCATCAGATGAAGATAATGGGGGTTTAAGTGACGGTGCGAAAGCAGGGATTAGCATTGGCGTAACGCTAGGCATTATCGCGCTTGCGGGCACACCATTTGTATTATGGCTTTTACGCCGGAGACAGCGGAGAATCGACGAGGCAGCTGCGGCGGCGATGGCGGCGGTGAGAAGAGATCAATATAAGCCGGAAAATGGATATGCGGGACCAGGACCAGCGTACGGTCCTGATGGGACGCAGGCTGGGGCTCAAACGGCGGTTGGTGCCGACGGGTACGTGTACGGTGCACCACAGACTTATGGAGGATACCCACAGGCTCAGCCGCTTCAACCTGGATATGGACAGCAGCCACAACAAGGGGTTGCTTACCCATCGCAGATGGGTTATGCTATGACCTCGGATGGGTACGCACAACCTACCGCGACAACAGCAGGGTATCCGCAACAGGCAGGGTTCACGCAAGATGGGGGATGGATGTATACTCCGCCAACTGGGGATAATGGAGCACACTACCAACAACAACAACAGCAACAACATTACTACCAACAACATCCGCAAGAGATGCCGGGGGATACGAAACCCGTTGAGTTAATGGGCGAGGGACATTACAAAGAAGTACCATGATCTAAAGTAATCTAGTAATGAGCTAGATACATGCGCGCTCATATAGAAAATGGGACGGTTCGGGAAAAAGACGGGAGGTATTTGCATTTTGGTTATCTCGGTTTTATATGTCGATACTTCAAACTTAAAGGCGGACTTCTAGCGTTAAGCGGATATGTCTAAGCATAAGCAGCATGGTAAAGAGCTGTGCCTATTCAGTATATATACGCTATTATAATGTATATAATTAAAGAATGTTAAGTCATAATAATTATTCTATTTGTATAAACGAGCAGATTATTCATGAAGAAGTCTTGTTTATGTGTTTTCGAGGCCGCTAAACGGTCTAGCTTAACTAAGTGAGTCACGAGCTATAACCCTCTATTTTAGTAGTAGTTGATGAAAGCCTTTAACCTAGTTCCTTTGCGTCTTAGTATAGATTAGCTACTTACATATCCGCCAAGTGAAAACAGCTAAGATAGGATGGCCATTCGTAAGAATTCTTGACGAAGTAAAACCTCACTATGTAGAATGAAATATCGTGTCAATGGAAAACCTTCGAGTAGATTAGATAGTCCAGATTCAAGAAACTCAACGGTATCCGGCACGGCCCGGTAACCTTGATCTGCGGATCAGCTTAGGCGAACCAATTTCGAAGTTCAATTGGTCATGAGATCTTCCAAAAATTATGGCGAACCTCCTAGAAGGCTCCCTGTGTCCTATGAGATCTGGAACCGAGATGAGTTCGTCGATATCAGGGGTATCCTGACGCAGGGTTCCTGAGAGCGACACGCCATCTTAGGTTGTTTGATGCCCAATAGCTAGATCATCATGTATAACTGACTGTTATAAGGAAGTTCCTGGTTATATGGAGACAGTAATAAATATCCAATAGTGCCATAGTCCAGAAATCCCTTGCAGATGTTTTGAACAAGACGCATTTTGTCTTCTTGGAATTGTCGAATTAGAATCCCGTGATTTCCGCCATCTTCATAACGAATTATATGGTCGACATTATCTAAGCGCATTATTAGGTACCTACCTATACATGTATTTAGGTACATCTATCTTATTAGGTAAAATATGTACATATTTAATGTACATTCTGCGAAATCTGTACGAAGTTACATAAATAGGGCATATCACGTTATGGTCCGAGCGTGGACATCTACGGAGGCCTTACGAAAAAAACAGGAGCGGCTAGGTAGGCAAAAGACAGGGAAAAGCATTAATGCTGCAACTGCAACCACTGCATCATTGCGTCAGCGTCCTCCCCACTGGTTTCGACCCCACCATTTTTCTTCCTACTTCAGGTTCCTTCAGGCTTCTCTGCACCTATCCGAATGCCCATCTACCAACCTCTCCAACCACTCAACTGCGACTTGGCATATACAATATGCAACCCGATGTTATGTATGATGCATTCGATTTCTTTCGATACTGAAAGAAGAAGTAATAACTGGCCATACTATGTAAAAATTGGTGAGGAGAGTATTCGGCATTTCTGACGCAGCGCAACATGAATTACCTACCTATTAACCAAAGAGGTATCGTGAGCAAAGGTGGCGCGTGGTTATGCCCTGGTCTATCGCATGGTCGATATTGCATACGCTACTGGCCTGGATGCGCAGCCTGCTCATTTGGCTGCCCAACAGCGTATGGCCGTTTGCTTGTCTCACATACTAGCATGGCATACTAGCATGGCCTTGCTGTCTCACGAGGGCATCCGTCACGCTCAGCCTGCAGCGATCTGCTGAGTTGAGTAAGCGGCATAGGTTCACGCAGAATCTCAAGACATTCGAGACATTTCAAGGACCTAAGACATCTTAGGACGAGGGGGGAGACCATAGCCATAGCCAAAAAAGCCAAGCCACAATCTGAATCTATATTTCTATTTTTTTTATTGATGGTTACCTGCATAGGTTCTTTGCCTGATTCCGTGACATTCTTCTCTTCTACCCGCTGCCCCCCCATTCCCCCTCCACTCTCTTTCCTCGTACCGGACGTAGTATCGTCAGGACGTGAGGAGCTTAGCTTAGCTTAACAGCCCTAGCCTTCCTTGATTCCCGTCCACCGCTCCAAGCGAACCCCCCTGCTACTTTTCGTATGCTTTATTAGTATCGGGTCTCCCAGCTGCTGTGGTATGACGACGTTTGTCTTCCCTTAGCTTCTCTCCAGTCCAGAATTACACTTTTAACTTGCGACGACATCTGGTATTTTTCTCCGCGAACCTGTCAGTTTTGTATCACTGCTTTGACACCATTGACACCCAATCCGATGAGGCCTTATTAGCTAGTTTATAGTACAAGCAAACGGCACAAATCCTGGCCTACAAATCTTGTGACCCCCCCCAGCTTGAGGTCCTTCTGACAACCTTCAGCTCTAATAACTCATACTGAACTTTTTTTACTTCTTCCAACTACTGTTAAACCATCAAGCTATTCTGCTAGGGAGTTAATACTTCAGGAGATTTCAGGTCGAAATACCGCGGCACGCAGCCTACAGTATTCTTGGTGTTGATCATTTCCGTATCAGTCTACAGCTATTGAGGTTCCTCTTCTACCCCGCTACCGTCGCAGAGTGACGCACCTCAGCGGTGAATCTTTCACCACCACCACCACCACCACCACCACTACCACCAATTGATAAACTCAACTCTTCATCTACTCCATAGACGATCTCTTTGAGAAGCAAAGTTTATTTTTAGGCTTAAGGCTTGAGGAGATGTCTTATAGAACTAGTCGGTCCGATGTGGACGACAGATATTATGAGTCCGGTCCGCCGCGGAGGGCACCGGCTCGGGATGATGACTTCGAGTCCTTACCGCGACGTCGCAGCCCACCACGCAGAGCACCCGTGAGGGAGTATGAAGACATAAATATTCAAGTCCAAGACCGGGAACGAGAGCGAAATGACCGCACTCCTGCATTTCTTAGAGAAGATGTTAGAAGGACAGAAGCTGGACCGCTAGTCCTGCGTCAGCGTGAAGTTGAGACAGTTGACCGGCGACGTCCTCGCAGCCCTAGTCCTATTCACTACCGGGAGCGCATTGTTGAGAGGGACCGTGAGCGGGCTCCTTCGATGCCTCCGGAGCGTCGGCCTAGATTTATCGAACGATCACCATCTCCACCTCCCACCGCCGTGCGAGTAGAATCACGCACAATTGAAAGACGACGGGAAAGGTCACCAACTCCAGAGCGGGAACGGGATCGAGATCTCATTCACCTACGAATTGAACGTGAAAAGGAACGTGCTCCCTCACCTAGTCCTTCACCTCCGCCTCCACCTCCCCCACCAGCAGTCATCCGAGGTCCTACAATCGAGCGTGAGGTCATCACGCACTATCGTGACATTGACCACGGTAAGTTTTACCTATTTATGAAACATATAACTTAAGACGGTCCCATTCTAATATTCGAATAGGTCTCATACGGGCTAAACCTCCGACTCCACCCCCACCCCCGCGTACTGCACCGCCTCAAACTAGAGAGCGGGACATAGATATCGATATTGATATCCGCCGTAATGAAACAGATGTTGACATCCGCGAACGAACTCGGTCGCGATCTCGCCCGCGTGTCGAGCGCCCTCGTCCGCGCAGGCAACCAACTTACTACGATGAGGACGACTTAGTAATTGAGAGAGACCACGACATCCTTCGTGTAGACTCTCGACGAAGAGCTCACTCTGCTGCACCACCCCCAAGACCAGACTATGAAGATGAAGCTGAATATATCACCGATAAGATCGATTCACGGGGTCGTATGGGAGAGGCATGGAACGGCGCTACTAAAGACTGGACAATCGTCGATGTGCCACCCGGCACTGAGCGCGTGAAAATGGATGGTGCCGGAGGCGCCGCCGCCGAAGTGACCTGGCAGCGCTACAGCGGTGTGAGACGGTCTAAGTTCATCCCTGATCGGGAGGGAACACCTATCAGCGCCGTAAGTGAACCAATTCGAGAAACGATTCGGGAATCTTTTCGGGAACGCGAGCCATCACGTGAACGAGATCGGCTCAGCATACAAGTATACGACAAGCGAGAGAGATCGCGCGACCGAGACGTTGAAGTTGAGGAGATCCAAGACCGACGGATTTCGATCCGTGATGGTGATAGAGCGCCACCTCGAAAGCGTAGCGAGATGTGGACCGAGATTACTAAGGATCTCGTGCTTCGTGAAGCTATCGAACGGATGGGGTACGAGTATGAGGAGACAGAGTGGTTCTTCTACGTTATGCAGTACCTACGCTATGTAAGTCTCATTCTCGTTTCTGTGGCACCGCGTCACACGTCGCACCTTTTTTTTTTTTTAAGATCAGCATGTTAACACAATGTTTCAATAGGAGGACGTCCTTGAACTCGTGAACTTGTCTGACGACATCCGCCGCGCTAAGCGACGCAGAGCCGAAGAGGCTCAGTGGAGCCGCGATTGGGACCGACGACATCGTCATCGACATTCCTTGAACTGGGATACTGTCGATGACGAGCGCATCGTTGAGCGTGAGGTTGTGTATGATCGCCCGTCGCACCGCGGGTATGCCCGTTAAATCACTACTCATGACACGGATTATTCTATATCCTATGATTAGGCGTGTCTACCTCGTGCTTATAGTTGGGTTTTCTCGACTTTTAGCTTTCAGGCGAGAACAGTAGACCGTAGTGGCGAAATAAATGATAACACCAACGCCATCGAGAACATCACTCTCCAAACACGAAATGAGGCAGATACCACGGCGACAATCTTAAACATCATCTTCGCCGACAGCGCATCATATAAAACATTATATATACCTCACGACAGTGGTACTAGTCCCAAAGGCAGAGTTGATCGCAGCATATGTTACCTTTTTATTTTTTTTATTCCATACCTCCTTTTTTTTCGGTACCTATCATGAAGATGAAGTCACGGGGTTATGAAGACGATTTGAGGTATAAGCAGGACAGGCAGATGGCGGAGGTAATTTGGTCTGTTGTTTTCTTTGCGTGTAGGGGAATGGAGATGAGGATGATGATTGAATGGTATTATTATTATCTTTTTTTATGTCTATATGCTGTATCTAGACTGCTGTTGAGTAAGGTACGGAAATTGATTACGATTTATGACTATAACTTCTGCTGTTGCTATTTGACTTGTTTGTGATGATTACTGAGTGTATGTGTGTATGCTGTGTACCGTAGTGTAGGGTCGGTATTCATGGCTCTGAATTAGGTACTTACTTCGAATACACGTCTGCATACGCACGCACACACATGTATATAGCAGACTCTATCTACGGCCTTGGTAACATTCTAGAAGACTTAAATATAAATAGGGGATGTAGATATGAAGGCGAGGTAAGTGACGATATCGCATAAATACCTCGGGAACCCTAATCATGGTCGAAGTAAGACGTCATAGGTACCTGTATTGAATAAGGTAGATCGGTATACTGCTTGAGCATAGGATAAGAAAACATGAGGAAATAATCATGATCCGTGAATAAGTAAAGATCGAACTAACCCCTATATAGATTCCTCTTTCTCCGTTCGCTAGCATCCTTCAACGATGAGCGTATACCACCAGATGCAGGATCTCTCATGTGCAAGACTTGTCAGCTAGTACGCGTCTTGGATCACTAGTCCCTCTTCATCAACAGGTTCGTAGAAATAGTCATTGTCTTTAGGGTGCGAGCCAATCCTCTCCTCAGAAACCTCAATGAATTCCTCCAGAGATTCAATAGCAGCCTCTGTCATCCCCTCCTTTATCTGGACGTCGATGGCTCGGAAGGTCCTGTACTCAGCTGGAATATTCCAACCTATCTTTTCCTGTATAACGGATTGGAGAGTCTCGCGCGCAAGTTCAGTTTCCTCGGCCTCGATATGCGTGATGACCTTTTTCAAGGTCTGAATCTCGGCGGTTAGGTAGCGGTCCCTGACACCCTGGAGCAACTTCCAAAATGATTCGATATCGCCTTCTAGAAGAGGGTGGATTGCATATTTCACCGGATCAGCTCTCATCCTCAATTCAAATATTTCTAACGGTGTCCATCCATCTTCATCCTGCATACGCACGTCTGCTGTGAACTCGGTTTGTTCCAGGATGTCGATACTTTCTGCATAACCATCCCACGCAGCTTGTATCAAGGCGTTCTCGTTACTTTGGAATTCATCGAACCTATAGCCAGCACCAACTAGTAAGCGAAGCATATGTCCGTTTCTATAATAAAACGCCTCCATCAGAACTGTACGGTGATAAATATTTTTCTCTTCGACGTTTACCCCAGCACTGATAAGCAGATTAAACTTCTCCTCCATATCAGCCGCGTCATGAATCACCGCAAGCCAGTGCAATGCATTCCCCTCATAATTAAAAGTGCTAGCACCGTGATATAGGAGAATACTGGCAAGATTTGCTGATCCTTTTGATGAAGATGCTATCGCATAGTAGAGAGCCGATTGATGAAAATCATCAACCAAATTTATATCACACCCGCTATCGATCAAAGCCCGAACTTGATCGTATTTTAAATATCTTGCTGCTGATATCAACGGTGTATCGCTGAATATATCAACAGAATTCATGTTTGCACCATGGGATATTAAAATTTGCATCGCCGCATCGTCGTAGTTTAACACGGCAAGATGTAGAGGGGTGTTTCCAGCGTGATCAAGTATATTGATATCTTCCGGTGATTCCTTTAAAGCCTCGATTAAATCACCGCCGGTTCGTATAGCCTCATGAACTGGCCAGGAATCATACACACTTTCGTCATCAAGTGCAATGACTTCTCGTAGGATGACCTGCTGTCTATTGTCTGGGCCTTTGAAGTCCATTAAATATCTAGCCATCATTGCTGCTTGTCTACAATTCGGTAAGAACATGCGAACAAATCTATCTGCTAAATAGGGCTTCAAAACGCTTACTTTCCGGTATCAGTGCCCCTAACAATTGATCTCGTACCGTTTAAGATGGTTGGTATTGGACCGTACATTTGCCAAACTAAAAGGTTCTAGTACATATTATTATTGTGCATCGTTTTTTACGAGGAAGGGCCGCCTTACATATAAAATACTGTTACCACTAATTCGGTCAAGAGGAGATAAGCCGCCATAAGATATCTCCCAACAGAGCCCTTCAATGTTATTATTAAGTACGTGAAAATTAAAATGTCTGTGGTTCGAAAGAATGCGCGGGACACGTAGGTGGAGGGAAGCGCTGGCACCGGTAATGCTACTAAAGGATAAAGTCGCATCGAGTGCCCGAGAGCAGAAGAAGAGAGGAACGCGTAAGTTGAAATGACGAGGTGAGCGAGCCCGTCGACAGGTATGCACATCACAACTCTGCGCACCGAGTCGTGGGGCACCATTATAAACAGACTGAAGCCATCCATAAATGACCGAGGTGGCAGGGTACAATCGGGTTCGGGAAATAGAAGAGTGGCATTGGCATGCACAATCTTTGGTGCAGGCTCTTCGTAACGCAGCCGTGATTTGTACTATTGGCTCATGATTCTGGATCGCTTCCCCGCTGTCGTTCATATATAGCGAACCCTCTCTAGACATGTTTGATAAAGTGAGTTGCGAAATTTCCTGTGTTATAGTAGTATCAATGCTACTGGCTATCGCCTCGGTGCTATCACCGTCGGTAATAATGTGAGAAGTACTTTCATCATCATTATGTCCTTGGCCGATTGACTGGCGTGGAGGCAGAGCGAGGGTTGTTTGCTGTACTTGAGTTGTTACTATTGTATGAATATCCAAGAGCATCCTTCCATTAGACCTTGAGCATTATCAGCATAATACTAAGCTCTGGAAGTAAGGATGATATTAGACATACGTCGACGCAAAGAAAGATGCGCTATCGAGAATTGTATGTAAGTATTCACGGTTCATTGTTGCCCTTTTGCTCAGTGAAATAATCTTTGATCTATACCAGAGCCACTTCACCTTGGAGATTTTAATAGGGCCATTTCCTTTCACCTCTTGTCGACATTTTCGGCAAAGCTCTTCGAGTTGCGATATAATTGATGCCGTGTTGGCCTCAATCATCGATAGTAAAGCGCGTTGGGGTATTTGAAATCTCGGGTCATTTGGTAAATCCTGGATCCCCTCTCTTATGCGAATCCCAAACTCATTCAATAGGATTAGCTGAAGATTTTAGCGAGAGTTACTGCGAGTGCTCTGAAGGGGTGGTAGAACTGACCTCATTCGTTAGCTGAATCGTCTCATGCTTGGCCCCGAAGAAAGATTTCAATATATCGATGATCTTTGGCGTAGCCGCAAGTGCTTGTCCGATCGCAATGAAGCTTGCGATTGCTGAAATCACATCCATGTTGCTATGTTGAATATTCTTATTTCAACTTAGCTGATACGGAATAGATGAAGTTGGAAGACAATGGGGAGGTGGGCGGATTTGGAGTTTATTACACCAATTGCCTCTTGCCGATATGCAGGCTGACCCGGACAGCAAAGACAGACAGATAAAGTCGTTGTGGCTTAGCAATACCAGAGCCTACTTTCCTGGCTTAGACGCCTACATCTAAAGCAACGTTGCCGTCACCGATTGGTAGCCTTCACGTTAGGCGTTTCCATGCTCGCATCCTTATGCAAACAGAGGGGATCATCAGAGTACTGAAATGGATTGTCTAAACCTTTGAATTATAAGCTCAAGATTAAGATGTCTTTTCGGATTTGAAAGGAGAATATAGACTGTTGCGTACATATATATCTCTAAATCTTACTCTGTGCAACGTCGATGAGCACTATGAGCTTCGTGTTTACAGCTCGGGTAAGGCATCCTAAGCGCCTTAGGTAAGTACCCATACCTCGTAGGTACAAGCCAATTTCGAAATATAATAAAGGGGTATTCGGAGTTATAAAGGTGATTCAGCCTAGCTGTCGAATCAGCAAGTAAAGAAACCGATCATGCTAAAGAAAGGGGTATAGGCCGCGGCGTCTGATAATACCTACTCACGATACGAAGATAATAGGTAGCAAAGAGCAGGTTACAAATTAATATTTCCTTGTATTTATTTCTACCAAGCTGTAACCGTATTTGACGCCAATATCATAAATAAGTATTCCGCATTTCCTCAAATCAACGCCATGAGATGCCTCGTCTCCTATCGTCATTATGTCGGGGATGTGATAACCGGGTATCTAGCCGAGCCGACAAAGAGGTAATTCCTACCCTAATAAACACCGGAGTTTCTAGATGAATGCGCCAGAGCCCTGCCAGAAGGCTTAATTGTATCGCTTGGCGGCTTCTTCAAATGCCTTCTTTTGGATCTCCTCCAGTTGCGCTAGAGTCATCCCACTGTCTTCCAATTTATTTCCACGCTTCTCCCGGACCTGTGATAGTTAGAGCTTGGACCATAGTAGGAAGAGTTAAGGGGTTATCAAACCTTCTGTGTCTCTTTGTGCTGTGCCGCAGCCTCAAGAACGGCGGGGATATAGTCCTCAAACCCTAGGGTCTCTAGTGCCTTGGTGATATGGTCGCATGCGATTGTTTTCTTCGCCTCCTTCTCGGAGATCTCGTTAGCTTCCGAAGATACCAGAGTGATGAACTCCACGCAACATTCGATAAGCAGATCCCGAGCTTCCTTGGCAAAGGAGAGACCGCTCGATGCAGGTAGAATTTCGGTGACTATCTTCTGGACAGTCGCTGCATTCCATTAGTATACAAATAAACCAGTGGCGAAAACAAGTAAGAGGTTTACCACGTACCTTTGGGGAGGGAAAGATCATCGCTGCCTAAAGAGTTGTTAGTTATCAGTCTGAAGCTTTGTAAATGAAAGAAGGCTAAGAAGGGCCAAGAATGGAACAAAGAAATATAAACGTGGCTTTATGTCAGTACCAAAATGGCTCGAAAACTCCCAGGAAGTGTCTTTCTTAGGGCGTCCCATCCCGTGGATTGAAATAAAGTTGTATATTGGCGATAAATGTTGGATTTGAAGTAGAAGTCGATGATATGTCTACAATATAGGTCCTACCTTCTTCTGGGAGGGATAGATAGGCAGCGATATATGTAACGAAAAGACATCAACCAGGATATTGAGCTTCTGTTTGATACAGTAATACGCGTGACCATGATAGGAGTCATTGAATTTATTATTGAATTTATTTCCTATTGTTGTGGTAGTAGCCATCCGCTTGGTAGACTAAGAAATGGTTCAAGCCTCGAACAGTTCAGATGCATATTGGGTCAGTGATACAGTTCGTCATTGTCCTGAATCACAATGAATAAAGTTTGCTTCATTCATCGTCCCATTCGGGGAGTTTACGGCCAGGGCAGTTTGCGTTTATTTCATTGCGAGGTCGTAAATGACTTGGAATCATAAGACTAAAATAGATATAACGAACTTACCGCCGTACTCATGATCCGACATATTGAAGATGGGTTGAAGGGAAAGTGGGGGGGTCGTGAGAAATGATTGACAATATCTGCTTCGCGGCAATTTCGATCTTGTATTCCCTAGTTTGATTTAGACTTGGATCAAAATGTAAGAAATAATGTGAAAGTTTAAAGAGGTTTGTGGACGAGATAAATAAGAGTAAGAAACGCAAGGCAAACTACCTTACACCTTCGTTAAGAGGATGCAGCGATGTTTTGTATCGAAACTGCAACCTTAGACAGCCGGCACACCGGTGGGTACTGTGGCTGATGGAAGAAAACCACGGTGGCGTTAAGTTCCACTTTATTTTTTATCTACCTCCCCATAAATTCTTTTTTTCTTCAAATTTTCATTTTAATTTCTTCCCAAGAATATCAACATTCTACCATTTTTAACAGCATCTTTCGTGGTATACTTGCTTACGATGCCTCCTAAAGTATTCTGCTAGAGGTTTTCTTTGTCTTGCTAAGCTACTAAGTAGCAGCAATCTATATATTGCATCCTATAAGGTACGTTTTTCTGGAACATCATGTATCACCCTTTCTATGATGAATACGTTGTCGCCCCAGTCTTACTATAGCCTAATGGCAATATGGTGATTGACACGTCTAGCCAAACGACATATCTGAGTTTATTCTATTCACATTTTATGTACAAGACATTTTTCTGTTTTCATCTACTAACAGTGGACTTGCAGGTTGCATTGATTTTATAAAAAAGGTATATACATGCACGCATACCAACTATCCCATAGCTTCTCCGAATGATGCCAAATAATAAAAGTACTATCAAATACCGATTCTACATGACGGACCCTATTATTACCTGACCGACCACACTCCCGCTGTATAATGAAAGAATTGCATTAGCTGAAGGACGGGGGGCTAATTTGATCATTATATAGTACCAAGATGGACGTGGGTTTTATATCGTTGAACCGGTTATAGAACCCGAAATATAATTCTTGTAAGGTATGGTAAACCTCTAAATATTTTTTAACGTAACTGCTTATGATGATTTAACGTGCTCCTGAATCATAATGTTGAAACAACCAAATCTTTTCATCTTTCGACTGAAGCTATCTTCTTGTTCTTTCTCTAGTACAAATAAAAAGTTAATCTCAGCTAACTTACTATATAATCTTAGTACCTATCTCGCGGGTTGTCCTTGCTATTAGGCCTACTGGAACTCTGCAAGATCGGTCGCGCTCCAGCTGTATACGCATTAGTATTCTAGTATCTCAGACGGGGTCTTTTCTATTACGTACTTGAAATGCTTGCCGCTTAAATCTCCGGGTGCACTGTTAACCAGCTTGGCTATGACAGTGCCTGGCTTTTTAGGATCCACCAACAATCCGCTCTCATGTTCATTGACGAAGCTCTGATAAGCTTCTGGTGTCATCCCAGCCTTACCCGTGTCTCTTATTTCTTTCTGCATATCAGTATCAAGCTTCCCGGGTGAAATAGCAATGCTAGTAATGGAAGGTTCCTCAACAGCCAGATGCCTGCAAAAGTGATTCAGGGCTGCCTTAGAGGTACCATAAGAGCCCCATCCCGCATACGCGCCAAACGCGGCTCCGGAAGAGACAAAGATAACCCGTCCCTTTGACTTTCGGAGTTCGGGGATGGCTTCTTTAATCTGTAATTAGAGTTAATACTAGCACTAGCACGGCCTCATCTGGCATACATACCAATGCTATAGCACTGAATACGTTGATGTCGTACGCTTTTCTCCATTCTTCAGCACTTGAATCGGATATTTTTGTGATAGGAGATATGACGCCATGATTGACAACGATACCATCAATCTTGCCAAAGGCTTTTAGCGCCGATTCGATGATTTTGGGTGCAACCTAGAGCGAAAGTGAGCTATTTGCCTTCATAATGATACAATCTAACAATTCTGAATTGGTAAGTTTAGACACACCTTAAGATCTGCTAGATCTGCTGCTATGAAATCGACAGACGATGAATGTTGGTCCTTCAACGTCTGCATATCCTTCTCAGTTCTGGCAACCAAAAACACCTTATGCGAGGCCTGGATTAAGGCTTGTGCTACAGCTAAGCCGAGACCTCGGCTCGCACCGGTAACAATAAACACTTTTGACATGGTGGCTTTAAGGTCTTTGAGAGGAGATATATAGTAAGGTAAGTGAGATTCTCTATTGTTGATTCATATTTCCAAGTAAATGTCACTAGTTTATAGGTAGACAAGGTTACCGAACTATCTATGAACTATATTGCTCAATTTTTTTTTTTATTAGTCCAATTTTTTTTCTTCGTCTCCTTTCTCGGAACTGCGGCTACTGGCGGGGTTGAGAGGGGCAGACGTCACTATCAGATTATGCATATGTTGATGCATTCCATATACAAGTACCCTTTGAACTACATATATATATATGTAATACTAGGTATATTACACATCTGGCATCGCCTTGATATAACTGTCTAGAATCTACTTTTGCAGACTTCATGAATATTAATTTTAGTTCATGAAAGAATTGAAGGATATGTTGGTGTCATGGCTACGACAGTAATACTAGGTGCAGGTATCATCGGTACTTCAACCGCTTACTATTTATCCAAGCACCAACCAGCATCAAGCATCCATCTCGTCGAACCCTCGCCCGAACTGTTCGCTTCGGCCTCCGGTTACGCAGGTGGATTTCTGGCGAAGGATTGGTTTTCGCCTGCCTCGGCTGACCTTGGCGCATTAAGCTTCGAGGAACATCGCAAGCTGGCTGGGAAAGAGGGCGGCGCGCAGAAATGGGGTTATGCGCGGAGTACGTCTATTAGCCTGTCGCCAGCTACCAGGTCCAAGAAGAGAATCGACCTTTGGGTCCGCGACGGCGCTAGTCGTGCAGAAGCTGCGAGTGCGAGCCCGTCGACTGGCGTGGCGCCACCGTGGTTGAGAAAGGGGGAAGGCGATGCTGTGGAGGTTATAAGTGAGGAGGGTACTGTTGCGCAAGTGTAAGTTTATAGCTTGGGGTTTCCTGTAATCCACGTGAGGTACGTATAATTCATATACAGGTTTCTGATCGTGAGATTCAGGGATCCGTTGCAATTATCTCAGTTCCTATTGCAGAAATGCATCGACGCCGGCGTGCACTTACATCACCCCGCTAAGGCGATATCCATACAGACCGACGTGCGCGATGAGCTTTCCAGTATCTGCGTCGCGGAAACACAGTCTAGTACTGAGACGGATATCCCCTGCACTAATGTCGTTATCGCGGCCGGTGCTTGGTCGTCAGAGGTCTTTAAGACGCTATTCCCAACTTCTAACTTCAAGCTCCCGGTTTTAAGCCTCGCAGGCCATTCTCTAGTAGTGACTTCGCCTAAGTGGAAAAGCGAACATGAGAACGTCGGCTGTCATGCCTTATTCCTAACTAGCAGCCCGGGGTACTCGCCTGAGATCATGTCGCGCATCGGCGGACATATATACATCGCGGGCCTGAACTCTGCAACTGAGCCGCTGCCGGACTTAGCGACGGACTCGAAGGGTAGAATCTCAAAATCGAGTATCGATACGCTGAGGCAGACGGCGAAGGAGGTACTAGGTGAAGATGACGTAAAAGTTGTGAGAGAGGGACTATGTTTCCGTCCTGTGACAGAGCGCGGCACGCCGATTTTGAGTCGCGTGCCGGATGAATATCTTGGACCCTCCATTGGCACGAGGCCGGGTCCTGAGGGAGGAGTGTATGTTGCGGCTGGACATGGGCCGTGGGGGATAAGTATGAGTTTGGGGACGGGCTTAGTTATGGCTGAGATGATTCAGGGGAGGGAGTTGAGCGCCGATGTGTCGAAGTTGGCTTTGAAGGTTTGACGTGGTTTGATGTCCATCGGCGCCTTTACAGGATGTATTTTGACTTGTTACTCTTACATCTAAATGAAATCTAATGCATGTATTTATTCAGAGGCCTGATTGTGTCATGTCGAAATTTGTAATTACGAGTTTGCCAGATCATATCGTTAGCTTTTAGCAATTTTCGATTTTTAATTAAGTAGGAATTATCCATATACGTCGAACTAAACGGTAAATTATTAGATTAACATCTGTTTGAATATAATAATAGGCACTTATTTGATAATTGTAGATTGATTAGAAGACTAGGCCGAAATGCGTAAATATTAGGGCTCAAAAAGCCTCGCTCACGAGCAAATTCGAAGTTGAAAAATGCACTCAACTAACCGCGGTCCATGGATTTAATTCACTGGCACAAGTTAGATCTGTCTGATAATAGCGTCCCGGAGTAATAGACCCGTAACGTGTACAACCCGCTAACCGTGAGACGCCACGGTCTACCATTCTGTAGCGAGAACCGAGACAGTTCCTGACAGGTACCTAGCTGCCTAACCTAAGGTACCATACCGGCAAAATGTGGTTTTGAGATATGATATTTGGGGGGTGGAATGATTTTTGTACCGGATATCTTTTCTTGTACGGGAATCAGAATCTTGATTGGATAAATTATTATTGTAATATTAAAAAAATGAAAGTGTAGCTAATAAGGTTCAAAAACGGGTAATCTTTCAGCACTAGTGGACTGGCCACCCACTAGCTGTTAGCTCAATCAAAACACTCCCGCATTGGTGGGGTGTGTTGTGGTGGGGCTAGGAGCCTGGGGTTCGAGTCCCAGCTATCCTAGCTTTTTTGATTTTTAAGGTTTTTGGGGGTCACATGACCCAAATCCCACTTATTTCAACCAATCAGAGCCTTCAGTTCCAAGGAATCATTCCTAGGAAAGGAATGATTTTTTACAAAAGAATTATAATTTTATAAAATATGATATTACCCATTTTAACCATTATTATGGGTAATATGATAATCTACGTACGGAATCCTTCCTGAAACCCATACAATGCCGCTACGGTAGGCAGGTAACCATCATAAAAGCCAAACAACCAGCGACTTAGACACAATACTCCGTAGCAAAAAGCGAGGAACTTTCTAGATCGCTAAAGGTTGTGAGACATATTTATGGATGAGGGAGTTGAGCAAGTCCGATGAAAATCAGCGGTTTCGATGTTTTTAGATCGGACGGAGAATATTTCGATCACAGTCTCCCACAACGAACGTCGGCGGCGATAATTGGGGGGGTAGATCAATATTTCTATCTAGCTGCCCTTGCTTTTCAATCTCGATCGTAGAAAGTTATATTGAGAAAGGGGGAGTCGAGACAATGATAAGGCACACGCGAACAAAGTGGCGCCCTTTATGAGAACAGTGGCGTTCGAGTCTCGATTCGAATCACACTCTTCCTCGGCATCGCATCTGCCTTTGATTGTAGCTTGTAGAATACTTATCTCCAGTACCTACCTACACTAGGTACCTAACTCAGGTCCCGATCGTACCTGAAATTGCTAAAACTATCTCGTACCTGGCCAGGCTTAGTCTCCGTGGCACGCGAGAAATGCCAATCGTGTCTTAGCCCTAGGACGACAGGCTGTCATGTGCCCATGTGCACCGTCGGGGACTTACGCAGGGGCCGGACGAAGTTACGCCCGAATATGTCTTGTCTTGTCTTGTCTTGTCTTGCCTGCAGGGTAGACACCCTATCTAGCGTATGTACGCACTTAAGCTTAGGGCCATGAACTGAGACAGGTAGGCAGATAGACAGCACGGTAAGACACGCATACGAACGATCGTGTGACGCAAACGTCAGCGGCCACAGTCGTGCAGAGGCTCCATCAGCTAACGTGTCTAGCCGATTGCGGCTTACAGCTTCAGCTGGGCTAGGCTAGCTCTCACCGATGCTAGGACCTGGAGAATGGACGGGTAGGTACCTACCTAAGGTAAGAAAGCGATGAGCGAGCTGGGTTTAGCTGTATGTATTTTCCTAAACGAGGCATATTACTCTATTCTAATAGCGCGAACCCCGCCGAAGATGCCGAGAGTGGGGATATGCCGAGCCAAGCATGATGAAAACGACGACGACGATGAGATGGAAGATAGAAGATGAAGATAAAGGTTAAAACTTCGAATTGAATGAAGCTACGCTAATGGTAGATGATTAAAGTAAAACTAAGGTAACCATGTAATAGTGTAGTTAATAGTAATGTTAGGAGGAAATAGTTTTTTAATGTCAAGTGGTATCTTTGTCCCTGCACCGTTTTACACCCCGAATAATGCAGCCCTAGAAGATAAGATGTACAAGAAAGTTAGGCACAGGTACCCCCCCAAGATGAACTCCCCCCTTCCTCCTCCGTAGATGATCGTTTGTCGTGTAATAACGCTGTCCTTTCCCGTCCATTGGCTTCCGTGGCTGCCCGTCCTGCTCAATTCCTTATTCTTTTCCCCGCCCTTCCCATAAATTTCGTCAAAGCACAATTTGCGGGGTTGTCCCCGGTGCTAGTAGTTGTAATAATAATAGAGTAGTAGTAGTAGTAGTACATTTAATAAAACATGGTGTCGAATGAGTTAGAATTTTGATGGTGTGATATGATATGGTGATATGATAATGTAAATGCTTTTAACACTCAGGTAGTTCAAAGTGCTGCTCTTGTTCCTCTTCATCGTTCGGGTCGAGCTGGAACACTATACCCCTGCGCTTCCAGTCGCCGCGCTTGAATAGGGCGTCTCTCTCGTTCATCCATTCCGTCGGCCGCCGGCGGTTGTTATAGTGCTGGGTAGGCGACGAAGCTGGAGACGAAGCTGGCGAGGAAGAGTCGAGCTCAGCGAGGCCTGGCGGGATTGCCTGCCAGTCCTTGAGTGGCCACTGAACGCTCTGGTCATAAACGTAAGGGCGGCCGCTGATAGGCCGCATGAAGAAACAGTTACGATCTTTGAGTGGTGAGTACTCGGCCGCGTTGTCCAGATGTTCCGCAGGGTGCTGCGATATCCGTTCTAAAAACCGGCGTTCTCGCTCCTCTTCCTCTAAGTACCGTTCCTCTTCGTACTCCGGGATAATATTTGGTGATGTGTTGAGACTTAGGGGTGGGTGTAGCGACAGCGGGTCGAACAGCTTAGTATCAGGGGAGCTGCTCGCCGTCGAGACGGTACTCGATGTACTCCATTTCCGCGCGTGAGAGGAAGAGTGCTCTTCGAGGCTGTCCTTTCTGCTTTGGAGGCTGCTCTTAGATTTCTTATGAAAGAGCGTTGATTTGTTTAGGCCTCGCATCGTGACCGTTATGAGAGTTATCTGGGTAGATAGATATGGAAAGTGCAGTATGTCCTCTTCAATGTGAAGGAGTACGAATGAGTGTAAGAAAGGAAAAAAGAGACACGACTAAGTCTTGTAGTCGGATGTCATGGGTAAGCGGTGAGGCTTATGTTAGGTTGCACAGTATAATATCAGCTGTTAAAGCTGATAGTTGGAGAGTCTCGAGGAGTCGAGTTGTATTGTATGTTGGAAAGCCAGGTAAGATTCACCTCTTTTTTTTTTTCAGCTCAAGGATGGGATCCGGGGCGCAGGAGGGTGTAGTATTTTAATAACTATTCCGTGATCCATCATGATCGTCCCTGAAGATCCGGTAAAGAAAAAAGAGGAGACCTACTACCTTGCAGCTAGTTCAATTCCTTCTACGCTTGCGAAAGAATGCGAGTAGTGGATCCTAGGTCAAGCCAGGAAGTCTTACTACATAGGTATTCTAACTACGAATGTACTTTTGGATGACTCTAAAGGCGAATATAGTGAAAAAGCTTATTGCCCACAAGACCCGGTACACAAGACTATTCCAATTCTTCCTTGGCTTAGCTTCTTGGTGGTGTGTGTGGACCGGATGCGTCATTGATCAATAGCGGCATGTGGTCGCTATTCTATTGCATCCGTCATAGGTCCGCCAATCATCGGATCGCTTGTCTCAGAATTCGGACGAACCTTGGCAGAATTGACAGATTGGCAGATTGGCGTAGAGGGGAAGGGATGAAATAAATGGAGAAAAAAGGAATATTATGAACACGAATTGTCTTCGCCCTCGTGTGGTGGACTGAATCAAGGCTGTGAAGTGTTTAATTCTTAGGATCGAATTATATAGGTACCTAAGCCAAGTTATCGTCCGTTTCTCGTTACAATTTTTCGTATTATCATCGTACATATTACCGAGGCTGCCGAGGAGTTATGCAAGGCTATCTAGGTACCTAACCTACCTAACCTACTTAACCTACCCATGTCGTACTTATGATCCATCATCCCATCAGTTTGGATGATCTTGCAGATCCTTGTTAGCGCATCACCGATTGCAACTTTAACCTGCTTTGGCTGAACCAGGTGGGGATGTTCAAGAACCGGCTCAGCATAAAACTTAATTGATTTAAACTATTGCCGGCGTCTTCATACTACATAACACGCTTTTCCCATCTCGTCTATACTATCTATAGTCTCGTCGGCTTTAAGCAATCTCTTAAACTTCATTGGCGATATAGTTAGGTAATTATTTCTTCTCTAGACGTCAAGTCCAGCGCTTATTAGGCGATGTCTATATAGATGAAAACTTTATGTGTGCGGCTGAATGTGAGTGAACTCACGCTGATGTCACTGGGGATATAACATCTCGATAGCGTATAATAAGTAAGTCCGATATTGTCCAATCGCGAGTGATTTCAAATCAGAATTCCTCCACGCTAGCAAGAGAACTTTTATTTAGACTTTCTCTTTTTCTCTTTACTTTCCATGGCGACTTAAGCGATGCCATTAAGATTTTCTCACACAGAAATTTCGTGTATCCAATGCCAAGAAGTTCCGGGTAAGACTCTAGGATCAATATATTCAGATTGACAAGTGGCAAAGACCCTAGAAACTCTCAAAATATAAACCTAATTGCACGCTAAAGAAACGGAATATGCCTACTTGGATAAGGATGAAGGCTTTTAAATGGAAACGAATGTGCCGAGTTAGCTATCTTGGAGACTTTTTCAAGCTGTGGGATGATTGTGGCGCTTAGGTATTTATATCTCCTTTAAATTATAGTTTAGAGTTAAAGCCCGCGTTGTCTATACGCTCCCAGGACTGATTGTAATGACTAAGTAGCCGAGGTTTGAGTAAAACCCAAGAGTTGCAATGCTGAGAATAGCTGCTGATAGACTGCGAGTAATCAACATTTCGAGCTACCCCTCTTCTAGGTCTATTGTAGATGGCAATAGAAAGCATGAAAGTGGTCCCAACCCTGCCTAGATAATCATACAGAGCGGGCTTAATTGGTTCCCCAATTAGCAATCATATTGTTGGATTCGGTCGATTATGTTATGTTATCTGAACATAAGTTCTTCCCCCTCACTTTAATCTTTCGACAAATCGCGGAATCCCGCGCAATATAACCCCTAGCGCATCGGGCCAGATTAAAGCAACACTTGAAGCTTCGAGGAAACCACTCTGATACTATGTCGTAAGGGGGTGGCTGAGAGAAGCATTTTCCCTCAGTAGTTTTGTAGTCTTACTGCGAGTATTTCATCAGAATCGATAATTGGGTAATCGGACTCGAGGATTGATTTGGGCTCGAAGTGACCCCTTGATATACAGATCGCTTATGTCGCGTCGTGATCAACTCAGATGCTTTAAAAGAAGCATATTGATGCTGAGTCCTAGCATGCTAATAATTGACTGAGAAGTTCTTCCGAACTGTAGGCTATATTTTTATAACACGCCGTCGTGCTCTCCAGGAAGTCTCTTGACACGCTTCTGTTCCCAGTTGTCTATGTCTTTCGCAGCGAGCCTCTATATACGTATAGGTTAGAGTAATCCTTTAGAAGTACATGTTGAAGGAGGCCGAAGCTTTCACAGAGAGAACTGACATAATATTCGTCTTTCATATTGACTCTCCGCCCTGTTTTGCCGACTCCTAATTCTTCATCCCGCGTCATTTGTCTAACTCGTCTGTCATGTTTCTCGTATCGCACGGCCGTGGCAGGTGTTAGTACAAATGATCCAGCTACAATAACGGACATGAATGGCAGCCCAAATAACAAGAACGGATGTTTCGCCATCATAGCACGATATTTCGCTGCAAACGTGCCAGCATCGGCGGCACTCCGATATTTCTTAGTTTGAAATATCGCCATTGCGACCGGGCGAAGTAAGTAAAATTGAAGAACGGGGTTATAAGTCAGTTTGGGACTAATCAATGGGTATAGAGGCTGATGGCATTGATAAGTAATGTAAAAACGAGTGGCATGACATCAATTGTAAAAAGTGCTTCAATTGTTGCAACGGTTGAACGAGAGCTGCATGAAACATGTACCTGAGTACCTAAGGTACGTACCTATGTAGGTAGATATATCTATCGATTGCAGAAGGTTGAATAACCCCACCTTGATTGTGTTGATAAGATTCAACTTAAAATCACGTGCTTTCGTGAAGATTACATTCGCGTAGAACGCGTCTCCAACTTCTAATACCTAAACTCAACCCTTTCTTGCCTTAGACCAGGCTGATAATCTAAGGTAATAACATCAACACTATGGCTCCTACATCTCATGGAAGAGTTGGTCCAAATAGCCGTGAGAGCCTTGCGAATGGCTCCGTGAACAATAATAATGGTCCGCCACCTTCGACTCTGGCCGCGCAGCTGGTGGAAAATATCTCTGCTTCGACGCGTTCTTCTCGGCCGGATGAGACAGCGGAATTGAAGAAATTCTTCGGCATCATAGAAGAAGTCAAGAATAATCCTGAACTATTAAAAACTGCGAAAGAGCGAATGGAACATAATCACATGTTGATATATGTCTATACTCGAGTTGTTTTAGAAGGCCTTAGATGGGATGACCCCTTTGCCGACAGAGTTCAGCTACGCGCAGATGCATTAAAGGCTGTGAACTTTTTGAAGATCACTATCAGAGAAACACCGGAAGTCCTGGCTGCAAAATCCGGCCCAGCTTCGTTCCTCTTCAGGGGGGGAGAACCATTGTGGTTATGGATTTTCCCAAAGGTCTTGAAAATGCTTGGGAACGGCCAATGCGCTGATCTAAGAGGCGAGATCGAGCTATTCTTCCATGAAATTCTCTTGACTGCCTCTCATACTGGGGTTTTATGGCCTGTCTTACCACAATTCCTTACACATATTAAGCTATGCTTCAACGGTAGGCGTGTAGTTGCTTTGGTTCCGTAGATATGGTCTTAGCTGATAATTTATACAGCTATAATGGAGCACTTCAAGGGGCTAAAAACCAATTCGATGAACCGAGATATTCCTATTCACTTACAATTACCCCCAGAACCGTTTCTAATGTCTACTGCGAGTGGAGACTTAAAGCTACTCCAACAACAATGTACATACGTTATACCTTTGGCATCGCAGGCCCTACAACATGCAACTTGCCTTCTCTCTATCATATCCACACCTCTAACGCAACACTACGCTGAATTTGACATCATGTCTGGTTTCCAGGAATATATTCCTTGGCTATTTGACGCTTATCTTAATCTCCACGACACCCAGGTTCGATGGCAATACATATTTCCTAGTACTCTCCCTCTACTCTTAGAAAATGCCTTGAAACTTTTTGGGGCCATCGAAACGACCAATGATTTTGATACCTGTATTCAGCAGAAAGCATCTACTCTCCTAGTCCTTCTCTGCATGGAAATGTCAAATCATTCGTTGGGACGACTTATAGCTGAGGAGCAGGGAGGTTCTGACTACCTATTACTCTGCAGGTCACTTGGCAAGGTGGCCAAGACTTGTCTACAATCTGTACCAATATCGCGACTCGTCACCTCGCAGCTGATACCTGCCCTTGAGAAGCCGATAATGGGAAATGAGGTTGCTGTCTCTGGTACTGATCTATGGGTGAGTATTAATTTAATATTGGATAAGGACATGCTAATTCTAGTATAGGGGTGTTTAGAGTTGCTCCGGAAGGTGGCTACGGCTCCTATATCTACTTCTCTAGGTGTCGTGGCACAGATCGACCAATTTTCCGACGAAGCACTCCGCCAACAGATTAATGAATTGAACATAGAAGTCGCAGATGCTACGGAATCTGAGCGGCAATCGAAGCGAAGAAAGGTCTCGGCCGATTCGCTAACGTTATCTAAAGTGACTGCTCGCCTATGGTGTTTACTTGGGGTTGAGCCCCTGACGAGTCTCACAGACTTAAAGCCTATCTTAGAGTATGTTTATTTAGTTACCTGCATCGTTGGTTATATTTTATTTACCTATATTAATAGGACACGATTCGAAGAGTTATCTGAATCCGAGTTATGCCGAATCATTGACTTGCTCGGTTACGTCTGTTGTGCTGCAGATGATACGCTTTTGATACATGAGAAGAGAGGCGATAAGTTCCTGCGACTCGACTGTTGTCATTGTCAGGCTTCAAGATCATCATGCGAAAGGTCGTTCTATGTTGACCTCACTACAAAGCAAGCGGTCCAAGGTATATTTGCTTCGTTGGTTCGGCTTCCAGGTTTCCTGGAATCTCAGAAACCACGCGTAACCGCGATGACTGCGATGAGACGCATCGCAAAGCACTGTACAGATTTAGACTTTCTGGATATAGAAATTTCCATAACTGCACAATGGTGCTTAAAGTCGCTCCAGAGCTCTGTTAGAGAGCTTCGTATTGCTGCCGGGTAAGTAAGTGTTAAAGCACTTATTCAATTTTTTTCTAACAGGTTTAGACGAACTATTACCGTGTTTTTATCCACATCAACTCATCCGAGCATCACATCAAAAGTTGTACAAAGGAACTGCGCAAATGTTCTCAACATACTTCGGTCTCTTTCGGACCAAGACATGCCTCAGCTTACAGAAACTTGTATTTTAGCTTGGTCTCAAGTTGGAAGGTAGGCGCAGAAATCCAACACCGGTTCTAAATGATTACTAAATGTTCATATTAGTGTTATAGACGATGATCAACTAAACCTCGTACTCGTGAAGCTGGTTGATTATCTAGGGCACGAGAGCATGATCATATCTGCAGCCGCATTTGCCGAGGTACGAGTTTTTCATTGTAATCTTTGTTGCGCCAGGCATCTTACTCTAGGCAGATAGTGAAGCTGGCTCGCTCTCGGGGTATGGCTATTCGGCAATTCTTTGAACCGTTTTGGCGATATCTTGCCTTCTCCGCAACCAAAGATCTCACGACCCGCCCAAAACTGACAAAGCTATTGGCAGAGCTATTAGATATGAGCGTAGTGGAGCTGCTACTGTACATACAAAAATATGCTCTGCCCTGGCTTGTGCTTACCAAGAAGCGAGATGTTATTCAAAAGATCGCCGAAGCTCGAAACGAAAAAGAAGTGTGGCAGCCGTGTCTGGACGAGGCTAACTTAGGCCCAATACTGGCTCTTTTGCTTACCCAGGAAGCCCCTGATATTCAGCAATTTTGTATGGAGTTGTTGGGGCATATCTCGCTCCATCTTAATAAATCGGGTGGTCTTCTAGAGTTACTTCGAATAGAACCTATCGGGACTACCTTAGAACTACTGAAGGCCGCAGGCGATTCCGAAGAAGATCGAAAACATCACGTAAGAACCCTATGCCCATACGGTTTGTTATAAGCCACGCTAATTAGACTTATAGATCCGCGGCGTCTTGAATAAAGTGGCAAGCATGATGCTAGCGGGGAGTGGAGAGTTGAAACAGAAAAAAGTACACGCATCAGGCCCCTTTTTACAGAGGTATGCACTGGCACTCATGGCCGGGCTAACTCAGGTCATCAATGATGCGTCAATCCGAACATCAATACAAGAACGGAAACGATACATAAAAGCGATGGAGGAGATGATTCGAACTGGTAAACAGTACATCCGTATTGCTCGTCCGCAGGTAATGTTGATGCCTTAGCTTGCACTTAATACGCGCTGACCACATAATAGATCTCCGCTTGTCTTCAGGCGGTAATGCTATACGACGAACTTCGCTCCGCTGCGTTTTCATGCTGGGCTGCAATGCTTATTCACTTGGAAGAAGAGGATGTCGAGGCTCTTATTGAAACGACATTCTTCCTCATCAGTCATTACTGGTCCTCATTCGACGAAGCAACCCAGAAGCTGACTCGAAATTTAATCGAATCTTTATTAGAAAAAGAGAGTGTGGTATTAGAAGCGATGATTAGTAAACTGCCATCGTTTAGTCACATCAACAATCTATTAGATATCGAAGCTCAGTTGAGCAAGCTCCGTCAACCTGTAGACAGCAGGACGGCTTTCTCCTTGCTCGCAGAGAGAATTCGCCATGAGAATGATGGGGTCGTCTTGCTAGCACTGAGAGAGCTCGTATCCTATCTACAGAGGCAGCAAGACTATTTACAGGCATCCGCCGTTAGTGAGCAACCTGACTCTGTTGTGCCTATCCTTGCTCGCTCGCTTCTTGATTGCTCATCGCGATATAACGGCGTCCACGGTGAAATCTGCGATCTCTGCACCCAGTGCATAGGGTTGATAGGTTGTCTAGACCCAAACCGCGTGGAGACAGTTCGTGCGGAGAGACAGATCGTTGTTAAAAGTAATTTTGAGCATGCCGGGGAGACAACAGATTTTGTTATATATATACTTGAGGAGGTTCTAGTTAAATCATTCCTTTCCGCAACTGATACTAATCTTCAGGGGTTCCTCTCATATGCCATGCAAGAGCTTCTCGACAGATCTGATATCAGAGCTGCCGTGGAGATGCAAGGCTCTCGAGAGGCAGCACCTATTTACCGCAAATGGCTGACGATGTCTGAAAATTCTCGGGAGGTATTAATTCCTTTCATGACTTCGAGATACGTTGTCCAACCAATGGCACCACAGAAGACAGAATACCCCATCTTTCGTCCCGGTAAGACAAGGTATGCCAACTGGATGCGGAATCTCACCCTCGATCTTATGCGTAAACCGCAAGCTCCATTTGCTCAGCTCATATTCGAACCCCTATGTCGGGTGATTCGAATCAAGGACCTATCAACTGCGGAATTTCTATTTCCTTATGTAGTTCTTCACATTGTTGTTGGTGAAGATACGACGGACGAAGAGCGATCAAATGTTCTTAATGAGCTTCTCAACGTACTTCAACACGAAGTTCCGAATAATGCTACTTACGAAGAGAGGGAGAATCAAAAGTTGTACTGCGAGGTAAGTTTTATACGCGTATTCTTCACGCTCTAAGACTGACTATAATAGGCTGTGTTTCGTTTTATTGACTATGGTATGCGATGGTTACAGTTGAAGAGGAGTTCTGGTGGCCTTAATCCGCGCGACCACGCTGCTATGGATAAAGTACAGAAGATACTTGAATCCATTCCCGCTGAATTGATATCGAAGCGGGCAGTAGATTGCAAGGCTTACTCTCGAGCCTTGTTCCATCTAGAACAGCATATTCGTCAGGTAGATGAGGAGAAGAGAGGCACCGACGAGAGAGAGCGATTCCTTCAAAGGTTGCAAGACATATATACGCAAATAGATGAACCGGATGGTTTGGAGGGAATATCAGCACATCTGCACGTACTTGACATTAACCAACAGGTTCGAAGTCATCGGAAGGCTGGGAGATGGGCAGCGGCACAGACTTGGTATGAAATCAAGCTGGCTGAAGATCCTGATAATGTAGACGTTCAGATCGATCTCTTAACTTGCCTTAAGGAGTCAGGACAGCATGGTGAGCTGCTTCTCTTGGATATTCGTTTACACTGATAGCTAATCGAGATCACAGATGTCCTTCTGAATTATGTAGAAGGTATCGAGAAGCACACCGCAATAACGACGATCAATCGGATAGTGCCGTACGCCGTAGAAGCGTCCTGGGCAACGGGAAGGTGGCAGACGATGGAGAAATTTATTAGGAAGTACCAAGGAGATCTTACGGAAAATTTCAACGTATCCATCGCTCAAGCCCTTCTTTGCCTAAAAAGGGGATCGACCAAGGACTTCGTCGATCAGATGAAAATACTCAGGGACAGAGTCAATGCTTCCATGAATTACTCAGTCACATCATCGCTACAAGCGTGTCACGAGCCCATGCTGAAATGCCATGTCTTAACCGATCTAGAGCTTATTGCTGGCATTAACAACGATGGCAACCAACATCCCCAGGAGGTGCTCAAAACTCTCAGCCGACGTCTTGAGGTTCTCGGATCGTATGTGAGCGATAAACAGTACGTGCTCGGTATTCGGCGGGCAGCTATGAAATTGTTAGGGTAAGTCTCCGTGAATCACATAACTTGCCTTCGAAAGCTAATTTTAATAGATCGCGATTCAGTGACCTGGATATTTCAGCTCTCTGGCTGTCAAGTGCTCGGCTTGCAAGAAAGACTAATTCCATGCACCAGTCCTTCAACGCAGTGCTCCATGCTTCACAGCTGGGTGATAATTCAGCAACCATCGAAAATGCTCGACTCTTATGGAAAGAAGGTCACAATAGAAAGGCAATACAGACGCTTCAAGGAGCTATTGCTAGCCAAGCCTTTACCAGCCATAGTTTCACCGAACATGAATCCTCTGAGAAAAACCTTGAGTCGCAACAGAGCATGTTGACTGCGCGTGCTCAATTACTTCTCGCAAAGTGGCTCGATAGTGCAGGCCAGACTCATGCATCTGCGCTGCGGGAACATTATCGGAACGTCCCTAAAATCTACGGCACGTGGGAAAAGGGTCACTACTACCTCGGCCGACATTACAAAAAAGTTCTTGAATCTGAGAAGGTTCTTAAACCGGATGATCAGAGTGACGAATATCTAACAGGGGAGACGGCGAAGCTCGTAATCGAGAACTACATCAGATCATTAAACTATGGGGTCAAGTACCTCTACCAAACCCTTCCTCGGGTACTAACGTTATGGCTTGAGATGGGTGCTCAGGTCGATAAAGCACCGGAAGGCAAGATCTCTCTTTCCAAAGAGCTTCAGTATCGTCGTAAAACACAGCTCGAGTCGCTTCATAAGTATCTTTTCAAATCAATTCAGCGGTTACCAGCGTATATCTTCTATACAACTTTACCTCAACTAGTAGCTCGTATCGCTCATCCTAATACAGAAGTATTCATGATACTCGAGGAGATCATATTGAGAGTTGTCGAGGCTCATCCAAGACAAGCACTATGGAGTTTGTTTGCTGTTATGACATCTCGGCAAGCGACTTCTGAACGGAGGGCGCGCGGTCAGCAGATGCTACAAAAGCTCAGAGGTAAAAATAAGAAGGTAGAGAACGGTACTTACGATCTCAAAGCTCTGCTGCGAATGGGTGAGAAGTTGGCAGAGCAGCTACTCATGGCTTGTAATAATGGGGATTTCCAGAGCAATAGGACGACAGTAGCCAGCATCACCCGAGATTTGAACTTCAATCACAAATGTACTCCGTGTCCCCTCGTCGTTCCGATCGAAGCCTGTCTCACGGCCACGCTGCCTACCCTCACAGATAATGTCAAAAAACATAAAGCGTTTTCGCGAGACGTCATTTCCATTCAATCATTCCTTGACGAGGTTTTAGTCCTAGGTTCTTTAGCGAAACCTCGAAAACTTACAGCTCGCGGGTCAAACGGAGTAAACTATGGTCTGCTCATCAAACCTAAGGACGATCTTCGAACTGACCAACGGCTAATGGAATTCAATGGAATGATCAATCGATCGTTGAAGCGAGATGCGGAATCCAGTAGGAGACAACTATACATCAAAACGTACGCCGTTACGCCACTCAATGAAGAATGCGGTATCATCGAGTGGGTTGACGGGCTTAAAACACTTCGGGATATTCTCCTCGCTATTTACCGATCGCGTGGCATTATCCCCAATTATCAACACCTCGCACAGATGATGAAAGATGCTGCCTCGGGAGACAAGAATACCAAAATATTTTCAGAAACGATCATAGGAATGTTCCCACCTGTACTTCCTAATTGGTTCATCGCGCAATTCCCGAACCCTTCAGCCTGGTTCGCAGCTCGACTTAGGTACACAAGGTCGTGCGCTGTCATGTCGATGGTTGGTACCATTCTAGGACTCGGTGATCGACATGGAGAGAACGTGCTCCTAGAAGAAGGCAACGGCGGCGTATTTCATGTCGACTTCAATTGTCTTTTCGACAAAGGCCTTACCTTTGCGCAGCCTGAACGGGTGCCATTCCGCTTAACGCACAATATGGTGGCAGCAATGGGAATTTACGGATATGAGGGGCCATTTAGACAGTGTTCAGAGCTGACACTAAGCATTCTTCGACAACAAGAGGAGACGTTGATGACTATTTTAGAAGCTTTTATCTACGATCCAACATTAGATTTGCAGCGAGATAAGCGTAGAAAGAACGAGGTAGTCAGGCTTAACCCCCAGAGCGTGGTGGATAGTATTAAGAGGAAAGTTAGGGGTTTACTACCCGACGAGAGCATACCGCTTGGAGTGGAGGGGCAGGTGGAAGAGCTGATCAAGCAGGCTGTCAACCCAAAGAATCTGTCGGCTATGTATATTGGTTGGTGTCCGTTCTTGTAGAAGAACAGTACCATTCCATTTTTATAGCTGCTCGTTTCCTCACTATGGGATGTGAGATGTGAGAAGCTCATTGTTACCGTGGGGTTTAGACATGATATTTTTAATAGTCATTCTCTACACACAGGTTCTGCATTTAGGCTGTGTTTCTTGCGTGTTTAGATTAGAGGGAAAGGGGGCATAATGTGATGAAATACCTACGAGAAAATGAAATGAAATAAGTTATTGATATTACGAGTGCAAACAAATTAGGAAATAGTAGAATTTTCAAGCAGGTGATCGTTTCCCCTTGAACGATGAGATGTGCAAATTAAATATACCGTAACTCAACCATGGTTTGGTAGGTGCGGTACACCTATAGTTAGTGTATGAGTACCTAAGTGTACCTACGTACCTAGGTAACTTACCTCCTATGTAAAAGGTACCTGCAGTTGCCTAGGTGAATAATAAGGTACCTAAAGACACCTATAATTTATGCCCTAATCAATCGTGCTGCCGCCTAAATTGTGTTACATAGGGCCCAACTGTAAGGGCATAGCCCACTGCTAAATAGACAGTTCGGGGTGTCTGGAGCTGCCTCCGTGTTCGACGCGCTGCCAACGCGTTTCAACACCCCCCCGAACTCGTCTCCAATTCTTTCGATTTCAACCACCTTCCTTATTGTCTCTCTCCCTTTAACAACCTGAGGCCATTTTGTCTCTCCATTTATTCTCTTTATTTCGGATGTGCTGCATTTGACATTTGATATACTTTTAACCTTAAAGAGGCTCATCTATCAAATCGCAGTTTCTTCCGCAAATTTATTTAAAACAAAATACATATTCCAAGACCTGCATTAATTCATTTCTTCCCGAGGGTCGCCTCTTCCACCACACCGAATCGCCCCTGTCGTATATTATACGATTCTTCACTTACCTTTGACTTGCGACATTCTAAGAAACTACCTAATACATTAGGTATTTCTCAAATCAATTCAAGACAATCATGTCTTATCGCATTGGTACGTTTTAATCTTTATTTATCTCTATCGTCGTGAATATCACCCCTTACATTCTACCCCATTATCATAGTCTTCGCACTATATTATTTACCCAATTGTCTTCTTTCGTAGTATAGCTAACCTATATTTTAGAGATCGCCAAAACTGGCCGTGCTGGCTGCCAGGATACCCTATGCAAGAAGACTGGCGACAAAATCCAAAAGGGTGAGCTACGTTTCGGTGTCTGGGTTGATTTGCCCGGATCCGAAAACGGATCCTACAGATGGCGACACTGGTATGACAGTCTATTGCTTTTATAAATCACCAACTAATTTCCCTAAGGGGCTGTATCTCCGGCAAGACCGTCGCCAACCTTCAGGAGAAGATCTCCGATGGCGATGGTGATTATCAGTGGGACATGATCGATGGTTACGATGAGTTAGAGTAAGTATTACCAATAGTTACATGGTTTATAATTCTTCCATTTTGCTAACTTTTCTCCCCTAGTGAGTCCCCTGAGATCCAAGAAAAGATCCGACGTGTCGTGACTCAAGGTCATATCGATCCCGAAGACTTCAAAGGAGTAAGCTTCCATTTTGTGGATTCTATCAAATAGTAACTGACAATTTGGTAGGATCCCGAATTTAACAAGCCTGGCCACCCGGCTATTCGCGGTCGTACTAACTCTAAGAAAAAGGCGAAGGATGATGAGGTCAGTCTATCCATTGTGTTCCGTTTTTCACTTCTACTCACATTTGTTAAGGACGAGGAAGAGGAAGCCCCCAAGAAGGCTGCTCCCAAGAAATCTGCGAAGCGTGGCCGCAAGAAGGCAGATGAGGAAGACGATGAAGAAGATGATGCCCCACCTGCTAAGAAGAAGGCCACCAAAGCTAGCCGCAAGCCTAAGAAGGTAGCTGACGAGGATGAGGATGAGGAAGAAGAGCCAGAAGAGGCTGCGCCTGTCAAAGCTCCTGCCAAGGCCCCTGCTAAAAAGGCTCGAGGTAAGAAGGCTGCCGCTAAAGCTCCAGCCCCAGCCCCTGAATCTGGCGATGACGAGCAAGATGAGGAACCAGAGCCTGCCCCCAAGGCCAAGGCTAAGCCCAAAGCGAAGGGCGGTCGTAAGGCTAAGGCTGTTGAGCCTGAGCAGGATGAAGAAGACGACGAGGAACCTGCCCCAAAGACGGCGCCTAAGAAGGCAGCACCCAAAGCAAAGGGTGGCCGCAAGACCAAGGCCGCCGAAGCTGACGAGGAAGAAGCTGCTCCTAAGCGTGGCCGGGGTCGAGGTCGTCCCAAGAAAACGTAAGTTTTCAACTTCAGTTAACTCGGGTTTGATAATATAAGCTAACAAGATGAACAGAGATGACAATGAGTAAAAGCTCTAAGTTCTTTCAGGCCGGACAATATAGTTGACGACGATTTCAAGATGCCATTCCTCTCCTAGTCCATTGCAATGTTATTAAGGGCTGTTTAAGCAGATAATCCATGCGTTTCCTTTCAAATTTAGCCAGTTCGTTAAGCAGGACAGTCAAGATAGGAGGTCTTGATACTGATCCATGTAATACCAGCAGAAGAAAGGCATATATTATGGTAGTTATGCTTCGAGAGATACCAATTGATGCTTGAGATTGTTGCTATTACATGGGCGTATTGATTCTTGAGCTATACCTACCAGCATTTGCCATAATTAATGATTATGAAATAGCATAGCAGGTACATATAATTGACTTGATGAGATCAATCAAATTTCCTTTTGGGTATGTGGGTATTGTATATGTACCTAATAGATGAATATCTTGGTTGTATGCATACGAGCTATAGGTTACGTAATAATACCTACCTAAGACACCTATGTAAGCATTGGATCATAGTGGATTCGAAGTGGATTTGACGTGGATTCGTCCCAACGTTAAACAACGGTGGATCTTCTCTAAGCCATCAACCATTCAGCCATCGACTCTAATGCCAGATATTACTGATTATCACGATCCCGGTTCCAAATAGCATCTTTGTCGCGTAGATTAGTCTCTACGCATTCGAACAAGATGCATCTACCGGCTCAGACGCTATCAATTGCTTTACTGTTAGCTCTGCCTGCTGCCGTGCGCGCCGTCTTCAAAGACGAGGTTGGCCATATCGACTTCCACCACGAGCTCCTCGGTGTTCCCCAACGCGAAACCACATTCTTCCACCGTCCGAGGCCCCAGGAAAAGGCTAGCCTGCTATACACTCTTAGCGATTTAGGCGTTTTAGGTGCTGTCAATCCCGGCAACGGTGCTGTCGTATGGAGACAGCTGTTAAATAAGAATGTTACGGATGGTGGTGGCCATCTACGAGCTGGAGAGGATGAGACATGGTTAGCCAGTGCTTTGGGCAGCTCCGTGCATGCATGGGATGCTATTAGCGGCCGCAATGTCTGGACAATTGACTTCGATGGGGCTGTCAAGGACCTAGAAGTTATGGAGATGACCGAGACAGACCACAAAGACGTCCTAGCGTTATATCAAGAAGACGATGCAACGGTTGCACGAAGGATACACGGCATTGATGGGCGTGTGGTCTGGGAATTCAGGGAAGTTACCAAAGGTGTCCCTCTACAAGTCAGCACCAACGTCGAGAAGGTCTTTGTCGTCACTCTACATGGGTCGCTGCTATCCTACAACCTCAAGGTTATCGTGCTAGATACCCTCACCGGGAAGAAGTTAGACGAGATTGTCCTTGGAACTAAGGGCGAGGTGCAAAAGCCGGAGGATGTTCAGTTCGTCGGCGCTAACTCCGCGGCTCCCGTCGTTGCTTGGACAGATAACACTTTAACGAAGCTCAAGGTCAACGTCCTCGGCTCTAAGAACAGACAAGAGTTCCCTCTCGTGGCTGATACGGTTAGTGTGGAAGTCCATGCTCCGCACACCGTTCGCTCTTCGCCGCATTTCCTCGTACACACTCGAACTAAGAAGGGAAGTAGGGCTGACATATTCCACGTCGACCTCAAGAGCAATGCCATTACCAAAGCGTACGACTTACCATTACTCGAGGGTGGAAGTGCATTCTCTACCAGCTCGTCTGCTGCCAATGTCTACTTCACTCGAGTTACTGCCGATGAGGTCATTATTACTTCATCCGTCTCTCATGGCATTTTAGGTCGTTGGTCCTTGAACACAGGAGCGGAAAAATTAGATGCTGCACATGGTGTCTCTGAGGTCATTAAGAAGTCCGAAGATAACTACGCCGTCAGATCAGCTATTGTCACCGACGCCGACGACTGGACGCAAATTGTCAATGGTGATGTGTCTTGGACTCGACCTGAAGGACTAAGTGGTGCGATTGCTGCTACGTGGGCGGAAATTCCCGAGTCGGAAGATCTAGCGAAGACGTTGGAGGCCGAGGCGCATACCGATCCCTGGTCCGCTTTCGTCCATCGCGTCACTCGTCATATCGACGAGCTTCAGTACTTGCCCGCGTACTTACAAACAGTTCCCGAGCGTATTTCGGCTAGTCTTCTTGGCTCAGAGACTATAAGGTCAAGCGAAACTCTGACACGAGATGGCTTCGGATTCAATAAGCTCGTCGTTCTTGCGACAAAGCGCGGTAAGCTATACGGACTCGACACTGGCAACCACGGCAAGATTGTCTGGTCTAAGTCGGCAAGCGAGACCCCTGGAAAGAAGCCATGGAATGTGAAGGCCATCCATGCTGATGATGTGAATGGATTCGTTACTGTCCGTGGATCTGACGGTGAATTTATTATCGTTAAATCTGATACTGGCAAGACTGTTGAATCGATACCGACCGGTTTGTTTCCTGCGGTTGAAAGTGCTGTTGTGGTGGACAGCGACGCCGGGCCCTGGTTGTTGCCTGTTGGCGAAGGTGGGAAGATTGCTGAGATAAATAGCACGTGGGCTCCCAAGCAGACTGTTGTCACACGGACGAGCGATGGCGGAATCAGGGGGGTGAAATTTGTGACTAAGGGTGAACAAGCTATCGAAGTTCCAACTTGGATCTTCAACCCTCCTACAGGACAGAGGATCGTCGAGGTTGCAAGTCGGTCTACACACGACCCAATTGCATCTATAGGCCGAGTACTTGGGGACCGGACTGTCAAGTACAAGTACTTGAATCCTAACACGCTGGTAGTCGCCGCGATCAACGAACAAGCAGCCTCCCTCTCAGTCTACCTTCTAGATACGATTTCCGGACAAGTATTAACTTCATCTACCTACGAAGGTATCGACCCTACCAAAGACATTACATGTGCCGTAGCCGAGAACTGGTTTTTATGCTCTTTCTTCGGCCAATACAAGCTGCGAGATTCTCAATCCCAGAGACTAAAGGGATACCAAGTTGTCGTATCCGACCTATACGAATCAGATAATGCAAACGATCGCGGTCCGCTTGGCGACTCAGTTAATTACTCAGCCCTAGATCCGATCGATTTGCCTACTGGCCCATATCTCCCTTCCGTCGTGTCCAAAACATTTATCCTATCAGCCCCTATCAAATCCCTCGCCGTGACAAAGACACGCCAAGGCATCACATCTCGCCAGCTACTAGCGTACCTACCGGAATCCCACTCCATCGTCGGCATCCCACGCATGGCCCTAGAGCCTCGCCGCCCCGTAGGCCGGGATCCGACTCCCGCGGAGCTAGAAGAGGGGTTGAGCAAATACTTCCCCGCCATCGAGTTAGACCCGCGTATGTTAATCACGCACCAGCGTGACGTGCTGGGTGTTAAGGAGGTGATTACGGCGCCGGCTGTGCTCGAGAGCACAAGCTTGGTTCTGGCGTATGGCATCGATGTGTTTGGCACGAGGGTCACACCTAGTCTGGCATTTGATGTCTTGGGTAAGGGGTTCAATAAGTTGGCACTTGTAGGCACGGTCGCGGCACTTGTTCTGGGTGTAGGTGCTTTGAGGCCTATGGTAAGCTCTGCACTCTTTTCATATCGTTTTTTCTGAGTGCCGAAATATAAATGCTAACAACCCAACGCAGGTCCGGAAGAAGCAGATCGATGCTCGGTGGAAATCTTGAGTAAATCAGATCAGGGGATACGAGGGAATGTCACAGGTTTTAATATAATAAAACAGGACGGGAAATATAAAGTGATAGAGAAATACGGTATGCATTGTATATTAGTATTGTAAAGGGGAAGTAGTGGTACCGTGATATCATGAATAGGTAGTCAGATGCTGCGCCTAGGGAAGTTTCTAATGCGAATAAATAAAATAAACAAGTACATCTCGTCTGTCTAGTGTCTGAATTCCTTCCCTTCTTCCCATTTTATAGTGAGATTAATACCTATGAGCCTAACATCCCAGAACGGGGATTATATGTCGTAACCGCAGAGAAACCTCCACGAATTGGGTGCTCAAGAATATAGTAAGAGTGGTAAGCGATGAGGTAGGTACTTTACGCAACATTAAACACGGACAGTTAGTTAATTTGAAAATATTTATTTTGTTTTATTCTATTTGTCACGACATCTACTCTTCAGCTCGGCACAACTAGGTATGACAAAACCCTCGCCCCTGAATCACGAGAATAGTTCTTTACTTCTCCTTTTTCTCTTACTTCCCTTCCCATTTTCGCTTCCTATCGCAATAAGCCTCGGCAAGGTACACACATCACACACCCACCCATCCCTTACGGGGTGAGCCTCTTAGGTGTGCGGGGGTAATAGCTTGCCAGATGCACACTGGGTAAGTTCAAGTACCACGCGACCACACGGTCGAGACCAATGCCTCCACCGCCATGAGGCGGCACACCGGCTGACCTGAACACGTCGACGTAGTCCTTGATACCGGGACTCGTGGGGTCGATGCCCTTCTTGCGTAGACGAGCTTCGAGCAGCTCGGGGATGTGGATACGCTGGCCGCCGGACAGAATCTCCTGGCCGCGCATGAAGAAATCGTACGCGTTGGTGACCTTCGGGTTCTCGGGATCCTCGATAGTGTAGAAGGGACGTGCACCCTCGGGGAACTTGTCGAGCACGTAGAAGTCGGTGCCAAACTTCTTGCGTACCAAGGCTCCTAGCGCCTTTTCTTGCGGAGTGCTCATGTCTTCATCGTCTGAGACGTTGCGGAATTCCTCAGGTCCTTCCTCGCGTAGTAGCTTCTGGCCCTCGGCAAACGTGAGTCGCACTTCCTTGCCATTTTCCGGTAGTAAAAACTCGTCTGATGGGTAAATAGCTCGGACGAGCTCGATTTGCTCCTTGCATCGCTCCTGGAGGCCTCGGAAGATGTAGAGCATGACGCCTTCGATCATGTCGCGGACCTCGTGGTAATGGTCCTCAATTTCCATCTCCAGATCGAGACCAGTGAACTAGAAACCGTTAGTTAATTTACTTTAGTTAGACAGTAATTAAGTACTAATTAAAAGTGTATCCTACCTCAGTCATATGTCGGGGAGTGTTACTGTTCTCTGCTCTGAATACTGGTCCGATACAGTAGACGCGCTTTCGACCACCAGCAATTTCAATTTGCTTATAAAACTGAGGCGATTGCGCAAGGAAAGCCTGCTTCTCGAAGTACGGTAGCGAAAAGACGTTTGCGCCACCTTCGGAAGCGGCACCAATTAGGCAAGGGGGCTCGAACTGGACGAAATCTTTAGACTCGAGATATTCGCTAAACAGCTTTCGCACCGTCATTCGAACATCAGCGATAGCTTGCTGTACGGGTGCTCGCTTGTGCAGAGCCGGGTTGTTCAAGTGCGTAGACAAGCTCGCAGACGGCGCGGCAGCAGATTCTGCAATGCTCAGGTTCTCGACACCCTCGGTCGGTGCTGGGGCAGGTGCTGAGGGGTCCTCATCGTCGAAGCTGGAAATAGCCCTGTTCGCGGCATTAAGACCTAGGGGAAGGACCTCGGGACCAGAGGCGATCAAATAGACCTTTGTTAAGTGTAACTCGTAGTCGCTAACACGACAACTCTTGACAGGCTCTAGAGGCTTCTGAACGGTGGCCTCGACTAACACAAAACTCTCTAATCGTACGCCACCAACCCATTTAGCCATCTGCTTGCTGACTAGCTTGCCCTCGGCGCTGGCAGATATGACACCTTGTATAGACCAGTTGCGCTCTTCTCGCAGCTCGACGAAAGCCATCTTTGCGCCTTGCATACGAGAATTTTGAATCCATGCTCGTAGTTTAACAGATTTTCCAATATGCTCGTCTCCTAAATGTTTGAGTTGTACTTTGTCTGCAGCAACTCTGGTTGTGGGAGTAATATCGCCATAGTTATCCTTGGCGAGATCCTCGTTTCCACCAGAAGCAGCTTTTTGAGCGGCAGCAGCAGCTTCTCTCTCAGCAGCCTTGCGCGCCTTTTCGGCTTCCTTCTTAGCCTTTGCTTCGGCCTTCTTTGCGCCCTTCTTAGACTGGGCGGGAGCTTCACCCTCGGCTGGAGGGGCAGAACCCTCAGCTTGGGCCGGGTCAACGGGAGGTTCAGACATGTTCTAGTGAAATTTGTGGAAGTGGTATAAATCCAATTGAAGTGAAAATACGAGAAAAGAAACGTAGGATTTCCCTCCTATAAATATGTCGCCGGCGTGAGCAACAACGTACGATGGGGTGATAAATTACTGATAGTTTTTGACTCTTCCGGCGAACGTGTGACGCGGGGCAATTTTCTATTCTTGGTGGGATGTCGGCATAGCGGCGGCATGGCGGGGCTTAAAGACTTAACCTAAAGGCTTAGATTAGATAATTCAAGTTACGAGGTACAGTACGTAACAGTGAATCTCGCATATATGAATATTTAATTTAGGAGCTAGGACCTCGACGGTTAACTGAATTTTTCTTCTCATTGACAATTCTCATTCTCATATCACAACTATCATAATTCTCGACATAACATACCATCTACACTTTACACATAAATTGATAATCCAAAACACATAAATAGGTGTTAATCATGGCCGAAACTCAAGTTCAGAGGCAGCAACCCGCAGCCACAAAAGCCAAGTCCAAGAAACGCCCTCGCAATGACGAAACTACTGCACGTAAACGAAGAAAGCAAGCTTATGAGGAAGAAGAGGAATACCTCGACCTAGAAGCCGGTGTAAACAAGAAGATCTCTATGATCGATAGCCTACTCCTTGCAGACCATTATTCCAAGAAAATCAGGAGATTCGGAACGGATTTAAAACCAGTCGAGCTCAGCCAGTTAGACATATCACGTATACTTAATCCATCCCACATCTTATCAAAGACAGACAAGACAGACAGACAGACACTAATACGCCAATCATAGCAAACTACATCACAGACACCACGTCTTTCCAGGAGACGAGGAATCTAGAGAATCTGCCACAGTTCCTAGAGCAATTCGCAGACGCAAAGAAGCTAGGGGAAGCACCCAAGGACAATGGCGCACCACACACTATCATCGTCACCGGTGCCGGTCTAAGAGCCGCAGATCTCGTGAGGTACGTCCCCCTTTTCACCCTATTCTTATTTCCCTAATACCAGTATAAGTACCTACATACTCACAAAACATAGATCTGTTCGGAAATACCAATCGAAAAACAACGCAGTCGCAAAACTAGTACGTATAACCCATCCGGACCAATTAAGGGGGCTATCCCGACTAACTAACTCCCCTCCCTAGTTCGCAAAGCACATAAAAATCGAGGAAAGCGTACAATTCCTCCAGAAGCACCGCACGGGTGTTGCAGTAGGCACTCCCGTTCGATTATCCGACCTAGTCGATAACTGTGAGTCTCGCCTCCCGTCTTCCCCCTAGGTAAAGCCCTTTTTCGCAGGTCTAACAGACATGTAGCCGCCTTGAACCTAAGTAAGCTCGAGCGCCTGGTTGTAGATGCTTCGCACATTGATCAGAAGAAACGCGGTGTCATGGATATGAAGGAGACCATGTTGCCACTAGCCCGTTGGCTAGCCCGCCAAGAGTTCAAGGAGAGGTATGCCGATCCTGAGAAGCCCCTACAGCTACTTTTCTACTGAGCAGACGGGTACGGCTCCGGTGGGTTGGTTAACCCAGCTTACCAAAGATATTCAAACTTATTCTCTGTAATCTCATGAGAGTAAAGGAAGGCAGTCAACATATGATACCCCGCAGATCGACGAGTCTTTCATTAGTTAGTAATTACACATAGGTAGATTAACCTACCGAACAGTGGGTTTCCCTATGAGATACATTATATTATGAGAAACCCATCGCATTTCGTGCCCTGCATACAAAGCAATTTGTGATTGTAGCAGCCTTAAATAGGCTCGGTGCCAGTTGTCATCGCCTTGAATTAGGTAATTAAGGTTTGGATCAATGGGATCGTGATATTTAATTATATAGACAATTATCAGCATGGCTAAGCTTACATGGGTGATCATCTGCACCCTAATAACATTTGTGCCTTTCTTCTAATAGCAAATTTTCATACCCACGTCGTAAATAAAATCGACAATGGAGATATGCTCGTCTAGCTCTAGTGACTGCTCATGTCCATCCAGTAATCGAGCATGATAACAAAGGTAACCCACAAAACCAGCCCGAAGAAGGATGGTCTTGACCGAGCCCCTTCAGTTGCTTCGGATACAGGTATCACCCAAGGTCGGCTGGATGAGGTAGTTGTTACTTCCGCTGCTTGTGACGTCTCTAGGAATGGACTAGGAGTTAGATGGTTCGAGGTGTAGGTGATAAGGGAATAAGACACCGTGATGAAGTCTGTAACGGTGGTAGTAACAGTTATGGTCGTTCCTATGCCGGCAACGCTTTCCTGTCTTAGTTGGAGATGTGGAACTTCTTCGACTTCTCGGCCGGCAAGATAATCTTCTTCACGAGACCGTAGGAGTTCGTCATTAACCGTACCAGGAGCAGCCATATAGATCTCAGCGCCAAAGCTCATACAAAGCGAGATCGAATGGCTAAGAGCCGGGCCGTAATTATTCGAGTCGCATTGAGAATAGAGACACTGGAATAGGGACTGTAAAAAAAAGGTTAGTTACATGGTAAGGAGCTGTTGTAAAGGAGAGACGACAAACCTTCTGGTAGTCTTTCTCGTTGCAGAGACATCTTGTGTCTAGGCACTGCGTCACAAACATGCTGTCTACCATGCAACGGGAGGCACAACCTGCAATTGTATTAGATTAATAAACTATGATAAACTGGTAGGGCCGACGAAGGAAGACTTACTGGGCGGTCCAGCTAATGAGCTAGAAGTTGTGCCATTGCTAATTGCGATAGCAAGATGCAATAGGCTCACAAGGAAAACCCGTGCAAAAAGGAACTTTGCAAACATCATCGGGTCTTATTCTTTGGTAATCGAAATAGAGAGGGAGTCGAATGGAGTGAGTTATTTCGCGTTATGTGCCTTTTTTTTCTCTATGGGTTTTCTGCTTTTCTAGATTCCGTAAATCGTATAAAGCGAATGACTAAAGACAGTAAGGATGATCACCAAGAAGATCAATCCGAAGAAACGAATGTTGATATTGGGCAATCCAAAAAAGAGAGGGACGTATTGAGGAATCTGATTCTGTGTTGTAATATGAAAAAAGGAGATGAGAGAGGTGCACAACTTTGTAGCCTAAGTAGCAGGTCCTCTGTTCGATGACTGGGGCAAGTGCGTCTTGCCTTTATCAAACTTACTTAATGCATGTAGGAACTTTCCAGTACCCAAATAAGGAAGTTTAGCTCTAGTGAATAGGTACCTGATAGCAAACCGGGAAAGTAGAATGATAAGTTCATACGGAGTCGTGACTGCTTTAGTTGGCAAGCAAATGTCGTTTCCTACCACATTACATACTCAAAGTACCTACTTACCTTAGGTACATAAGGTATCAACATCCGTAAAAGGTAAAACCTCGTAATTTACGTATTAAATTCTCTTGCAGGAATATTTATGATTTTAATTGAGTAAAGAAATATTTCAAAAATACCTAGGTAGCATTCTCCTATTTTTATAGCTACCTACGCACCTAAAGTAAAAGACAACACCTTCCCCTTTTCCTTCGGCCATATCTAAACAGCCCACGTGATCATTTTGACATCTCTATATGTATTGTACCTGAGTTTCTGATGGATTGAATGGTACTAAGAAATGGTAAGAACTGTATAGGTACTATCTATGAACGACATGATGTACATGATAGCCTCTCCCATGGTAGTATTTATTTTTATCAAGCTTGAACTAGTAGCTGATCAGTGATTAAGAATGATCTGCGAGGGCGGAAGAGTTTCAAATTGAATCATTTAATAGCCTTGAACTTGTCATTATTTTATATCCTCAGATTTAGTTCGTAGCTCAATTTAAAAGGGATGACTGACTGGCTGGAATACATGGTTATCAACTCACAAAATGACTAAATTGGTGGATTAGAACTTGAAGAAAACTGGCCAAGTTTTGATACCATACATGGTACAAGTAAATTGAGAAAATATTTCAACTTAAGTGCTGAGCTAATAGTGTAGATATTTCTCAAGCAGTCTGTCATAACTAGGCTAGTATATTGAACAAATAGCATTTGAGGAGGGTTTTGGTAGACTGTTAGTCCCTCTTCACTAAGCCTCTTTAATTAATTTAGGCAAAAACTTCTGCATTAATAATCCTTGTATAAGCAACCGGCCGTCTGGCGAAATGGTATCGCGTCACTTTCCGGTATTATGGAATATGGTGAAGATTGTGGGTTCGAGTCCCACGGTGGTCGTTTTTTTGTCTCACTAAGCGTTTGACACCTAATCATGCATGAGAGGTACCTGGGTATGTACCAATCAGAATACTAGGACTGGGTAACTTCATAAATCTTCGTATTTTGCATAACACCTTGTTTTATTGGACATGTGTTGGCCTTGAACTTACAATCTTTTGCAAATGCAGTCTTGCTTACGAGGTGTATTGTATCTGTTATCTTTAATAAGGTGATACTTAAACTAGGACCTAGGTATGGTCGAGTTTAAGATGAATTATCTGTCCGGTTCAAATATGTATATCTTGATTTGACTTATCTTCAACAATTAAGATGGCGACGACTTTGTAAAGAAGCCATGGCCTATTACTTTTTAGATGTGATACCTAGGTAGGTACATAGAAAGGCATTTGACTGTACATTAATATATTCATATGGCATATGTATTTAAACAATACTAAAGTATCTAATCTTTGTACTTAGTTGATGCCGGCTCCACCTGCTGAGCTAGTTAAAGGACCCACCAAAATTTTCTGTCTGGACTGCATCGCGCTTGTGAATCTCTATTGTACCAAAGAGCTACCCACCACCCTCAACAACTCAAATCGCCTAAGAGATTTGATATATTCTTGCGACTCCTGTCCACTAAGCTTAGAATTCCCAACCCATTTCAGCTATTTTATTAAACCTCATCCCTCTAAAGGAACCAAATACAAGATGTCCTCCAAAAAGCGCAAGTCAGAAGAAGACCCCACGACCAGCACCGCTATGAGCAGCGACACCACGGGCAAGAAGCGAAGACGCCTAAGTGACGCGGACTCCGTCGTAGACAAGAAGTCTAAGAAGAGTAAAAAGGAGAAGAAGAGCAAGAAGTCCTCGTCTAAGAAAGACAAGGAGCGCAAGCACGTTCCCTCTGCCGAAGACGAAGATGCCGCCACCGCAGACAACGCAGCTCTTGAAGCCAATGACTCGCCCGAGGACACCCCCATGGACGAAGCTCCCCTCTCCGCCGTAGAACCCCAGGGCGACGAAGAGGGCAAAGAGGAGACCAAGGAAAGCTCCAAGAAGAGCAGCAAGAAGGACAAAAAAGACAAGAAGTCCAAGTCCAAGAGCAAGAGCAAAGACAAGTCTGAGTCTGACTCCAAAGCCAACGCCTCTCAAGAACCCACAGAAGCCGAGCCCGCAGACACCACCAACGACAACGACAACGAAGAAGCTACCCCCTCAGACCCGCCCCAAGGCAAAAAAGTCCGCTTCATAGTCTTCGTCGGCAACCTGCCCTTCTCCGCGACCCCGGAGCAAATAACAGCGCACTTTTCCGCCGTGCACCCGACCTCGGTGCGCCTACTACACGACCCGCGCACCCGCAAATCCCGCGGTATCGCCTTCGTCGAGTTTGCGCGCTACGACCACATGAAATCATGCCTGAAGACGATGCACCATACCACTTTTACCTGCCCCTCGGACAAGCCTGGTAGGTCCGAGGAGCGCCGCATCAATGTCGAGCTGACCGCCGGCGGCGGCGGGAATACTTCCCATCGCAAGGAGAAGATCCGCGCCAAGAACGAGAAGTTAAACGAGGAGCGCGCGCGGAGGGCCCAGGAGGAAGCTAAGGCCAAGGCCGAGAAGGACAAGGGGAAGGGGCAGAACGGGGGCGAGAAGACTGGTGGCGGCTTCGAGGATGCCATCCACCCGAGCCGACGTGGAAGAGTCCCCGGGTCATGATACCCTAGATAGTAGCAGCTCTTCTGTTAATGTATTTATTTCATCTTAATCACATGCTCTGCGAAGCAACTTAGGCGTTCACGTATCGGAAACGAAAAAAAAATGTTATCAAATTTGGGGGGACATGCCGTGAAATTTAGATTCTTCTCGCAAATATGCTATCTACAGAATTGTGAAAAGGCGAGTTTGAATATGCTATATGCGGGGAATTGTGACTCTTGCTGCCGTCTAGTTGTTCAAAGGGTGATTTCCATGCAGAAATATTTAAACCCAGTTTACCTGTATGTCCAATCCCGACGGAAGCCAAGATGGCAAGGAGCAAACAGGATGGCAGCGTGCCAGAATTCTTTAAAAAATAACGGTACTCGCAGGCTCACGTATGCTTCCGATTCCTCGCTGACGGCCTTCGACTTTGCAACTTGATCCTTTCCCCCTAATTCTCTTCTGGTCGAATAAATAGCCTGCAACAAAACGGCCACCAAAAACGTCTGGGTATGTAGATTTCAAAATGAGGGGACGCGAAATATGGGTAGTCGGCCAACTCGAAGATGCCTGAATACGTCGGTTCCTCATGGAGGATGGTAGTCTTTCCTATATGTCCACCAAAACGCCATCATCGTTTCGAAAAACCTTCTGGCTCGCTCGACCAAATCTCAAAATGTCATAAGCAATGATATATGCTGCTATGTGCTGTTTATAGAATCGTGCACTTGCTCTTCTTTGATCCACCTTTCGTAGCGACAGGCCGAGGGTTTAGAACGGCACTGTATATAAGATTAATACGTGGTTGAACATTAGGGGGGAACTATCATGATCTATCATACCGAATAGCCTCGTCGAATACGCTCTTCAAGTTTCGCTGAGTGAGGGCTGAACATTCAAGATATTTATGGGCACGGATCTCTTTTGCGCAGACCAGGGCTTGGTCGTACGACACCGGCTCCATCCTCTTGGATCGAAGGCTTTCCAGGGTAGCGGGGTCCTCTCGAAGATCCAATTTGGTCCCAACTAGGATGATGGGAATGTTTGGCGCATGGTGATCGATTTCGGGGTACCACTGAGCTAAGTTAGTAACTTAACCTAGAGTAGTTGACCCGACTGATTAGGTGCCTTCCAGCTGTTCACGTACCTTAGCCTTTACGTTATCAAACGAAGGCGGGCTCACGATGGAAAAGCAGATTAAGAAAACATCGGTTTGAGGGTAAGAGAGCGGTCGCAATCTATCGTAATCTTCCTGACCGGCAGTATCCCATAGTCCTAAGCTGATAGGCTTGCCATCAACCATCACGCTTGCCGAGTAATTGTCGAAGCTGAATGTGACATCAGTATACAATTTAGAATGGGACAAAGACCAAATTCTACTAACACCGTGGGTATATATTCACCAGGGAACGCATTCGTTGTGTATGAAATAAGAAGACATGTCTGACATCGATGTTAGATTTGGAACATGGCTAGACTCGGTCGACATTGGCTAAGGTTGGAATAGACGGACCTTTCCGACAGCACCGTCACCCGTAACGACGCACTGCAGGGCAATCTCGCATTAGTATACTTGCTTCATGATGCGGTATTCACCTGGAGCGACGTGGCGGACGTACCTTCAATGATTGAACACCAGGGGCAGCCATGATAGGCGACTTCGATACGTTAAATTTGATTAACCAGCAAGGTACCGGGGCTTAATAGTCGGCAGCTAAAGAAATCAGCGGTATTAGTATTTGATGAAAATATATTGATTATAATACTGAAATTATTCTGGAAGGACCTGCCGGCGACACAACTATGTAGGAGTAGAAGAAGTTTAGAAGGGAGCTGCGTTGCATAAGGGTTAGAAATGTTTTGACACAGGGTCGGAAGGGTGTGGTGCCGCAGATCGCAGGAGGTGGTGGGCAAGCTGGCAGTATGGGCAGTATGGGCAGTATGGCAAGTATGGAGCACGGCGCTACGTTCCCAGTATCGTAGGACTGGTCCGTACTGTACTTCTTAAGCACGGTTCGCAGGCTGGAACGATAGCTGGTTGAGCAGTCCTGATAGGGTAGGTAAGCTGGGATAGGGTGCCCCGATAGGGATGCTGGAGCTTGAAATGTACTAGGTATGTGCTAGGGGGGGATGTGGGACCGTCTTTAGAGACACACAATGGTGACCTTGATTCGAAGGCACTTTAGTGCTTGATGCTTGATGCTTGATGCTTGATGCTTGGTACTTGATGATCTATGTGTATGGTGGCGTGAACGCCCCGAAGATGGAATTGGATAAGGTGGAATAGATGTGGCGGCGAAGGAACAAGAGTACCTAGGTAATTTTTTTTTTCTTCTCTTACTTTTAGAGCTTCTTTTCTAAAATGGATTCGAAAGCGCGTGCTACCTAAAGCTTGATAGGTGGGAAGTGAAGAAGGAAGCGATGAGGACAGCTAAACGGTGTAAGACTGGCGGATGGGGGACGAAGGGTAATGTGGTAATGTTACAATTAATGGATGGGGCAGAATGAGACGATAATGAACGGCGGTTGGGGGGTTTCTTGGGGCGTCCAAAAGGAACAAAGGAAGAAATATTGACTACCTACAATAATAAGAGGCTGGCCGTCCCTTTTTCGTTAAAGAGGTTACAATCAGCGGCGCGTACCGAATCGGATCAAAAAATATAGTGGAAGAAGATTTTATCATTCGATATTGGAAAAGATATTGGAGACCCAATGTGAGATGTGATCTGAGAGAAATGGCGTCGCAATCAATTTGAACCCCTATAATTCGGAAGTTATTAGCCCAGTCGGAAAAAGTTGTTGAAGGTGTGGAGGAGCCGTCTCCAGTATGTATTTGTATGTAAGTAGCTTGGTAGCTACATTTGCCTATCTAGGTACCTAGGTACGTATCCATGCCTATTATGGAGACTGGACAAGGCACTTACCTGGGTACACTAAGGCAAGGGGTATTATAAAGCTCAAACGGTCTAAGCGTCTTCATTGGTTCAATATTGAACAATTGGATATTCATACAGTTGCTCTTTCCTGAAGTTTAAACCACTCAAATCACTCAAATCACTCAAACCATACAGCTGGGTCTATTCTTCAATCCGCTTTAAGCCGATGTACATGATGTAGTCATCATCAACCTTGAATCCGGTTATCAACTACAAAAATAGAGTGGCTGGATTTAGGACCGATGTAATAATATAAGAAAAGTTGGGTAAGCGAAATATTGAAAACCCGAAGTATAACTCCATCATTCACAGTCAGGTCGATTATTTCTTTATATACTGGTTACCTTAGGTAGTGATGTGAGTTCTCCTGTCTTATAGGGTTATTCATTTAGATCGATCTTCACGAACTATCTGACTGCCGTTCAACTACCCGCTTTGCATGTGCATGTGTATATGCAGGTCAGTAGTCAAGTGGGCAGATCAAGTTGCATATAATAGGTTAGGTAGGTAACTATGTAATGCAAGCACATGTTCCGAGCTAAATATCAACCAAGAGCTGGTCTTCGTGCTCGAGAAACACCAACGCGATACCGTACGGATAAGCCGAGCCACTACTTGAAGCGTCTCTTGTAACAACACCAGCTCCTCAGGAGCATTCGAAAACCTATCGTTTGTCGAGAGTGTCAGGGGTTCTACCCCGGAACATTCTCGCATCGGACTAGAAGCTATGCAACGCATCCGGATGATTCGTCAGACTATCGAGGATCTGTGGCGAGTCGACAGACCTGGTTTGGGTCATAGTCTTAAGGCTATTTTATTTGTGCTGACTTTATGGAGTTCTTCAATCCAGTCAGCACCGCAGCTTTGCGGTTTATGACCAATAGTTCTACTATGTAAGCAAAGCTTTAGGGGTTTACGGATTAGTTGAAAATGATTTCGAAAGTAGTCTCAAATTGGTATTCTGTGCTTTGTATCCCTAGCTTGAACAACTGAAAAATGTGCAAACTACTGATATTTAGTTGTTTGCTCAAACAGTTAAACCTATCTCCACGATTTCCTAATAGTCGGAGTGTTATAATGATTAAAGCACCAATCGGCAGGCTGCGGCACGAGATATCGGTAAGAAACGGTCTACAGAGCAAACGGAATTTCTATTCTAACTTCAGTCTAATCTTGTCATGCTGCACATGTACATACTAGACGTAAAATACATGTAAGCACTCATGACTCCACCAACATTGATATCGCAAGAGCATGGCGTCATCTTGATAGATTTGCCGAAAGGGTGAAGAGAACCAAAGAATCAAGGAATTGGTGAGATCTCGGAGCTTAGGCAAATGAGTCGAAGACGTTTCAGAAGATTCTGGTTCGGCTAGACTTTAGGACTGCGCTGTTAGGAGGAGGTACTATGTATGTAAGAAAAAAGTTGCTTTGAACAGTTTCGGCAGCAGGGTCAGGGCAGTTTGGGTGGGCAAGGGGAAGTATGAAAACCAACAAGGATAACCCAATAGTACTAGAACCCCTCTGAACTTTAACGCCACCTAGCGCATAAAGCCCCACGTAACTCATACAGTGCGAGAAACCCCACGTGCCCACCCTGTTCTTTCAACTTTACAGCAGCTACAATACAATTGTATCGCTGAATAACCACGACGCGTCTAAGCTCCTAACCGCGTCTAGTATATACCTAGTAACTGAGTACACGTCATTTCACTAGACAGCTTCAAGGTATCGGGGTAATAGTCACGAGATTTCTTATAGGCGACCAATTAACCGGAATTTGGCAGAGAGCGAGAAATAGAAACGAATTGTCATGAGCTAGACAGCGAATCTTCCGTTTACTATTGATATCCGGTGAGGTATACGGCTGGGCATAGGAGAGACATCGGCATATTCAAAATGACGGACCCGACTCCAAATAAAAACCGTCTCGCAGCTCTTAGCACCCCTCGAGCACTTGCGACCCCGAACCGCCGCGCTATCAGCGCCGAGCCCTCCTCCCTCCGTCTATCTGCTTCAGGCCGCCGAAACCCTAACACGCCGCATGCCCGTGCCGCCATCCGTGCTATAGATCAGCGACGTGCAGCCCTATTCACACCAGGACGAGTGGGACGGCGGCGCAGTGTTGCACGCGAACGTGAGCGCGAAACGCCACGGGATCTCCTGCGGAATCTTAGTCGGGTTCTCGCACCTACGTCAACGGTAGTCTCCTCGTCTTCGTCGTCCCCTCGTCGCGGCAATGAATCGACGTTGCAGACTCTCCTCGAGGAGGGTGACGATGACGATGACTTTCCTATTGAGCGTCCCCGTTTTTCATTACCCTTAGATCGCGACGATGACGACGATAGCGAGCTGAAGCCTCCCCGGTCTAGCATACTGGATGATGAGAACTACACAATGCAGTCGATCGAGCTCCCTCGTCGAGCATGGACTGAAGCGCCACTGGGTCGCTTGGATAGGAGTAGTTTAGGCAGCGCGAGGATGAGTGATTTTGTCGGGCCAGAAATAGGGGACGATTATGATAATGACGTTGGTATCGATTCGGGTTTCTTCCCCCCACCAGCGTTGGACGATGATACCGGAGGGATTGGCTTAGACGAAGATGCTATATTCGAACGGTATTGCCATGTTGACCTTTGCGTATGAGTTACGATGTGCTGACATATTCTAGTGTCGATGAAGAGATAAGACGTCAAACTATGGGAGGCCAGGATGATTTTGGTCCAATCGAGATTCCCGACCTCGGGAATGAGAGTACCTTTGTCATGGCTCCTATGGAATCGCCTACCCGAGATCCAACGATGGTCGAGGACGTTCAGACAAGTGACTTACCTGGCTTCGACCACTACGATGACGATGACGATGGCCCGGGAGACTTGATGGATGCACCTGGATTAGATGATGTCGATGATGTCGATGATGTTGATGACACCGAGCCGTTACAGGACACAATTATTTCCCAGGTCGTTAACCATCCAGCACAAAGAAACATCGGGAGAAGAAAACCCGGAAAGAAAATCTCGCGACATGGTATTGAGTATCCTTCTCTACCTGTGGGTGTAGTAAAGCGGCTGGCAACAACACTCGCCAAGACGGCAGGGGTCAGCAAGGCGAAGTTGAGTTCAGATACGGTAGATGCTATTATGCAAGCGACGGACTGGTATTTTGAGCAGCTAGGAGACGATTTATCGGCCTACGCAAGACACGCAGGCCGCAAGACTATCGATGAGAGCGACATGATGATGCTTATGCGAAGGTATGTTGCTTTATATTTATTCTAGGGTATATGATTATTCCTAGTGCCTAGTGGTACAAATTTACTAACCTTTTGTTGTAGACAACGGCAGACCAGTACCTCCACTACACCCTTCTCCTTAGCGCAGCGGTATCTGCCCAGAGAACTCTTACAAGAGATGCGAATGTCTGTACCAGCACCGACGAAAGCTCCTCGAAAACGACAGGTCCGACAAGGGGGTGTCGATGAAGAGGAGGAAGTTACTTGAGCCCATCCCCTATCCGGGGTTCTGTTAAATGGATTCAATGCACATTCACTCAGAACAAAGGTTTACGACCATTCCTTGTTCATCCTCACTCGGCGTGAGATATCGGTGGGAGGCTTCTTCACCACCATGTAGAACATTATCGACGTCGCTACTGCGAGTCCATACCTAGGGTATGTTTATTAGTTCGAGCGCGAGAAGAGGAGGTTTAGAAGAATGAAGGAATCATACCACGTGAAGATGTACTGGGCGTGGTTATTCCTTAGGTTGACTTCAGCAGGTCTACCAATAGGAATACCCTTGGATTCCATATCCAGAGTCTGGAGTAAACCCGGCTCTGTAAGAATAAAAATATTAGCTAAGGAAGTATTCTCAATAGCCAGAAGAATCTATCCACTGCGTCCATGAATGGTGCTATTGTTCAAACGTACCCATAGTCTGCTCAATCCACACAGCCTGGCTTCCCGTTAAACCAGCCATCTGCTTCACATCGGGAAAATAAAACTCATTTATATCAGGTCTATTATCCGGCGTAAACATATTCTTCTTCCACGGCTCCCGCAGTAGACCCTCTACGGTAACTTCACCGGCGTATAGGGACTCGGGCCTACTCCGCCGATCGCGAAACTTCTTAGATATCCAGCCGCGGTTCACCAACACTGTCGCACCCTCATCGCCCCCGCGCTCCAGCGGCGTCACAACCATGTACCCCTGCTCGCCGTCGCGCATGCGGGGGCCGATCAGCATCTCGTGGTCGTGGCGGTAGCGTCCCGTCGCTGTAACCCGGCGGAAATCGAAGTCGTGGATGGCATCCGGGTCGACACGCGGCGGGAGCGGCAACGGTTCGCGCACGATCCGGTCCTCGAACTTGGCGATCAGGTCAGTCTTCCAGCCTAGCCGCTGTACTTGCCATGTCCCGAGCAGAAACGCGGTTACGGGGATGATGGCGAGGATGATAAGACCCGGCCCGTGACGTCGTCCCGTGCGCACTAGTTCGGGCGGGTTGTCGAGGATCGAGGTGAAGTTTGGGTCTTCGGCGGGTTGGCGCTGGGGTCGGGGAGTATGTGTGAAGGGTCGGCTGAGGAAAGGATGGCGTGGCCGATTGCTGGGGATGTAGGAAGGGGAAGTTCGGAGGATGCTACATGACGAGGTTTGCGTGCTGTAGTTCTGGGGTTTGGAGGCGCGAGCTTGGGCTTCGAGGGCTTTCTCGACTCGCCGAGCAAGTATTTGGGGTGTAAACCACCCTTGAGACTTCATTACGAAGTACGTAGTATATATCCTCGAAGCTAGATAATACTAATTATTTTCTCTTCATTCTTGAGGCCTTCAACGATGACGTTCGTTTTCTTCAATAAATGAAGCTCTCCTATTGGTTATTGACTAGATTTTACAAGTTGATCCAATCAATTGAACTCTGCGGAGCCGGCAGCCCGAAAGCTTGAGCAGGGACCCGCAGATAAGCTAGGTCGTTTTAGGTAAAGCGTACGTAGCTAGAAGTACTTTGTAACTTGCGACATGTTGAATGTGCAGCTTCTCACATGTGGCACTTAATAACAACCTTATGACGACTCAACCTATTCACAAGATAATCCATAATCAGAGACACGCTCAACTTAGATAACAGCGGAATAGGTTGTTTGAATTCATTGATGGTCACAATACTACCAGCAGTCAGAGGCCGATAATTCCATCAAGAATGAACACGCATCCGCATTTTATTAATTGAATATTGAATAGTTATTGAATATCAAATCTCATCTAGTCCTGCGCTCGGCCGCTGTGTCTATCCATCCACAAAATTATTTGCCACACTTTTCTCTTCACGACCTCCATCTTTCAATAGTGAAGATGTCGGAAAGTGTATTCTTTCAAGGCAGCCTACAAGATGGCATCTCCCTCGCCATCCACCAGTCTAAGATGGTGCTCGCATTTGTCACTGGTAAGCTACCTCTTATGTTGAAAGGATGCATGATATCAGTTTAACTGACACAAGTCTAGATAGTGGAGACGAGAGCCAACTTTGGGAGAACGAGCTTCTCGCAAATGACTCTGTGAGTAGCTATACCTGTATATTGAGGATTTATCTAACTGATTTTATACAGCTAAAAGCACCACTAAAGAATCAGGCTGTGGCCTTACGACTACAGGCAGGGTCTGAAGAGGCTGGATTTTTGGAGGCGCTATTTCCTATACCGAAGAAGCCCACAGTAGTCATCATTCAGTAGGTCTCATCCCAACCCTCATAACAGCATTTTTAAGTATTGCCACTTACAAACGCCCCAGAAACGGAACTCTAAAAGAGTATATTCAAGGTGGCACAGCGAAGGAAGACCTCGTTCGCAGGATTGAGGCAATTCTCAGCACGGCAACAGTAACTCAAACCCAACAAACGGCTACTGCCCCTGCAAGACAGGCTTCAAGTCAGCCACCTCCGGCCGCTCAAGCCCCAGTATCCACTAGTAGTAACGTATTAGACGACCTATATGATGACTATGACATCCCAGCCAGGCCCTCTCCTGTACCGGCAGAATCCTCCCGGGAGGGGCAGAGTTCACAAGAAGCGAAGCGCCTAGAAGCCGAGAAGAAAGCGAAGGAGGCTAAGGAAGCTAAAGCCAAGGAAACCAAAGCTAAGGCAGAACAAGAAGCCAAGGCCAAGGCAGAGCGAGAGGCCCAAGCACAGGAGCGCCGCAGAGCTAGTGAGAGTAACGAGGGCCAATCTTCTACCACTAACAGACCAGAGCGGTCTTACGCAGAAGAAGTCAGGCAGCAGAAGATCCGGGCGACTGAGGACAGAAAACGCATCCTAAAGCGCATCGAAGACGACAAGCGGGAGCGCAGAGAGCGCGAGGCCAAGGAAAGACAGGCAAGACTACTGCTAAACGCGACAAACGACACCGAAGCCTCTAGCAGCCAAACTCCGGCCATCCCCCTCGCTCGAAGACAAGCCAGCAGCTCAGGAGACCACTGCAACTTACAGGTCCGCTTGTTTGACGGCTCGACAATCCGATCGCGCTTTAAGAGCGACGCGACTCTTAATAAAGAAGTACGCAAGTGGATCGATGAGGACCGGACCGACGGCGACGCGCCGTACACCTTCCGAATCGTCCTAACGCCGCTTCCCAACAAAGCCGTCGAACCCGCCGAGGAAACAGAGTCTTTACTATCCCTTGGCCTAGCCCCTTCCGCCACTCTAGTCCTAGTCCACGCCAAGTACTCCTCCGCGTTCGCGCGCGCCTCCGACGGCCTCATCTGGCGCAGCCTGGCATACGTCTTAGGCTTCTTCGGCTCCGGATACGGGTTCCTGGTCGGAATGCTAGGCGGACTCGCCGGCCTGCTAAGCAGTCGTGGGGCTGCGTCGCCCGAGGAGGTGCCGCTGCAGAATCTAGCCGAAGATAGGATTGCCTCGGGGATCAGGGGGTTTTATGAAGCTGAGGACAGGCGTAGGGATGCGCAGTTGTATAATGGGAATTCGGTAAGTTTACTTAGAGAGCATTGCTTGTTTGATTGGTTGCTAACGCTCGATAGTTGAATTTCGAACCGCGGAGAGATGAAGATGATGAGGATGTGGAATGAAATTACATCCTGAGGAGAGATGTAGACTTGTGGTGCTATCTCTTGCCATAGCTTTCCTTCTAATCGTAGGATATTATGCTGATGTACTGCATCACTCAGATATAAGATAGTTTCAATAATAGGTTAATGCTACCTATCGTCTTAAGTATAAATTCTTTAACGAACAGTTCTTTTTTCTCTCTCATTTTATACTATCATATTTATAGTGCTATCGCTCCGGAGGGATACGGCTCCCAACATCTTATCATACCGGCCATAACTAGGGCGATATTCTCTTTGTTTGGTCCATCTACTAGCCTTACCCCTACCAAACTTCGTCCGCGACACCACCGACATGGCGAAGCGTAATCTTGTGGGATGGTTGGTGGATCTCTCTTTGCTTAAACGATGTCCATGGCTTCGGCATCAATGTATTCGTGTTTAACTAAAGCACGAATATAATCCATGGTCCATTCTTAACAGCGTCTATTAATAGTCTATCAACTGTTAGTTCTCACACTTTATAGCTTCATCGTATCGTCGTATTCGTGGCGTCAATACTACCTCTAGGTGTACGTATGAAGACGTACATAATTGAGAGATAATTTCGTAAGAAAACATCAAGGGGCTGGGTTCCATTTCCATGTTTATCCTTCATGGATGCCATCCTCCTAAGAGAAAAAAAAACCACTCTTCGATAGTGCTACCAATACTGTCGTGAAATATTGTCTAGGTACCGTGTAGAAGAAACAAGGTACTCTTTGACGATGGGATGATTCTCAACCTTTACCGTGTCCCGTGAGACGGGCAGTGAGGACCAAGCAACCCCCAATGTGCTTATGAGTGATGTCTACTTCTTTAGCTGTTAGGCCTGTCCTATAACCGAACGTTTTTACTACAACCAATACAAGGCGTGGTATTAGCTCAATCGAATCATTTAATGTCCTTGGTCACCATGGCCCCATGTTCATACCATTCTAAAAGCATCTACCTTTTCAAGAAAGTCGCAGTACTTCTCAGGCGGTTTGTCGGACAACCCACTCTCTAGTTGATTTAAATTGTCCTTAAGCTATAAGTTGACCATACCACTAGTTATCTAGTTTCTGAACTTGATTATCTGCACCCCTTGCTTTTATTTAAACTTTGACGTCCCTTATTCTTATTTAGCCTGGCTCGTGTGGTCGGGTCCGCGTGTTAGGGTGGAACCTTGAGTAAGGTCTGGTTCTTCAAGGCTTGCGTATGTATAAAGAGACTCGCGCCGTTATTATTAAACTAGGGAGGCTAGAACGGTGGGCTTAGACCTTCAGCACCTGAGGTTACCGCTGCTAAAAGGAACCTCCGAACTTGTCTAGTGCTCGCCAGATAACCCTCAGTGACATCTTTGCATAGCTGATAATGACAAAGTATTATTGATAAGGTATTGCTACATGCACATTGCGTTATGCCTCCCACAGTAGAACGAATAGATACTAAATTACCAAGATATATTGCAAACTCTTTCATGTGTTATCGCTTCGTAAGTGAAAGTGCATAGCCTGCCTCTATACCACCCAATATCCGTCTTATCTATGGAGGAGCGGATGGCTGACACGGTTTTTGAGCTTATATTTACTTGTCCAATTTATTACCGGTGACCTTCGAAGCATATTTGAACGTCACAAAACCCTCTTTATTGTATGAATACCACCAACCATAAAAATCATTAGGAACCTCAGGTATCTTCGTACGCAATTTGAATAGTTATGGCCTAAAAGCTCGAAAACTAGTACTTCAGGATCTCTTGAATTGTCTCTATATTTTATATCGAGGTCAATGCGGTTTCATCACACCAACGAAATAGTGAGTACTAGAAAAACTTGTGATGAGACTCGCAGTCCGCACAAAGGCAACGGAGTATTGGACCGCGCAAATATGCACTTTCGTAGGATCAATAACAGGAGCTTATCCTTGTTAGGTATAAAAAAACGTATACAAATCAGCGGCTTTCCGGTGGGGAAAACAGCGAACACAAGCTATTACGTATCCTGCAGATGCATTGCGTAACTCACTAAAGTCTAAAGGATTTCTTATTATTATAAATCAAGTTCGTGTTATTGTGCTATGTTCAAATATCATAGGGACTACCGTGGAATGTCTACAAATTATTGGCTGAGGACTCGCTAAAGTGTGTGAATATATGCCAGCATCGTATAAATAATATCGTACCGTTGTACTACCCCAAATACCACCTTACAAGGTACCAATCTAAGTAAGTAATCGTAATTGCTCTATAAATACGCTCTTAGCTCCCTAGTCTATATGAATCCTCCCATTGCTTTAGGATGTTTTATTCATCAAGCCTGTTTACCGAACCCTTCCTAGGTCAGCTAAAATGTCCAACTACTTCGTTTCTTCAGCAGAGGCAGAGAATAGGCGCTTAGAGCAGGCTTCTGCTGTGGTAAGAGCGTATATGGATGGAAATGTCTTCCTTGCCCCTATCGACACAGCACGCGGGAACCTTAAAATACTCGATAGTGCTACTAATAACGGTATATTCTTCTTGGACACTCTCAACGGGAAAGTTTGGCTGACATTTTAAAAAAGGGTTCTGGTTGTCTCAGTTCCAAGCTTCTCTCAAAGATCCAAAGTCAGCTACATTAATTGGAACCGACCTTCAGGATCGGTTTCCCAAACCCCCGCAGCCAGGAATCAGCTTTCAGATCCAAGATATTAACGAGCCATGGCCAAAGTCTTGGAAGTCAACATTTGACTACGTGCATCAAACTCTGGTGCTATTCCAGGCGGGCCCGAAACAGCGTGAGGCCATTAACTCTCTCGGAGAGCTCGTGAAGCCCGGTGGTTGGATTGAACTGATGGAACCTCAATATGAAGCAACTGATGATAACAAAGGGCCGGCCTATAAGCAGTTCCTTAATATGTTGGACGAGTTGTGGACTATGAGGGGCACGAAGAGCGGTTTTGCCGCTGACCTAGAGGGTATAGTTAAAGACGCTGGCTTTGTGGACGTCAAAAGCGTGCTATTGCCTATTGGCGTAGGTCCTAAGCATAAAGACCCAGGATTAGCCGGTGTCAGCGTCGAGAGTACCGTGGGTGGTGGTAAGAATATTACTATAGCTGGGAAATGTAAGTCTATTCCTTGGTACTACGGTTACGATGGAGTTGACAAGATATTTTAGCTATTCCAGGAGGACTCAAGTCTATTTCCGCAAAAGATTTCGAGACCTGGCCAGCGCGCTTTGAAGAGGAGTTGAAGACAAAAGGAGCCTATATGCCCTTAAGGGTGGTGTACGGCAGAAAACCCGAATCCTAATTAGGTCTAGAAACATAAGGGGTTCAATAGAGGTATTGGCGAGCCATTGGATATGCTTCCCTAGGTTTAGAATGTATCGTTTGTTAGGTAATCGTAGGAGTGATGTAGGAGTAATATGTCACCATAAAGTTTATGAAATCTATCGCGTTCGAGATGGAGATCCAATCAAGCTCTACTTACGACTTTGATATTAGCGGTTAAGTGGTCTAGAATATCAGCAATAACCCCAAAACCCCTACTCTAGAAAGTCTCAGTTACGCCGTCTTTGGAAAACACCGTTAAGCCAGACTACGTTCTTGAACAAGCACGAAGCTAATGTAACAATCTAGGTAACTTTACAAGGACAAGCTGCTGGTATTATTACTGTAATAACTACTCAATTAATGAATATTGCCGACTATGGCCATGCCGTTATATTGAAGGCTATCCAAGTTATGTAACGTAGGTGTGAAATAACTTCTTGAGTACCAAGAAAAGATGCCATAGTCCAGAAGGTATAGGGATAATATGAAGTCTCAATAAGACCGCTATCATGTTTTAACAACAAATATTGCTAGTCTTAAACGAGTAAGCGTCATCGTGTTAAGTAAGATAGGGGCAGCAATCCCGAGGCTGAAAAATAGGGATTTGAACCTGACATATATTCAAATCCCGAGTGTCCATACAAGGTAAACGCAGGGTCTTTTTTGAAATGTACCTACAGTTATACGAGGATATATTCAGCCGCAAGGGTATTTTCTTATGTGCTCCACATTAGCCTGTTGAACGTTGGCGAATTCATTATCATCGACGGAAGGATTCCAGAAAAGCCATTAGATTACAAATATGCCTCATAGCTAAAGCTGTATCATTTCAAGGTTTAAAAGGAGTTCCAATCCAATTTTTGCAGCCATATAAAACTCCTGACACTTCGTAGTGAATATGTAAGTTTAAATCCTCGCGCATCGTTTATACATGCGCCATTATGAAATATATATTAGTTTCCTAATTATCAAAGCTATAGTGTGGTGCTGAGACCAAAGCAAGTCGGTGTTGCTATTTTAAATTAGCAATATATGGGGTCCAGGTTTACCGGCAGTTATTGAAATATAAGTATACCATTATATTAAATCATTATGACGCTGTGTCGTTGAGATCGTCATTACAAAGCTGAACATAATAGATGTGAAGGAAAACCCCGGATCCTTCGCGGCTGATAGTACAGTATTTCGACGTTATCATCCTGTGCTTAATATATTATATGCTTTCATCGTATAATGAGCAGTTCCAAACACAAGGAACATTCTAGATTCAGTTGTATATCTCAAATATTTATATCTAAAATACCTAGTATTACAATTGCTAGGCATTTGGTGGCATTAATAACCCCAGTTCTCCATTAGTTTAATATGCACAGAATTTTCAAGAATAGGATGTGTAGGATTGAATAAAATCGCGTGTTCTATTAATTATTGTTGATGCCTAAACCCCCGAACCAGGGTTATATAGAGTACCTGTTAGAGCTTTTAAAGAGGTTTGGTTTAATATGACTCCTTCAGCTTCTTAATGGGTGTCTACTTACCTACATACCAAACATTAAATCTAGGAGACTAGAAAGTTTCTCTAGCCTCGGATGGAAATACGAATTACACAAAGTATTTATGCCTTCTGAAACATGGATAGTCCGACACTCCCGGACTTTGAATAGATGATATACAACTATTGAGATGCGATGACCTCCAGTATAGCTATTCTCAAGAGATCCGGCGTTATATATCCCTATACAGAATCTACGTTGCTATTGACCCTCCCTTCTAACCTAAGTCCTTTTAAGTCCCGAAAACCAACCCATCTCTGGGGTACCATATCCAGCCCATAACGCCAAAGTGCCCTTAAATTGCAAAGTCTAATAGACATATTATGACAACATATTCATCATAGCCCCCGGCCAGTCTAACCATCTGTGCCACTCTTGGTCTAGGTGCAACCGAATGCTCTGAACCAGCAGCTGACCAGCATTTCTTATAATCCATACGTCTCGACATAAGTGCAACGGTATGGCATAATATGCAAGGACGAGTAGAGCCTCTGGCTTCCTCTCCGATATGAGTCGGAGGAAATCGGCTTCGATTATTACCGGCCACGAGATTAGTGATAAGAATGGCGTTCCTAGAGAGGTACCGGTTTTCTTCGCATCGTCAGCTCTGCTCAGAAACCATTGGATCCTATCTAGGGCGTCTTTGCAGACAGTCTTCTCGTTGTCGTCCAATGCCGGCGAGTGCTGGATCCAGTTTTCCAACTCAGTAGTATGAGACCCCGGGCCCGCCTCCTCAAAAATCCTAGTGGCCTCCCGCAACACGAAACCCATCTTCGACTCGAGCATTAGATGCCATGCTTCTGCAGTGACGGCGCGTACTCCCCGTTGCATCTGCAGATAGTGAATGAACTGGTCTAAAAATATATGCGGGTCTGTCGAGTCTGTTGTATCGCATAGCGTATGCAAGGTCATAAACCAAGTGAAAACTAACACCTCCAGGCAGTTTTCACTAGTAACACCCATCATCTCACGGTTGAATATGCTAAGCGCGTGAGTTTGCAACCCGACCGCATGGTGTTTGTAGAACTGGGCCTTTGTAGGGTTGAGATGAGCTAGATGAAGTGCGGCGAAAGCCAACACCTCATTCATTAGAAAAGGAGAAGATATGGCGGCTTCAACAATCATCTCTGGAGATGCTATCTTGTTAGGATCCTCGGACGAAGGCGGCAAGTCGAAATTGCTGTTAATACAGTGGTGAAAGAGTTCCATGTGCGTCATGTTAACATCTTGGATAATCGACGGTTCACAGTTCAAACTAATAGGAGAAGACGATTGAGAGGGTGTCGATGCATTCGACGAAGATCGGAGGAGGCCCGGGCTTGTAGACTTTGCCGGACGTCGGATGCCGGGAAGAATCGGTTGCGAAGATAAAAACGAGCATTGTCTTGAACTAATTGTGCAGTTACCGCATGCCGGCCGGTTTTCATCGCACTAATATCCTAGAGTTTAGAACTAGAATGTGGATCAGGGCTAAATGATTACCTTAATATGTCGGCGTTTACACTCGAGACAGCCTGCACGAGATTTTTGATGAGAGCGACGAGGCATCTTTATTCCTTATAATTTTTTTTTTATAATTTCTCAGGCTTCGAAAATCTATTAACCATTAACACTGGCCTATTACTAATAAACATGATGCAGTTTACAGCAGCAGGAGATTTTATAAGGTAAAGATTGTGGCGGAGTAACGTAGTAGTCGTGTTATTAGTCCCATCGAGTCAGGGGTAAGTGACCGGCGAGCCCCACTTCGTCCTCCCGGCATCTATACAACTCCAAGAGGATTTCTATAGCTTATAAGTGATGCCTAAATTCATATTAGTTAGATATTTACATATCTATGAGGTCTATTACCCTATCTGACATATATAAATCATGGAGACTTATCATATCAACAACACTGACAGAAGAAGGAATACTGTAAACTTACCATACCAACCTAAAGCCAAGAATCGTCTTTCACTTGGAAATCGGATAGTTCGGGCCATTGAGCCTCCTCACGTCGGAGGCCGAGGCCTCATCCTGATTTCGCCCCGCAAGATTGCCGTCCCAATTTGTCCAGTGGGCGGCCTCAAAATGCTGGAGGTTATCTGTGTACCGCACGATGAAGAAAACCATAACTACCAACATCGAAACTAACTCGAAGATGTAGACTGTCTACCCATCCTTTACCCTTTTTTAAGAAGGTAGTCGTCCTGACCCGCAGCGAATTCGATAACTCGAAATATATTCCGGATTATCATAAGCGCGCTGACGCTGATACAACATGAGCATGCTAGCTGACCCTCTAGCCCGTAGCGTCATGCGCCGAAGCATCTATTTTACCATTTTTATATCTGGTCTGGGAAGTCGAAGCTGTGACGATAAAGAGACCGAGCATTATCTAAATAAGTAGCCTTCCGACGACAATCTTCTCGCCGTTATCCACTTGTCCGCTTTGCGCCACGAGACCGGCCCGGCCGCCCTATACGCAGAAGGAAGCTACGTTGCCGAACATGAAGACTTTGGTAAGGATATTAACACGGATAAGGGGGTAGGGTTCTCCGTGCACGGTTCGGATGATGCGCCCTAGTAGTATCGTGTATACCGATGCGGCAAAAGAGGGCGGGCGGTGGTAAGATTAGCATTTTCTGAATGAGATAAGGAGTAAGATCGCCGGCTTGAGAGTTTGATACCGCGCGGGCATAGTAACCTATGACTTCTACTTTATGGCTGTTAGAGGAGACAGTATTAAATCGTCGAGGATGGAGTAAGTTTGCTTTGCAACTTACTAATACCTCTGATCGCAAATAGCAAGTAGAACCAGAGCTTTGTTCGAAATGAACGGTAGGAGTAAATAACGGCAAAAAATATGGTAGAAATGATGGTTGCCGCTAACGAAAGGACATACTGTCTTAGGTAGTAGTCACCGACGTACGGTTCGAATTTGGCCATGGACCATGGTGGGCTTTAAAGAAACATTCCTTGAATCTAGGGTTCTTTCTAGATATTCAACATCTGCTGTGTGTGTACAATGAACATCTCAATATAGTCAAGACAATATCCAGAGAGCATCGTGTTCTTACAGAGCAGCAGAGCTTCTAATATAAATCAAATCCTTCTCTAAGAATGTTTCCGTCTGCCTGCCTGTAATAGCCTCCATACAAATAGCTATACGCGTATTCCAGTTAACAAACTATGGAAAAGGTGAATCCGACTACAAGGCGATCTAGATTATACCCGCGCTGTCGGATGCTGATTCTCGATGCCTAGTTACACTAACTTCTATTTCATCATGTACAGAAGCAGACGTATTATTTCTGTATTCAAACCCCAACCAATAAGAAGGCATTCTATACGCGGATATGTTCTCAACGGACTGAACGTGGGCCACCCCTCCTGGACTAGTACCATTTTAGGTCTACCGAAAATGGAATTGATGGAACTCTCTAGCCAATGAAACTCAAGTTTTACGCGGAAAGGGTACCGGAGCAATGATATTGGCAAACAACGTGGTCTAAGTTTTGAGCTACAACCTCGTGCTTCAGAGATATCTAAACCCTTTGGAAGGGGTATCTTAAATACATAGCTGTACGAGAGCGCCATAGGTACGGGCTAGCTACCAAAGGTAACTATACAGATACGTGATTGTGATTCATAGTATAGCAACTTCTAGCGGTAAACATATAGGCCAGAGGTGATAGATAATATACTCAAGTCCCGTGGCTTCAAACCCAGGACCATAGCCCACTCTTACAGCCCGTTTTACCATTCCGAGGTGACTTCCCCGTTATACGACACCATCTTCCCGCCATGCTCTGCTTTCGTGGATACTGCGAGCATATGCATCATACCGTCGCATGACTCGTCGACCCCTAGCGGGGCTTGCCCAACCCCTAGGCCGCGCGCGCCCGCATTCCCGAGTTCGGTCTGGACCCAGCCGGGGCCCGTAACGAAGGCGTTGAGCCAGTTGTCCTCGGCATTGATTCGGACGGTGAACCAGTGTAGCGCTGCTTTCGATGGTCCGTATGCCGCGTTAGTGATGGGAGGTTGTTTCCTGTTTGCGCCTGGTGTTAACATCCAAAAACCCTATGCCTATAATATCCACACAAGTTTTATGTTCGTTTTTACTTTCTGCAAAGGAGGACTGGCTCACCCTATAAATCCAGCCGAGGACCCGATGGGTGTAAAGATGGGCTCGCGGGAGGACTTCTGCAGTAGCGGGCGCGTGGCCTGGTACAGAGTTACAACGCCATAAACGTTAGGTTCGATATGTGCTCGGAGATCGTCAATCTTGACGTCTTTGACAGCCGGCCAGACGAACGAGACGCCGGCGTTAGCGATAACAATATCAAGGTGATCGATCCCGTGCGACTCCTGGAGAGCCTTGACGGCGTCAAAAGCATCCTGCTCGACCGTAGCGTCAAGTTTAACAACGATTAAGTTACTCCCCTCCCCCTTAGGCAGATCGGCGAGCGCTTTCGACGTCGGATGCCTCGGGTTCCGATTAGCGGCGATTACGACGTGGTTCGGCTGTGCCAAGTAACGCTTGGCCAGGCCCTCGCCTAGACCCCGGTTCGCACCTGAAATAAGAACGATAGTCTGTGCCATAATGGATTGATATAAGTCTACTTGAGAGGAAGGATGCCACATTGATTTCGTAGGCAAGCATACTTCTTTTTAACTATGCCGATGAAGTTGGTGATATTACGTGCCAAACCCACCGATCCGGATAGAATACCATCCGTGCTGAGCAATCGTTCTTAATAGCATTGGAAATCTGAATTGGCATTTCTAATCCAATTCTAATCAATATTTCGGCATTTACTATAAAGTTGTTGCGATGACTATACTATTTTTGATTCCCTCCGGGCTGCTGCTCCTTGACTGACTCTTCTCCTAGCACCTTACTCGCAGCCATGAACCTATTGTCAGCCAAGTTAATCAGTACCCCTTTTATAAATCATCGCTCAGTTTTCATAAGAGACTTAAGATAAAAAACAAAAGCGAAAACATAAGAGAAGAAATGAGACAAAGGATGCACTCACAGCCCACCATGCCAACTACCAAGACCTCTCATAGCCTCTGCCTGTACGCTTGTCATGCGCAGGAGGTTCTCCGTATCCGCCAAATTTGCTGAGAGTTGCGCTAGTTGCAAATGGAGATGCGTCTGCTCACAATACATTAGCATTTAATATTCTAGTTAGAATGATTACGATATAACATACAAGTTGCCGCGTCTTAACTACGCCGCCGGAGCTAGAACTCTGTGGCGCCATGGAAGGTCTCGCCGCCGCGGACCCTGAGCCTTGCATAACGATTGTACGATCTGCGTTTCCGCCTCTAGAAGTCATATTGGTGTCTTTTGTTATATTTGTGTTGTTTGTAAGGATTAAATAGCAATTCATGCGAAAAGTGGTTAGGGGAATTAGGAGAGGTACAGATGCTAAGTACCTAATAAATACAGAAAATACCTATAGGTAGGTACCTTAGATAGGTAGGTTAGATGCTTGTATCTAGATGTTTGTCATCAAATGATAGATCGTACCTGCAACAAAGTCAACTTTGTTTCTATATTGGCCCCCCCTTTTTCCCCCCACACCAAATAACGCGTCTGGTTACGCGTGATTTAAAGTTGTGCGGGGTGGCTTGTGGCGTTGCTATTTTCAGAACTTATAAAAGTGGTCCATGCCCATGCCCATGCGATCCCGAAGTTACGGTGATAGCGGACCCCTGAGCTAAAAAAGAGCTATAGCCCTACAATATCCTAGTTTTGCTGCATATCACAGAAAAGTACGACAGTAACATTTAAGTGTATAATTGGCCCGCTTGACGACGTCATTCACTAGGATTTTATATTTGACACTAGAATAATTAGAATATAATTATAATCTTATAAAATCAAGTCCACTCCACGTCGCCATCGACTTTTCAAATTTGAAATGTCGCGAATAATCGGTCCTTGTTAATTAAGCCTAGCTCCTAAGAGTCGCATCACATTACGATGGCTCTTGTCTAATTCTTGACACGACCTTCTCAACCTTCACTATTTCTTTCTCATCTTCACTGACAACTCCAAGGCCTGTCCCATTTCCAGGCCCGCGCCTTGCCAGTCTTTACAATATTAAAATCCAGACAGAAACCGACAAATAAAAGAGAGAGCAAGTCCTTTGTGTAATGTATTGTCATAATACCAACGCCTTCTTCTCCCGACCCGAACTGCACCAGAATCCCTTATGACTTGAACGACCGCCTCTATAGGATAATCGACTTAGACTATACGTATCTATTCCGCAAATGGTCTTGATACTAGGAAGGTCGTCGGTCTTAATTGCGCGTCGTCAAAAGAGTTAGTCGAGCCACGATATATCAAGGCCAAATGGATGAGCGTTCGAAGACGGTAGACGAGTTTTATATGTATTCCCATTATGTCTTTTTTAACCCAGCAAATGTCCACCTTACACTTTCCAAGTTTTCCTCCGAGAGGTGTCTTCGAGATTATCAACACTTTCGGAATGAGTTAAAACGTGGTGGTAACAGGCGTAAAGATGCTGGGCATCGGGTCGGCGAGTGAAGGCTAGGAAGTCATTGCGTAGAGAGGAAAATTGATAGAAATATATGTGTTCCGAAAGGTGAGACCCCGCATCCCAATGCAATATTACCGAAGATGAATAGCCACTGCTTCAACCTTCCAAAAATGCTTATGTACGTGATTTTCCCCCTGCCGAGACGAATAGAATTATGTGTGCATCGTTATGTTGTAATCCAAGCCAATTCCATCTAACCTTATCGAATGCGCCATGATCTGAATGAGACGAACTCGACAACCCTAATGCCGCCGTGGAAACAGCAGCTTACCTACCTACAAAGATATCGGGTAAGCGCGCAAATTAACCCGAAAAAAAAAGAAAATCGCAATGTGTCGACAACAGCAAGGCACGAAGGCCCGCCTACCAGCCTAACATGGGCTGCGCATCATCGTACTCGAGGTTTTCACCGGACTCCAATGGGAGGTCGAGGTCCGAGACTACTTTGACTGCTGTGAGCGGATGGTTCAGAACCTAGATTCGTCGATTCACCACTCTCCGCGCTAGCACTCGCACTGCCGGTCAGACTTCTTGTGGTCTTCGTAATTGGTGGTTGGAGAGAGCTCACCCCGACATGTTGTTCAACTTGTTGTGGCGCGACCATATTCCCTTGACCCGGAGGATACCTAGGAACTGGCTGGCGCACACCATCTGGAGGCGACGGGCGTCCATTAGGACCGGGTCCTCCAAACCCGTTGGGAGGTGAAGGTCGTCCATTGCCGCCTCGAATTGAAGGGCTATACGGGTTCCCTGGAGACTGGCTAGCACGTCTAGGAAATGGCCCACTCATTCCATTGGCTCCATTTTGAAAATCATGTAAGTGCGACGCCGTTAAAGAGTTGGCTCTGGATCCCGCCTGCATCTGTCCCCGATCGACATTACCATACCGGTTCGACGTGAAGTTCATTAGCGGATCGTCAAGAATATTGTCATGGAGACCCGGCACAGCATTCATGATTTGACTAGATCGATTTCTACCAAATGCCGGTCTCCATCTACTTCCACGGGGCGGCGCTCCTCCTCCAGGACCCTCGGGGTTCATTCGCATTTCGCTTTGGTTCGGAGCAGGCCTACTGCGATTTTTCCTAGATGTGACGCTCATCATATCGAAATTGTCAGGGTCAATCATGGGGGCAGGTGGGCCCGAGTTGGGATCAAAATAATCGTCCTCCTCGTCCTCATCGTCGTATATACCACCTCCACTACGGACAGGAGGAGCAGCGCGCCTTCTACCGCCAGCCGGTGGTGGGCCACCGCCGCGTCGCATACGCATTTCCTGTTCCTTTAGTGCTAGCTCACGCTGTCGTAATTGGAGCTCCCTTTCACGAAGAGTGATATCTGAAGTGTCAGCATTGTATCCATCACCAGCATCAGCCGAATCCTCGTAGACAACTAAGTGGCTAAACTCTCCAAGATCGGTGTCGTCAAAAGAACCGCGTCTCGACGGTTGCCGCGACTGAGGATGACCGTTCGGTGCGCCGTTCATCGGAGGTCTATGCCCATTTGGAGGGCCACCGTTCATGGACGGAGGGGGTCGACGCATACCCGGGGGTGGTCCACTAAGATTGGACGAATTCCTAGGTCTAGACCTGGGCATCGGCATACCGTTTCCGTTCGGAGGGCCGTTGACAGCAGGACGAAGCGGTTGGCTCGAAGACATGCGAGGCATCGGTGATGCACCGGTCGGCGAACCAGAAGCAGCTGGTAGTCCATTAATCTCCTTAGGTCTGGACTGGTTGACGATGTTCAGGTTATGGAAAATAGCGTAGAGCGTCTCAATCCGTGGCAACTTCACTCCCAAGCTTTGAGCCAATTTGATTGGTGAGCCGAGGAATGTCTCGACTTCCATAGGCCGTCTAGCCATATAGTCCTGCCACATTATACTTGGGTTATCCGAAAGTTCACACTGTTCCTTAATAGTGTTCTCCTTGAATTTAGCGTCGAGCGTACACCCTTGCGCAGTAGCAAGAGCAATAAGCTCGTCAATTACATCAGAAATTAGTTGCCTCACACCGGTTTTTTCTAACAGAGCCGTGTGAGAAGGTGTTTCGAAAATGACGCTGGCCGGATGGAAAGCAATAGGGCTAATACATTAGCAAACGATCAACAAGTTTGACTGGATATTAGCGACCTACCCAATAACTCGTTCAAATTGCTGCTGTCTTATGTTACTAGAAACCTTACAGTCGACGCGGCCTGAGCTCAAAGTCAAAGCAAGTGCTTGCGCCATGTCATCTTGTATTGCAGCGGGAATGCTGCCATTCTTATTTGCTGGACCAACCCAGATCTCAGTTGAACCACTATGCTCAAATTCGCTTGATCCCAACTGGGTCAATTCGGCATTCGAAACGAGCGACAAGACGACATTTGTTGGGAACCTCTCCTCGAGAGCAGCTTCGACTCCGAGAGTGTGTGTTGTATTGACAAGAATACAGGTATGTTGAGGAGTGACAACGGCGTCAATTACCGAGGCGAGATCGTAAACATCTGGGAGGGCCTTGATACAAAGGATAACATAATCGAATGCGCCCTCTTTATTGTGTATGGCCTCCTCTGGTGTTCGGACAACTAAACAGGTACGTTAGCTAGACAGTCGAACTTGGAGAAAATAATGCGCTTGTACTTACCACGTCGAGGTTTAAACCGCTCGTTGCCAAACGACCCAGACTTGAAAGAGATACCATATTGGCTGACGCTCTCATAGCCTGACTTCCAAACGAGCGTTACGTCGCACGCATTGGTAGCCTGAAGCCTCCAGGACAGGAAAGCAGAGACAGCATTTCCACCCACTGAACATATTCTCATTAGCTCACTGTCAGCCATGGCGAGATGTCGCAAGCGGCTTTAGGCGTATGCCAACGCGCCTTGCCCTCGAAGTAGCGTGGAAGGGAGAACGAGCGTAATAGACAATTGAAAGAACAAGACACAAATGAAAGCAAAGGAGCGGGAGGTTTTCCGTTTCTTCCGGTGACAGTAGTACGAAGAAAAATAGAAATCTTCTTCACCAGGTAATGTGAGGTCAAGTTGGGAATGTAGGTTACAGAATTGGAAATCGACGAACCTGAGAGGATCTTGAGGCGCGGCGCTACTGGAGCCATAATGGAGACCCAGCGGACTAGCGGGTTATACTACCCTCTGGAATTTCCTTATGTCTCTGTGCCTGTGTATCGTGCGGGCGTACTCACGATGGTGTCGGGACGAGCCAAGGTAGCCTTGTACTACAACTACGAACCCAGTCACAACGTGGGTACAACGGTTCGCAATAGCTGTCTCACGTCCCTGAAAACCGGCTTCTTTTTATCTTCCCAATTTACAACACTGACGACTCTACAGCCTTCTCCCTTTCGGTGATCAGCTGAGAATTTGGCGACGGGAAGTGAATGTATTGGCGCAGATCGGGCTTGTCGTTTGACGACTCACTGGTCCATTCGAAGCGGCCGCTAGACTGATACACAACGATTCGATAGCGTCTAATTTAACCCTAGTCTTCACACTGTAGGCTTGCAGGATTACCCTATTTCTTTTTCCTTTTTTTTTTTTCAGAGATTCCGATCCACAACAGTAAGAAGTAAAATGCCCAAGAAAGCCAAATATCGAACAATAACGAGCGTAACGGCCTAAGTACAGGTCGTGGGATGGTGAGGACAGGAACAGGACGAGGAGCGGGTCGGAATGGACGGTCAAACGTAGGACTAGTGGGGGGGAAAGAGATTATGGAGAGGTTTAGCTTGTCGAGAACATCAAGAAAATGGAAGAAAAATTAACGA